GTGTCCGCTGCCGGACCGCCGTAGTTACGATCGGTTGGCGTTTTACTTCTGGGATTCATGGCATGCTGTGGTGTGCTGCCTCGGGGACCAGGCGTAGGTGCCTGACCTGGCGGAGGAGGGCCCGCGGGTGCCTGCGCGATGGACGCTCTTGGTAACCGAGAGCCCGGCCCTGGGCCATGGTCGCCTGGTCGACCGTTCGGGGCTACCATCATACTCTCCCTTGTTTGACCTGGTCCTCGCCGTTGCTGTGAGTCTGCAGGTGGTGTATTCTGCGCCTCTCGCGACGTTCTGCCAGTTGGCACCCCGTGTCTGTCATTGCTTCCTTTCCTCATGGCCAGAGGAGGTGCACCGACCTTTTCTCCGTTTTGGGTTTCGGTCGGGTAACGAATCTTGGCGGTGTCAAGAATATATGTCATACTGAGCTCCACGGGATCCCTAGGTGCAGAGCTTGGCTCACCGGCCAAGACAATGATTTGTTTGCCAAATGCTGTCATACTGTGGCCTGATCTCGGGGAAGGCGCTGGTCCCATGTTCTGAAAAGAATACCATCGCCGAGTCGTAATGCGGAAAGCGGCTAAATCTCCCAGGTCGATGCCTTCATCCGTACGACCACCGAATATATACATGACGTCGTTGACAAGAGCCGCGGCATGTCCTTCGCGAGGAGTGGGAATAAATCCGACACAGTCCAACTGAGACCATTGATTCGCTCGCGGGTCGTAAGACCAGACATCGTTGAACCATTGCAGGCCGTTCGTGCCACCAAACCTGTATGATATGAGTAAGCCAACCCGATAGGCATTAAAAGAGAAGAGCTGAGATTCTTACAAGTAAAGCTTGTCGTTGAAACTGACCATCGTATGATTGGTCCTCGCGGGAGGAATCTGACCAGGGGACGGTCCTCCCTCATGGCTATTGCGAATCAGAAACTCCCATTTATTCGCAGGATTCTGAAGCTGATTGAGATCGAAGGCGACAAGATCGTTGAAGAAGTAACCTTCAACCTGACCACCAAACACGTAGAGCTTGGAGCCAAGAATATTAATGGTGTGACCATAACGTCCTGCTGGACGAGGGTTGGGGGGAATTGCCCGCGACCACTGTCGGGACGCTGAGGGGAATCATAACGTCAGCAAGGTGAACGCGTGCTGCAAGTGACCGAAAAAGGTGGATACCCACAGGTGTTGAGAAGATATAGAGTGTCGTCCAGGGTGTCATTTTCATCGACCTTCGTATCTCCTCCGAACACGATGAAAGCATTCCCAACTAGCAAACTTGCATGGCCGACTCTGGGACCGGGGCCCTCGGAAACAGTAGCAATGGGGAAGCACGACAAATTCCCGCCGCTGCTTTCAACCATCCAAAGATCGCCCTTGACAGTAGATCCATCGATCAATCCACCCATCATGTAAATGTCACCTTCTTTCGAAGCGACCGCGTTAATTGCTGCACCATATCGCGGGAACGGATTTCCTTGGGGTGTGGAGAAATTGAGTCGACGTTGCGACCAGGGGTAGAGCGAAGCACCGGGGCTAGAATTAGGAGAGGTGGTGTTCGCGGCCTGTGGTGGTCGTTGTGCCTATAATGCCAGAGTCAGAATGTACAACGTAGCGCTCCTTTGCTCCGCAAGCACCCAATCACCAACCTGAGATTCGGACTCGGCTCTCGGCCGCGCCCTTTGATGTTCAGGGCTGTTCGTGCTGTTGACCGAATTCAATGAATTATTGTAGCTACTGCTGGGTGTAGGCGTTTGGGAGATTCCTCCGCTCTGCTCCTTCGCTCCATTAGGAGCACCCGGCGATGTGACTGTTGGAGCACCTTCTGAGGTATGTACATGCCTTGTCGCCGGTGGTAGGCCGCTAGCCTGCTGATTCTTCTTTGATTTGAACAAGAATGCCATCGTGGATATTCGATTCGTAACGGTCGTTCAGAGCGCAAGATCGTGTGGTGCAGAACACTTCGAACAAAAACAAAGCCAGTGTAAACCGGTCCAATCACGACTCTCCACGAGCCTCAATGATAAGCTGCATAGAGCAAGAAATCGTAGCGAATGTCAGTGGAAAGGAGCAAGCGCCAGGCTGAAGGTTACCCATACGAGCGAAGAGACCGACTGATTGATGGAGGGAGGTGATGCAACGTTCGGGTTCGAATATTGAAGCCAGCGACGAGAGTCTAAAGAGGTTGTCAGAGTGTTGATGCGACTGAGATCATAATTCGTTCTGTGGTTTGTAAATAATACCTTGGTGCAGTACAGAGTAGTGGCCGCAGAACCCCCTACTATCCCTAAAACAGCCTCACACAAGCGCAACTGCGACTCCGAGTGAGCATGAGAGATTATACGTGAAGCGAAAACAAAACGCAAACAGGACGGAAGAAAGAAAATCGTATTAAAGAAAACAAAAAGAACGGAAAATGAGAAAGAGGGAGAGGGAGGAAGATAGAGAGAAGGGAAAGCAAGAAAAAAAGAAATGAAAGGGAAGCGGAGAGGAACGATGTCAAGAACTCAAGATGGCCAAATCAGTGAAGGTAAGGCAGTTTGGGGGTCCGTATGGGGTGGGATTGGAGAACCGCAGCAGCAACAGCAGACAAGTCTTTGGGCGGTGCCGGCGTTTCAAAGTTCCCTGAACGGCATTGATTATTATTAGTGGTAGATATTTCTATTCTGCATTAAGGCTGGTAGATTGCCTTAAGTTGGTGGCTTATTATTCTCGAGCGGTTGACGGAAGGGGGAAATTTGAGCCACAACGGGGCCACGAGGTTGGAATCGTTTTTCCACCACAGTTCAGATACTTAGTTGATAGATAGGTAGTACGGAGTAGTATCCAGAAAATAGCGGTGGCTCATCCTCACGGTATAGAGTAACTACTTTCAAACTTGCTCGAGACCAGACTGAGCTCCAATTGCCTCAGCTGAACACAAGCTCCTAGCCATCAATGATGACTTGAGCAGATTCTCTTCCTCAACAATACTAGGAGTACTCAGTGGTCAACAGCGATCGATTCTAAAATCTAGCTCGTCCAGCATCCAAATGGAACCAACCTCCCGTACAGCCATGGATGGTACCTTATGCTAATTAGTTACGTAGTACCTTACAGCTTCAACCAAGAACAGCCTCAACACCGTACAGAAATTATTGCTCTTGCGATGCATGTTTGCTTCGAGGCAACCATTAAACATGCACCGAGTTCTTTTTGCAAACCAAACCCGAAGGATCAAGGATAAAGGATACCATTCCTTCCAAATGAACATGTGAGGGCCCGAGAGTCCTTGGCTATGTCGGAACGAAGATTAAGTGTGGCTCCTTCATTCCAGTGCTTGGGTTGTTGTTATGCCAGTACAGTACAACCTGAAGACCCTGGGCTAATACTATCTAGACTAACGTATATTCATGAGAATTGTCCGTTTGGTGGATGCATCGCGATCTTGAGTCCATGTCGAATCCTTGCCTCAGATGCATCCTAATTTATGAGGAGCAACCTACCTTACTTTGCAATGTGTGCTCACGGCCGCAGAGATCTCCTACGTATCATTATTATGACAACCCAGGAATCAGGGAAGATCAACCCTCAAAGCAGTTGGAGAGGACGATCTCACTAAAGTAGGTAAGGTCGGACGGTTGACGAGATTCAGGGGAGTCTGCTCTTTGGCCTTTGCAAAAAGGTGGAGAAGCAAATCATGGAAGAGATGATGAACATCGTGATCATCTGTTTACTCTGTATGTGTTTGCATCATTCCATGGCCCATGGACGGGGAGAAGGGGGATCACCAATTAATCTCATTGGGGGTTCCTGGATTGATAATTCAGGTACCAACGGGAGGTTGGGAGGGGATTCGCAGGGTTGCTGGGCCTATCAGCGGCCGCATACTCTGTTTAGCGCCCCCTGACAGAAGCCAAGTAGGAAAGGGATGATGGAGAACATATAACAAGTGAGATGGAATTCCATTCTGTCTGCTCTGAGGATTGAGTGCTTTGGGCGTCTTCTGCTACTAATAATATTACTGTTAGGTAGGTATCTAGTACTCCATAAAGTTTGTCTACTATCTGCCTTGGTGATAGATTGGCAAGCGGGCCGTTTTATGCTGTTGTTTTCAACACTAGTGGCGCCTTGTTTGTGATAGCCTTTGGTATTTGGTCTCGATGCACGTGTCATCTATAATCCCTGTCACGACGGCATTCATACTCGAAAAAATCGTGGTGCATTTGCGAGACAGCAAGGTAGTTTCAGAAATATATCATATCCTGTTTGGAAAGTTTTTTTAAACTGAGGGATCTTTGCACAGTCGAGCTCCCGGTTGATAGGGGCTCGTACAGTGCGGAGTCAGGTTATCGTCCTACAACAGCGAACATGGAATACTGTCGGACTGCACTCGAGGTCAGACTTCTAAAATAAGAGCCAAAAGTAGGGTTAATCTGCGATTCTCAAAGTTCACATTGCGGATAGTACTTTCTTCCTCGCTCAGCAATAGTACCAAAAGCCCACGATTTGAGTCGCTATGCATTTGTGATGTAACAATGCTAATGCCAGTAGATGAGGACAAAGTTGGGGACCGGATTAAGTGGTGTTCCGCGATCTCCCACGCCAAGACATCACCGCCGGAGCTCATGAACCTCATTCACTCCCAACCACGGCGACAGATAGCTGCTTGTAACGCTGTGGGCCCGGGATTGAGCTTGCTTGTTACAGACTTGTGGGCAAGCTTGCACTCATTTATCTTGTTGACTTGATTTCGGATATTCCAGCGAAATCGTCCCTTTGCCGACCGAGGACTTCCTGTTTGGACTGCTCCCGGAGGAGGTATGATAGGCATCTGCGGAGTACAAGGTAGGAATTCAATTTCTGCTACCCCACCGGCAAAGAATTCACTTTGGAGTCTGGACATTGTCATAGCAGACATGGTACCTAGCGATATCACTGGTGGCTGATTAAGCGCAATTTTGATATTCAGACCCTCCTTTCTTACGGTGACGCCATTCAGAAGATGATCACCTCTTATACACCATGAGGGATCCCACCATCAACATGGAGCAAGACATTGCAGCGAAGCCACAGGCGACAAGCCTTCAAGCTGAACCACGCAAGAATCAAAAGTCCGTCCGTGTCGCTTTCGGTCCGGATTTGGACACTTATATTCCTCCGCGCGATAAGTCACCCGCGCCTTCCTCAGGCCACCACAGATCTTACACCACTGTTGAACATTCGCAACCATCTATATCGTCGCTTCACCGTCCAGCCAGTTCATCAGCAGGAGATAATGCGGCAGTCTTCGAGCCGAGTCCTCGGTTGACGTCAGATCGAGCTTCAGACTCGAACGGAAGACCAACAGCAGCTCTGAAAAGGGCTCGAAGTGACTATGGGCCGAGATTGGGATTCGACAAGTCCGCTGTTGCCGATGAGGAAGAAGACTTTGCCATGCGACATGGGTGGCAGGAGGAGTATACCTCGAGCGAGTACCTTAAGGTTCTACACTCGGTAAGCAGTCGGCGCGGCGCGGCTTCACCAGGGTCGTTGGGCCAGGATGATTGGCTGACTCTTTCAAGAACTTTTATATGTACTTCACAGAGAAGCGGCACGATACGAACGGCATCCCAAGAGACCCAGTTGGAAGCTGGCCCAGTCAGGATTGGCGCATGAAGGATCGTTTGAAGACAGTTTCGGCTGCCCTCGCCATCTGCTTGAACATCGGTGTCGATCCTCCTGACGTGGTGAAGACGAACCCATCAGCCAAGCTGGAATGCTGGGTGGATCCTACATCGACCACGGGCGGCGGCCAGAACAAGATAATGGAGCAGATTGGAAAGAAGCTGCAGGAGCAGTACGAAACTCTCAGCTTAAGAACTAGATACAAGCAGTATCTTGATCCTTCAGTTGATGAGACGAAAAAGTTCTGCATTTCTCTGCGCCGTAACGCTAAGGATGAGAGAGTTCTCTTTCACTACAACGGTCACGGTGTTCCGTTGCCTACACAATCGGGAGAAATCTGGGTGTTTAACAAGAACTATACCCAGTACATTCCAGTTAGTTTGTATGATTTGCAATCCTGGCTCGCTGGTCCCAGCCTCTTCGTTTTTGATGTTTCCCACGCCGGGAACATCGTGCAGAATTTCCACACTTTTGTGGAGAAGCACGAAAAGGAGAACCTTGAAGCCAAAAAGCGTGACCCGAACGCCGTGGTTCAGAACTATGGGGATTGCATCCTTCTGGCAGCTTGTCAGAAGAACGAGTCACTACCTACCAATCCCGATCTTCCCGCAGACCTTTTCACCTGCTGCCTGACCACACCCATAGAAATAGCGCTGCGCTACTTCATTCTCCAGAATCCCCTCCAGACGAATCTCTCAATTGACGAATTCAGAGTCCCTGGTCGTTTGCAGGACCGCAGAAGCCCTCTCGGCGAGTTGAACTGGATCTTCACCGCAATCACTGACACCATTGCATGGAACACATTGCCACGGGCATTGTTCAAGAAGCTTTTCCGGCAAGATTTGATGGTGGCTGCACTTTTCAGGAATTTTCTTCTCAGCGAGCGCATCATGCGCACGTACAAGTGTCACCCGATATCCTCACCCGAACTCCCAGAGACTCATCATCATCCGCTTTGGAAAAGCTGGGATCTGGCTGTTGAGATGGTGCTATCTCAGCTACCAGCTCTCATTGACCATGAAGAGGGCCGCAGACAATACGAGTACCAACATTCCACCTTTTTCGCGGAGCAACTCACTGCTTTTGAAGTCTACCTCTCATCCGGCCCAACCGAGAAGAACCCGCCGGATCAACTCCCTATCGTTCTGCAAGTTCTACTTAGCCAGGCACATCGACTAAGGGCCCTCATCCTCTTGAGTAAGTTTCTCGACTTGGGACCGTGGGCTGTTCATCTCGCTTTGAGCATCGGTATCTTCCCGTATGTCGTCAAACTGCTACAGTCAGCAGCCCAAGAGCTGAAACCTGTCATGGTATTCATTTGGGCGCGGATTATGGCAGTGGATCACACTGTTCAGAACGATCTGTTGAAGGACAATGGGATCCATTATTTCATCTCTATCCTTAACCCTTCGTCACCCATTCCTGTGGGTAACGCGAGTGAGCATCGAGCAATGTGTGCTTTCATTGTTTCGATATTTTGTAAGAATTATCCTCAGGGACAGAATGTGTGCCTTTCTGGCGAGCTTTTTGACTCTTGTCTGAAGCATTTGACTGATGTGGAAAATCCTTTACTCCGACAATGGTCATGTCTCTGCATCAGCATGCTCTGGTCCGACTTTCCCGAAGCCAAGTGGATGGGAATCCGGTGTGCTGCACCCGCAAGACTCTGTGAGCTCAATTTTGACCCCGTTCCGGAGGTCAGGGCAGCGATGCTCCATGCAGCGACCACATTCTTAGGCATCCCTGATTTGACCGATCAGGTGGCGCAGATTGAAGAATCCCTGGCTTTGGCTGTGCTGCCCATGGCATCAGACGGTAGTGTCCTGGTGAGAAAGGAGCTCCTTGTCTTCTTCTCGACCTTTGTCAAACGCTACCAGAACAAATTCCTGGTCGCCGCATATGAAGAGTTCCAGGACGAGAAGCAAACCCTTCTCCTTCGGTTAGAGCACGACGGCTCTCGAGGGTTCACGTTGGAAGATGTGCAGAATGGAGCTGCCAACTCAAGTAACAAATCACAGAAATTGTCGCAGAGTACCACGTTTGGCACGATCTGGAAACAACTTCTTATACTCTCTGTTGACCCACATCCTGATATTGCGCAAGACGCTAGCACGATTATTGACTACATCCACCTCACCCTTCTAGCGTCTCCCATGGCGTCGCTTACTGACAAGGCCCGAAAGGAAATCATGGAACTCACTAGCCGGTTGTCACAGAAATTACAAGTTCGCGAAAGAGCGGAATCGAAAAAGGCCGCGCCTCCACCAGCTCCTCCTTCCCAGACGGCTGCTCCCAAACAGGAAGGATACTTGTCATTGAGCATCAAAAGAACAGCCAGTGTGGCCGCTTCACTCAAGAACCTTGCTTTCGGTGGACCCTCCCAGACTGAGCAACAATCATCGCAGAGCGTAACATCGCCCACAAAGAGCCGCACGCCCGTCACCCCTCGAGGACGTGCTCCCCCCGAATGGACCCGGCCTCCGGAAGTCAACGACCAGGTTGCTTCCGCGGCAGCTTATCACCAGGCTCCAATTCCTACCTCGCGCGGTTTCGAACCCCGAGACCCATCTCTGGCCCCCATGATACCCCTTCTGAGTCGGTTTCTTGATTGGTCCACAGAGGTAACCCCAAGCCTTCTCCATTTGATTTGCGAACAGTACACCCGCATGTATGGACATTTTCTTACCCATCTTCAGTATTTCCGTGAGCCCCAGATGAAGCCCAATGAGCCCGACGAACCTGGTAGCGCCGACTACAACGAGCGCCTCTGGAGACGTAGCCGCAACGAGAAGATCATCACGGAAACCCAGCCCCTCAAGGGAAAAGCAGGCAGCAGTCGCTGGGATAACTCTTTGGCCCTGCTTACTAATACCAGTCAGCCCCTGAAGATGTGTTTCCATCAATTTGAGGATCACCTCGCAGTTGCGGATGACCGGGACACGATCGCGTAAGTAAGACTGGCGCAAAGTAGTGTCTTGATGCTAATTTTATTTACCTGTCAGAATCTGGGACTGGCAGAGACACAAGCGTCTCAATAGGTTTTCCAACGGGAACCCGCCGGGCTCGAGGATCAACGAAGTTCGTTACATTAACGAGGACGATCAAGCGTTGCTGATGACCGGATCCTCCGACGGGGTACTCAAGGTATTCAGAAATTACGAGTCCCCGAAAGAGGTGGAGATAGTGACAGCTTTCCGTGCTTTGCCGGAACTAATTCCAAGCAATAGAAATGCTGGTCTGGTTTTCGATTGGCAGCAAGGCCAAGGCAAAGCACTGGTTGCTGGGGATGTGAAGGTGATCCGTGTGTGGAACGCGGCCACTGAAGTCTGCACCAACGTATGCTCCTCTTGACCTCTGCCTTGTTAGGTGACTACTGACGCAGGTGTTTGAAAGGACATCCCTGCTCGCTCAGGGTCTTGCATTACCTCCCTTACTTCCGACCAGGTGGCAGGGAACATCTTTGTGGCCGGATTCGGCGACGGTGCAGTCCGCGTGTTTGATCAGCGTCTAAAACCTACGACCTCGATGGTGAAGGTTTGGCGTGAGCACAAGCAATGGATCGCCAATGTCCACATGCAACGGGGTGGATTGAGGGAGCTCGTGTCCGGTAGTCGAAATGGCGAGATTAGATTGTGGGATCTTCGCATGGATGACCCTATCTCAACAATCTATGCCACTAAAGATACCCTCAGGACGTTGAGTGTTCACGAGCACGCTCCCGTATTTATGGTGTATGTGATTCTCCTTTGCTTCTGGATGCTCTCCAGTCCTGTAACTGACTGAATGAATAAAAGCGGCACGAATCGCCATGAGGTCAAGACATTCAACATGGATGGAACATATCTGTCCACGTTCGAACCATACTCAAGCTTCCTGCACCACAACCGCTCTTCCCCAATTGCCAGCACTGCCTTCCACCCACATCGTACCATTCTTGCCTGCGCCGCGCTTAATGATAACCACATCAACCTTGTGAGTTGCTAGGCATCGACTCATCCCCTCGAGCCCCGGTACACGATCCACACGACATAGTTTCTCTTTCACCTTTTTCTCTATGACTCGGCCATTGCATGTCGCACGAGTAGATACGGCGCTTTGGGTTATGATTTTTAATGAAGGGTTCGGTTTCTTTTCAGTTCAGATGATTTGAGACGCATGTTTCTGGGTAGGACTGTCGAGCTGCAGCGACTCATGGCGTTTGTCATTTTTATCTTATACTTGCCATCTGTTAAAATTCGTCAGCCCTTTCAGCAGTGTACAGCTGCCTCATAATGTACAGCGAAGCTGCAATGTTTGATGTCATTTTCCAATTCCAATTTTCCTGCTCGTGGGATTGTCTTTCGCCAAGTGATCTCTCTCATTTACTGCTTCAGTTGTGATTCCATGTATCTCTGGCAGTATATGAAGATCTAATATGAACTCGGCTAGAACATTTACCCTCCGGGGCTGAGCTGAGCTCTAGCAAGTTTCAATATAGGCAACCGCACTCTTGCGGCCAAGATTAGACGCATCCTTAGAGCAGCAAACCCCAACTCTCACGTAACAGACGTGCAGACATCGCGGAACGCATTGAATGGTTCATTTTGTTCGGCCTCATTTGGTTTAACAGTTCCACGTCGGATCTGCGCAACACGAGGTGCACACACCCTTGCTGAGTCAAGTTGCACTCCTGACTCATGAGTCACAACATCTCGTATAGAAGCCTGAGCTGCCTGTTAGCAGATCAGCACCGCCACAACCGTGCATTTGAGTCATTTCTCTCACTCCTGATTTAAGTCACGTAAGTCTTCACAACATCACTACAATAAGAATTATAAGACCACAATTTACACAACCAGACCGCCAACAAACAACTACAGAAGCCTCCCGCGCAAAATGTCCATCCCGAAACCACCCAACAACGCGCAACGCCAGCGCCTCGCCGCCGAGACCCTCTCACTAACCGAGTACGTCATCAAAGCAACAACAGGCGCCTCGCAAGCGTCCCGCGCTCACCCTCGCCTCCTCCCACCCATCAAGCCCATCTCCAACAGCGCAACCCAGAAACCCCCGCTCAGCGTCACGGGCCAGGACAGCTTCACCGCCGCGCGGGACATCCTGCAGCGCACAGGCGGCAGAGCCAGGGTGGGTGTTCTCAATATGGCGAGCGAGCGGAATCCCGGCGGCGGGTGGTTGAATGGGGCGCTGGCGCAGGAGGAGGCGCTCTGTCTGCGGAGTACGTTGGCGGCGACGCTTGAGCGGAAGTATTACCCGCTGCCGGTGTATGGGGCTGTGTGGTCGCCAGCCGTGGTGGTCTTCCGCGATGAGGTTGCGAGCGGGTGTCGGCTGTACCGGGACGAGGAGAAGTTTGTTGTTGGTGTGGTGAGTTTGGCGGCGTTGAGGAGGCCGGTGTTGACGGCTGATGGGAGGCATTTTGGTATGTTGTTTCTCTCTTCTGCCGGGTTGGGTGTGGGCTGAGACTAACGTATGTGACAGCCAATCCGAATGATGTGTTGGTTTTGAAGAACAAGATGCGCCAGGTTTTCCGCGTTCTTGCTGAGAATGGGATATCGCATTGTGTGCTTGGGGCAATGGGCTGTGGCGCGTTCAGGAATCCGCCATATGAGGTTGCCAGGATTTACAAGGAGGTTTTGCAGGAGGTGGAGTGGGATGGAGTGTTCGAGGAGATTGTCTTTGCGGTGCTGGATACGAAGGGGGAATCGAACTATACCATATTCAAGAATGTCCTGCTGTCTCAGGATGGTAGATGAGCAGGAGTATATATATACCACTTGATGTCATTATGAACGATTCTGATCAGTCAGGCCGATCCTGTGTGGTAAGAGAACTGGTTGGTCGTCACGACCTTCCAGGGACAGTAAACTTCCAATCCTCCGGAAACCTTCCATACTGGATATCATCACGATCAAGGAAGATATTCTCATACCGCTCCATATGAGTCTCCGGGAGCTCCGCCTGACGATAATACTTGTACGCCAACTTCTGCATGGCAGGGTCATTCCACATCGTCTCCATCCACTTCACCACATCAGCGCTGGCGCCCTCGAGAGGGAGATTGTACGTGCGGAAGCGCTGTTCGAGCCATGATTTAGCCACTGGTTCAACCGCTCAAGAACAAACACAATCAACAAGCAAGTTCGCACATACCCAGAGCACCGGCCAGAAGAACGCATCCGCAATACTGAACCCCCCAAACAGGAACCCGTCGTCCTTCTCGCCCAGCTCAGCCAGCCGCGTCTTCGCTGCCTGTCGCGCATTATCCCAGATCGTAAACAGACGCTGGATATCTTTCTTCGCGGTCTCAGGCACGGGAATATTGCCCGTATACTGCACTATGAAGTTTGTGGGGTATGTGTTTCGCAGCGTCGCGAAACCAGAGTGCATTTCGGCCGCGGCACTGCGCGCCATGGCTCTGAGGAGGCGGTCACGCGGCCACAGGCTGAGATGGGGATTTGACTCTGCGAGAAACTCGCAGATGGCGAGTGAGTCATTAATGCGCAGGGTTGAGCTCAGAGAGTGACATTCGAGCAGGGGGACAAGTCCCGAGGGGGAGAATTTGCGGATCTGGTTTTGGTTAATGGTTGGGTGTTTAAATGACCAGGACCACGGACATCGTCAACTTTGGTTTGTTGCTCGGTATATGGGATTTGGAAATACTCCAGGACTATTTCGACGCGAGCAGTCCAGCCTGAAATGATAGCTTAGCAATTGGCTGTACAACTGGAGACGCGTGACAGCGTACGTACTTGAATATCGAGTGAAGAGCCCGATGAGGTGATAGTCTGCTTGTTCTTGTTTTGCGGCCATTGCTTGACTTTCTGCTTCTGATCTAGTTAGAATAATCTGAAATGACAGAAAAGAACTGACTTGGGGAAAGAGAAGATGACAAGATATTTATCCTCCCTCGGTACCAGTGGTGGGGTGACTCACTCGGATGCCCTTTCAGTGACCCACTAAACCTTAGATACGATTGACTTACTGCAGGTTCTTGTCAGAATCTAAAGTGATTGTAGTAGCCTATGTCCTTTTGAATACAATAGTATTGGTTAATAATTGATGTTTTTGTTCTGCTCCCCAGCAGGTTGTGGACAACCATCTACATTTGAATATAGATCAATTTTCATAATAATAACTCAGTACACTAATGACAATATTTATCATTAACATACACCAGCTTGTCATGGTGTCTCACTGAGGGACTATCTAATGTATGTGTACTTCTCAAGCAGAATCTTAGCTTTTATATCACTCCAACGGTGCACCTTGTCGATACTTTATCTTAATTAGGGATGAAGGGTTTATGGTTAACACGTGACTAACTTTTAAGATTAAGAACTGATGGTAGATTGCAATGATCATAAGCATTAAGCATGGTCTTTATAAACTAGTCTGAGGCTGCTTTGGCAGGACTATATCTGATTGCTGGCAGCATCCCTGCACCCATAAGAACAGATCCATTATTTCAAGAGAAGAATTTGACTAAGAGTCTGTTGGAGTTCCCTCAGTAGATGAAGCTAGGTCTGACCCACAGCTTCTGTCCTTGATAAGTATCTACATAATATATTGGGCTCTTTGTACTTTAGCTATAGTTAGAATATAGAGATCACCTTCTCTTAGGTGCGGAGAAGACGCGGTCATCAGTCAGATATTCCTGACAGAGTCATAGCCGAAGCCAAGGCTACAGACTCATATTAGAATGTGCTGTTCTCTCTGCCTATATTCAGACTGCACGTTAGAGGATATTCAAGCAAGTCCAGTGTTGTTACGCACAAGTTCAAAGACAAATGTTGTAGGGGCGCATTTCTGGGTCTTGGGTTGGGTACAACTTTGAGGTGCTGTTGCGATCACTACGTCCTTGTGGCTTCCTTGATTACATTGAAGCGTCTATCCAGCCTATCAAATTATGTATCACTGTCAAAGCAGAGTTAGTCGGCAGCCGCCATTCCAGCCCCATACCTATACTCCGTAGATGAGGTACCGTAGTAGCTTGATTACCCCAGATATTCCAAGATCGGTAAGACGAACTATATGTATAACAACTACAACTAATTTGAAACTTACATTGATTTTATGTGTGTTGGTATCAAAAATGCGATGTCCATGTCGACATGCGATGGTTACCCAATGTTCATAAGTGAAGGTGTGCTGAGCAGTTGCCCTAAGCAATCAGGTAGTCATGACTCATGGACCTCAGGCGCAGAAATTATAGTGATCTGACATTCATCCCATGGCTATTCAATGCGAACAGGAAATATGATAAGCGAGGCAATAACAGCATAGAATAAGCGAGCACATTCTGCTAGCGCGCACGCTTCAGACAACGATACCTAGCTTAGGCAGTTAGGAGAGGATGGAAAAAGCATGAATACTTGCCGGCCGGTGATTTTCGCTCCAGAGAGTTCGAGATACGTGAAGGCGAATGGTTTGACAGACCTTGACTTAGTGATGAAGACTAGATGCATCAAAAATATTTACTGAAATAGGAAATTGTCACGGCGGATGGTAGGTATCATAGCCCTAATTCGAGCTCTGGGCTCGTTCCCAACGCTGGGCAGCATGATGCTGATAGCTTGTGAGGCACCATAACCAACATGATATGGGCCCATGCAATCAAAGTAACATATTATAATCTCTACAAGATGTACCTGGAGATATTCTAAAGTTGAGTGTCTGGTGTGAAAAATGAAATCATCCGCCCGAAGAACCAGAGCTCTAACATCCGCAGGAAACTGGTCGGAAATGCTCGACCTGTATGTTCTTATTTTTAAAGCACATCCAACTTCTTCCTGAACCTCAACTCGGTCAAATCCTCCGGCTGACACACCATCACGCGGCAACCTTTGATGTCCTGGCGGGCCAAGATCTTTTCATACGCAACAGCAAACTCGGACGCCTTCATCGCCGCAAACTGGTCCGCTGCAGCATCTGCCATGACGAACAAACCGAGATAGATCTCGTTGAAGCGGACATTCGTGTCCGCGTTGTCAAGGCATGCCACGTTCGCCATGGAGTATAGCGCGCCTTGTGTCATGCTGGCTGCTGCGCGACCCCCATTGTCTCCGCTTGCGCCTGTGCACAGCGTCCAGGTGCTTGTAGGATCGCCCTGCTCGAGAAGATAGGGGATGGTCGCTTGATAGGCGACTGTCGAAGCGTATCAGTTCTTTACATATCTGTGGGATTTTTTACAGCATGGCCACACTCACAAAAGTTCGGCTCGAAATTGACCTGCATATGCTTCCTTAGCTCGTCCGTGGTGAGATCAAGTATGGACGTCGTGTCGAACAACCCGCCAGCTGCCCCATCATGCAATCACACGTCTGGTCAGCCAAAATGCTTAGCATGTACACACTCCGATAAAAGTACAGACTCACCTGCAGCATAAACATGCTGAAATGCTGGCAACTCCCCCTTCCGCACTTTCTCTACCACATCCTTCACTCCCCGATCAGACATGATGTCCGCCTCTACCGTTGTGATGCCCTCGCGAGTCCCTACATTGCGGAACAGCTTCTCCGCCGAAGCCTGGTTGCGCACGATGGCGAGGACGTGGAATTTGGAGCGCAGAGCGGCGTGGATGGCCGAGGCGCCAATGTTGCCTGTTGCTCCGACGATCAGGACGGTCTGCATCTGGTTTGTGGTGGTGGTGATGATGGTTAAGGTGTTGGTGCGTGCTTCAGCATTTTAAAACACGGAAAGATAGTTTCGACAGATATATATAGGGCATTGCTAGGCAACAACCCGTCTTACTGTCATGCTCTCCCTGCAACCCCACCGCTATCTCGCTCACCCAGTCGTTCCCGTGTCTGCATCCCCGAGATGTAATCGGCCTGCATGGCGTTCTTGAAGCTCGGACTCCGAACTAAAGCCGGATGGAAAAAGCGCTTATCTCCGTGCTTACCGCAGTTCTCGGGGGTCCTCACTATAGGTAAGACTCGAGTTGCATCAGATAATCTCATAGTTCGTGCCTCGGAGGCTTCCATTCCCTTTCTGCTTGAACCCCGCCGTCCATGTCTCATTCAACTCTCAAGGAGCAGTCAGTGCTCAAGGTCAGGCTGGCAATGATATGGAATTGGGAAAAGCAAGGATTTGAGGTTATCTTCGGACAGGAAGATGAACATATACTGGCAGGTTTCTTCACAGAGATGGATGTTATGCTTGGTAGTCATTCTCCTCAAGTAATTCGAGATCTCATTTGATTGAACGAACGCCATGTCTTGCATATTTTACATGGTCAACATAAATAAAGCTAGAGCTTCTCCACTACCATAAGATTCACGTTCGATTTGAGGAGTATCCATCCCCGAAAGCTGCATGATCGTATGTCGGTGCGCACGGTCGCTATCAAGCCCAGAGTACAGTGTGGGTGGGAAGCTGCCCTTTGTTGCATGGCGCGGAACGGGTAGCTGAAATGCTACAAAGGCCCCAGAGAGTGGCTTGCATCAATAGTTGAAGGCCATCTGTATGCTATATCCGATAAATGCGATTCACCATGTACCAACACAGTCCCAAGTCCGTCTTAGACCCAATCTACTGCATCGCCTTCTCCATATCTGTAGCCCACAGCGCAGCACCAACCGCATTCGTGAACGAGAACATCAACGAGGCAAACGGAATCATCTCAAACAGAAACGCAGCCATTCCAAATCTGCTCTCAGTTAGCAATCCCATAAGCACAGCACAAAAGCCAAGGTGAATCATACCCGGTATACCCTCCCTGATTCTTCTTCACCCACTCCTCTCTCTTCCGCTCATCCCACCCCTTCAACTGAAAATACCTCAAATGCGCCACTGGCCCAGTCTTCTTCCCCTGCATATACACATACAGTAGCGTCCCTACAACCGGAATGAAATTCAACGGCAGGAGCATCAGCGACCTCACCAGCGCCGATGGTCTCATCCGCTCCAGCGGCCGATTCAGCATCCTCCCCAGTCTTGACACCGCTCCACCGCCAGAGGCATTGATCTGGCGCCCTTTCGCCACCAGCTCCGTGTGTCCGCGTGCGACAAGAGTGCCATCAAAGGTATCGGTCAGCGCGTCAGCGAGGACAAACGACCGCGCGAGAAAATTGGTGATGGTCGAGCTCTCGCTGAGGACGAGCAGGGCGGCGGAGATCGGGGCCAGCGGACCACTGGTGAAGGTCATGATGGCTGCTTGCGGGACGTAGGTGAAGAAGAACATGGCGGTTGTGACGCCGAGGCCGAGACCGATGGTCTGGACGGCACGAGAGATAAAAGGGCGCCAGAGGTCTTTGTGGTAGGAGAAGAAGAGAATGCCCTGCATTATATGTCAGTCAAGCAGATATTCAGAATGCTCTCGGGCTTCTGAGCTCACTTTCACTGGGTAGAGATACGCGCCTGACACGGCGACGTCGTGGGCAACGGCTTTGAAATTGTCTGCCTCTTCGTGGAGGGCGTCTTTCATTTTATCCGCCATTGTTTATTAAGACTCGCAGTGCGATTGACAGCTGTGGTCTCAGTATAATCTCAGTATCGAGAAGAACTGTCAATTGGGCGTGGTGCAGTTGGAGTGAAGAGTGTTGTCGTTGAGACAACTGATAAGGATGGACGCAGCTATGACGTCATGTGGTGTCACCAACTAGGGCGTAGATTTCCTTGTCATTATATGGTAAGGAGCGTCTGACGTCTGACTAATTTTGACTTGTAGGTAGACTGTCTATAATGCAAAAGCCTGTGTATACAGATACCTAATAACCATGGTTTGATAAGAATCCGTCCAGTCACCCTGCCTAGCCAATTGTGTTAGTTGTCATGGACCGAGCCCGCACCCCAAGTAGACAACGCCCCCAACGCCTAGCCAAGCTTATTACTCAATACCAAATGTTCGCTAATGCAGTACATCCCAAGTGTCTCAAAGTGAAGGGAAATATCGTGATGAACAAAGACGCTAGAGTAGAGAGGAAACCTGATGATAGGGCTGCCCTCTCTTCATCGGTCGTTATCTGCCCGAGTCTGATGCCAGATAGTGTCGCCACTCAAGGCTGAAAGGCTAAGCGTTGCCAGATTCCTCCAACTGGAAGATGGAGGAGCAGAGGAGGCATGACCTTCTAGTGCCCCCAAATCTGAGGCTCCGTAGTGTTCAGCGGCGGAGGTCTCTTCCTCGCTCGGGTTCGCAATGAGCATAGGGGCGGACGAAACGCTTCGATGGGATTCGAAGCCACGATTATCATCATCATCAGCCATTCGCTGTGACGAGTCGCGTGATTCCGCAGTGGTGTTTTGAGCCATGGAGCGAACGACGTCTCCCTTACAGATCGGGCAAGTCCGCCGACGGGTCGTCAGCCATGGAGTTCTGCGCTTAAGTTAGCAGACTGTAGAAATACGAAACTGTCAGAGAGAGCTACTTACATGCACTCCACATGGAACTCATGGCCGCAGGGTAGGCTCATCACTCTGCTTTGCCCATCGATGTATTCTTCGAGACATACAACACATTCCACCTGCCGTCCAGTGTACTTGCGGCGCCAAACAGAGGAGGCCGAACCAGACTTCTCGCCTTTTGCCGAGTCCATGTTCCGAGTCTTCTTGGCTTCGGCTGTACTGCTACGTAAGAAAGAAGAGCGTGACGGGGCCAGCTCCGGACGACTCCGAGAACCTAGCAATGGGGAAGTCGGCGAGACTGGTCCAGGACTGGAAGATCGAGAGGAACTTGCTGCAGACGAAGGCGTCGGGATTGTGTGGTAGGTCCTCACCGGGAGGCGGTCCACGATGGACTTCGGAGCCCGCCAACGCCTCCGACGGATGCGAGATCGAATCAAAAGGAGAGCGTACACGACCGTCAAAGTGAGCAGAGGACTGACAACTAGAACAAGCAGGGTATCGAAGAAGGGGCTTGTAGACATGCTTGTTGGTGTCAACGTAACCCACAGGCCCTCATGTTCGGTAACCTTGGCATTTTGATCGGTATTCCTGCGCATCTTGTTGTTTGCTGGTTTATCCAAGTTGGCACCTTCTGTACGTCTAGGCGCAAAGAAGCGTTTGAAAAACCAACCCTTGTCTGATGCAGCGTTTCCAGCAGAGTTAACTGGAGAGCCATCACGCGATTGGAATTCTTTGTTGTCGCTAGATTTATCGACGCTCCGATATTCACCGCTTCCTGGAGTGATGCTACCGCCCTTCGGTGAATTAGAAGACTTCTTTTGGCTCTTCGCATTTTTGCCCGACTCAGTCTTCGCCGAGCTTGCAACGCTACTCGGAGACGGTAGAGAGGTGCTTCTGGGGGCTACAAGATCTGGATCTCGCCAGTCCTGCACACCAATGATGAAGCCATCGCCGTCGGCAAGGCTCGAAACGCTTTCGGATTTTTTGCGATCGTCAGCAGCACTGTTGTGTGCAGGTTTTTTCGATTGTTGCTTATCACCCAGGCGAATCCAGTCAATGTTTCCGCTGTTAGGTGGTCGTCGACTGTCTTCAAATTTCTGCCAGGGGTGTCCATTTTTGGTCCTGCCCAAACCTAGTAGTGATAGGAGAGAATGGAATAGTCCAGTTTTCGGTCTTGGGGCAGTCTGAAGCGGCTCATCCACCGCAGCCTGGGGCGTAGGGGTAGAAGACGGGGTGACTGATGTGGTTGTTGTTGGACTCACACGCTGCTTGTCCGAACCGCTGGAGAGTACAGTGCGAGTAGACCCCGCTTTTTCGTCCAAGCTTAAATCTGCTCCGGCCTGCGGAGGCATCAAAGATGATAGCAAGTGTGCTGTCGTGTAAGACGTGAAAACAGCCGGTATAGTCACATTGGAGGTGTCCCCTCTGGCATACATCGTCACGAGACTTCCTCCTCGCGTATCATCACCCACAACCACGGCGATCGCTCCGCGTCGTTGAGCCCATTTGACCTTTTCCAGAAAACCGCAGCCGCCTCTGCTTAGCAACACAACTTTGCCATTTATCTCGGCGCTCTCCTGCAAGGATTGTATATCTGCATGAGCAGCCGGCTTATTTTGGCGTTCTCCGGGCTTGTCCGGTGCACCTGCGTCTACCACATCTGAATCAGGTAGAGGATGATGCAAATGGTCGTCGGTGCCGTCGTTCGTCGAGGGTGGAGGGGCTCCGCCAGCTGCAAGATGTTCTGATTCTGATTCTTGCTGGGGATCAGCCCGGTGTTGACCTAAAGAGGCCGCAAGACCATCCTTAATACCAGATGAAGAGGTCTTGTCTGCGGCTACCGTGGACTTATCCGGACTGCGACGGTTGTCACCATCCCCCCATCCTGGGATATCCGAACAGCCCAACTCTCCCTCCGCGCCACCACTAGTTTTCTCCCCGAAACCACTGCCCACCCAGAGTGGGCCACTCAGTCCCTTATCTGAAAGAAGAGGGCCAAATGCTGCAGGTCTGGCCAGGAAAAAAGTCGAGTTGTCATCGGTAAGGCTGATAATAGCGGATGGTGGGAAAAGCGAGGAAGGTATGTTGAAGGAAAAGAGAGCGTGAAATCCAGTCGTTTGACCAGCGAGCGAACTGGGATCAGCCACGCGAGGAGATGACGAAAGAGCCGAGAACAGGGTAAGGAAAATCGGAAAGAAGAGGATACAGAAGACTATAGATACTAGGCGTGGCGGTCGCATGGTGGATGATTTTTAAGGGCAAAAAATCCAGGTATGGTCCTGCCAGGGAGGTTGAAATTGATCGAAAATCGTGATTCAGCTGCAGATGTCCTCTTGTAGGCTGCTGTTTTATGACCAATCACAAGGTCGATCAAGGGGTTTACAGCCGGAGCTCATCGAGGACAGTCACGAAGCGGACGTAAGGGCAGGAATTTGACGGAAACGCTATAAGGACAGGGAGATAAACGGAAGAAGATAACTCAGGAACAGAGGACTCGATGAGAAAAGAGAAATGGCAGGATGGACAAACTGTTTTGAAGAGAAGGAGAAGGGTAGAAGCCACCACCACCACATGGAGCGAGCGTCACTGCGTCAGAGAAACAACAGAGTGCAACACGCCATAATAAGTGGGAACCGCAGCTCAAAAGCGTAAGGTAGGGCCTCAGGCAGTCACAGCACAGCCTCGGAGTCACGGGTTCTGCGGGACTGAGGCGGCGATCCATCAGGCAACGAACATTCTGTTTCGACGGCGGTATCGCTGTATCGTACGTACCCTCCCGTTATTACATTGGATGGACGGAGTAGGTAGCAACAAGTACTATATCTTGGTTAATATTTCTACTTTGTATAGGTAGTTACTAATTTAGTGGTAAAAATAATGGGAGCACTACATATAAGAACACTACATATACAAACATCCAAAATCTGCGTCATCTTTTTCCCCCTTTGCTAGAAGCTCAAATGATGGAGGTACTTGGCCCCCTCATGCCTTAGGCTGTCTTACTTACGGAGTATATTTTGTACTCCGTATGCATTTTACACCAGTCCCCACAAATCATGCTATATTTACTCCGTAGATAGTCCGTATAGCTCGCCCCACATCTTCAACAGTTCAGTTGTGCCTTAAATTTAGGTAGTTTTCATTGTTTTTGCAATTTAGAGACATGATCGACGAACTGCTCACGAGTCGCTACATCAGCGAACGACGCAGCCTATGACTTTGATTTGTTCTACTTGCTTTACAAAGCAGCCTGCTTTAATCAATGAACCCAAGACCATGTCATCTTAGTGGCTGTCACGAAGTACTATCTACTAATAACACCAGTAACAGTGATTCGCCCGTCAAAAAATAAACATGATAAGGTAGCTCATGATACAGTCGCTCTGGAAATAGGCCAGTGGGCTCGTGGTTATGTCGTCACTATTATTCTCTTCCACGACTCTTCATAGAGCGTCTCTGGATCAGATGACGCTGGATGACACCACCTTTGCGGTCGACGGTCCTAGCCATACTTCAAGACCACGATTGGTCCTATATCGTCACGCTTGCTTGCTTGGTGGCGGGAGAATGTTTGGCTCCTTATATAGTGAGCCAGGCATCGCTCGATTAGACGTCCAAGTGGCGGGAAATCTTCAAATCGATTCGATTTCAGTTGCAGATAATCGTCAACATGGCCAACATCTTCCGCAGAGTCAAAGATGTCATGAGTGGGCGTCTAAATGATCCCAACGACACCGCTCAATACGATGACGGTGGTAAGTAGATGACTGACCGAACTTGCGTGTGGCACCGGGTCTGACTTGTTTGTAGACAAGCGTACTTACAATGATAGCGCAAGTGGTAACGATTTCGGGTCTGGTGTCCACGATGCTCTTCCTGGTTCTGGTAACAGTAGGCCGAACGTTGGTGAGCCCGAGATCGACAGGAACGAACAGCCTCCTTCTTCCGCAAAGGAACACCGTGGCTCGCGAGGCTATTATGGGTCAAATTCGAGCAGTGAAAATTATGCAACCACTACAAATGATTACAGAGGTCCCACCAGCTAAGGCTTGGAAGCAAGGTCGATAATATCCCAGACATAACCTTGACTCGTCCCGTCAAACTAACGATACTTGTAGTCAATATAAGTTGAATCGTCTCTTGAGGTCACCCCATTCCTGGCGGCACTACCATGCCATGAGATCGACGATAGCCTGGCCCTGAAAATATAGTAATATGGCGGACGTCTGTGGTTCGTTGAGATATTCGCATGAAATCAAATTCTTCTGCATCTATCTCATGAAACTAAAACTATAAGTATATGTAGGAATGTTCCTATATGTGATGTTTGCCTCCTGCGTTGTAGATCGTACTCGGCGTTGTCTTCGCGAACAAACGCTGGTTGTCTTGCGTTTTTGCAATTCTCATCCTGAAAAAGTGGCGTACAAGTAGAGACTATTTTCAATCTATACCTTATATGCTCGGTATGTAATGTCTTCACTTGACCTGTTTTTGGTTACTGGAAGACCTATCCGACCCCCAGGACTCCTCATGACAGCCTGAAAGATAACCCTGGTACTTCCGCCTGGCAAGACCTGGATAGGCCAACTTGATTATCATTCAATGTGCTTTCCCGAAAACCTTGAGTAATATCGATCGGTCCAGATCAGATACCTCTTCTGGCATTCTGCCTTATAGGGAGTCCGAGACTAGTTCATCCCTCCACGTCTTCTAGCGGATATAGAGGAGACTCGGCCTTCTGCATGTACAAAAAGTAGCATTTAATTGAATAAGTCGTGTTCAAAGGAGAGGATAGCTGCTATGAATCTACTGAGATACTGAGCTGAGGCGTCCACAGAGCCATTGGTCGACTCTTTGACAAGTCCTGGCTCACTGGTGAGAGCACTTGCTCCTCCAGGTGAACATATGACAACAAATAGAACAAACAGGAAACACTTGGGTGATTCCTTCTGGGAGTAAACCTTCTCACCTTCCACTATGAATATTCCAATCTTTGCATCTTCTACCACGTCCATCACAGCATCTCAGGTGAGCGGGTCAAGAAAGTGACTAGACTCTCAAGCACAGCACGTTACGCCTTGGTCTCGGCACCATCTGAAGTCCCAGTTCGAAGGCCCCCATGTTGAGACTTCTTGTATTTTGTCTCTTCTGCAGCAACACAAACTGTCTGCACCAGCCATCCAGTCTACATTTCTCAGTCTTCCATTCTAACCCTTCTCCTACATCAAAACACATCCATTCTACGCATATCATCCTTGAGCTTCAAGCATTACGATTGTTTGAATCCCGTTTGGGCCAGCCTCTCACTCTTCTCATAGCTCTCCCCAGGGCGCGAAGGATTGTTGGGCGCTGTCTCTATCACCCTAAGCCGAACGCCAACATCCTCGCGACGTGCATTCCACAGCTTCTAGTCGGAAACTCTCAGAACAAGCCAACCATGATGAGTCAGATACTGTCTCGTACTCATCAGAGTAGGCCGAGTCTAGCCAGAGCTGCCACCGGAGACGGCTTGGACGTGCAGCATGAACTGCACAGTCTCGATGACATTGCTTCCTCTCGACCGGTTGCATTGAGTGAGCTCTGGAACAGAGCAACCTTGCGTGGCAAGGTCACAAAGCCATTGAAGCCCCTGCAGATTGGTGGTAGACAGATTCACGATGGCAAGGAGATCTCAACTGACACTGAATCTATTGCTGTTGCACAATGCAAGCCTCGTGCTCGCCTTGCTCCGATGCACCGCTCTTATATCGAGGCGGGTCACTACAATGGTCAACAAACCGAAATATTGCAACGCTCCCGTATTCGTTCGGAAGCATACTATCCGGCATACGCACATGAGGCGAAAGAGTACCTCTGGCATGAAAAGGCTGATGGTCATGTTCAGCAGAACCCGCTAAGCTACTGCGACGGCTACGATCCTTCCTATCTTCAGTGTCTCCGCCATGATCATCGCAGCGTATCAGATGGGCTTTTCTACAAACATCAGAACTTCTTGCAATCCGAACATGCGACCTGGCCTGCAGAACCATGTGCGGCCCCCAACAACACTCGCGTTGCCTCCTACGAGCAATGCCCCGTCGCTGATCACCAGTACATACCGGAGTCGTACATTGAGCTCCCGCATGGCGGCATCAGAAATAGAGATGATCTGTCGGGATATGTGTCGCTGGAGGGTCCAGACTACCATTATAGCCAGAGAGACATTCATGGGGCGGCCCTCCCAATTGAGAATGCGTATTCCGACCAAGCCCAGCTCAATTATACCAGCCACGACTCCGTTCAAGCCGATTCAGAACTTCTAGAGGTCGTCCGTCAAAAGCTTCTGAGAAAGATCTCTAGTTCAGCTCGGGCAGAGGGTTCAGGCCCTGCTGAAGTTCAGGCTCCCGACCCTGTTCGAGTTTCCTTACCATCTCATGACAGGAAGCCAAGCTCTGCTGAGAGCGATTCGTCCAAAGCTAGCAGCAGACGATCGATCAAAGAAGAGGCAACTGCCTTCCTTCAGAGCGTCGTTGAGAACTCTCACTTGGATGCCAAAGGAATCAGCTCCCAGGATCTGACTGTGCAGTCCGAGGAATATGCTGTTGCTCGGCTCCAACAAGGAAGTCACGAAGCAGAATACGTGAAATCACCGTCTGTTGGCATGTGTGACCGTCATGCAAGCATGGAGAACGCACGCCCAATCAACGAACAGGTCAACCTTGGAGACAAAGGTACCAATTCTCTTTTGAACGTGGGCAATAATGAACACCTTCCTCGCAACACGAATCATCGTCTTGTTCATAGGGGAGATATAGCAAAGGACAAACAAGAGAACCCTTACGATAAGCTGCTTATAGCTAACAGCAAGGCTGTTCCACCTCCACCGGGGCTTCCCATACCCTTGGAACCACAGAGGACGACCGATTTTCTGCTCTTCAATACCCTGGCACCAAACAGAGCTAGGCTTGAGGAAGCGAATTCCTGGTTTCATACCGATAACCGAGGTGCCAGTGAGCTCCGGCAGCTGGTCTCATCCATCGCTTATGATCACGTTGAGAGAGAAGCATTGCTTCGCGGCACTTCTCGCCCCACTCCAGAGACTACAACTGCATGGCAGACGACACTGCTTCTGGGAAATGTTATTGCCAATCTTCAATTGCATGCATCCAGTGATCCTGCCAAACAGGCAGACTACTTTTCAAATTACGGAGTGGTCGACTCGGCCTGTTGCGAGCCTAGCCACGGCGGACGCCGCAGTTATTTCTTTCAGGACCCTGCAGTTACCCATTGGAAACTTCCAACCGATCGAGCCACCCCGGAAACGAGAAAGGAGTCAGAAGATGAACTTGCCGGGCCTCGAGTCTACGGCCAGCCTTCTGGTACTTGGTAGAAGCCTTGCACAGTTTTGTGATAATCCATGTTTTTAACAGACACTGTGAATTGGTGGATCACACAACCAGGCTCGGAAGCATGGATAGCATGATAGAAGCTGGGGTTCTATATGGTGATGGGAAAAGAGAGAAAGAGGATGGAGGATTTACAAGGCAGATGGTTCAGTGGATAGCTTTGGGGTTTGCAGTGTGTAGTTAGAAGATCTAGTGACTTTTCACAGCTCTACACAACCTAGGAACTACAGCTTTGCTTCCACAGATTGGAAGACTCGGTGCCGGTCCATTGTAGGATCGTAGTCTGAGTTTCTATGGGAAGGGATTCAAATAATCTTGGATCAACGCACTATCCTTTACGTAGTGATTTTGGAAGTGTCTTCTTTGTCTAGTCTTTCCCAAGGTCGAGTCACAATAGCCATACAATGTACAGTTTGGGCGCCTGCTCCGTTTACATGATGACCGGTCGTTGCCTTTCCTCACCTTCCTCCTCCATGAAGCCTTCCAGCTTCCCATCTACTTATCTTCCATCCATCCTCTGGGTGGGAACTCTTTACCTTTTCTCCTACTATTTAGGAAAGCGCCTATCCCCTTGGTGACTTAGTCTTCAAATGTCATCGAAAAGCCACAAGTTGATCTTTCTGTACACAATCAAATAACATTTCAAGTATCATGCGTTTTACAGCTCCCTCGTCATATTTATCTACTTTTGTGGAAACTGTGTCTAACATCTTGTTCATTGCTTAGTATATCTGCTTGCTTTCCATCGAACCTCGAGAACTATAGCGGTGTGAAGGACACGCTCTACCAGCGTTTGACGCGGTACAGCTGGTAACAAGATGGACTTGTCTAGGGGTGTGTCGAGCGGTCATATATTCTTGGAGGACATTCGGAAGAGGCCGATCTTCGTGGATCTCTCGTGCCGGAGATGCCTGTCAGCCGAGTAGCAATATCACTTGGACACATAGTTCTGCATCCCTATCTGCAGCTATGCAGTCAATTCTCGAGGAGATTTGTGCAGTGTTTTCACGAAATGCTCTGTCCACTCCAGTCTCCGCGCTCTATCAATGTCAGATTTGGCAATATCGGTTCGAGAGTGTGCATTGGCAGTCGAGATACTACATCGAGAACATTTTAGAGTGTCTTCAGCTTGCACAGCCGGTCAACCTGGAGAGACTCGAGATCCGACACGAAGGCATGGATGCAAGCATCTTCAACTCATCATCTGTTCAACTTTCCATGCTGAGCGGTTTAATGGATCTCCAATATCTCTCCGCTGTTTCCCAACTTTATTATTCTCGTATATAGGTACCATGATACTCCGTAATCTGAGCTCCTTTCCACAGAGCAAGTAGTGTTGGACACTTAGTGTATAGCATGCATATGCCTAGTCCTCAACTCTGAATTTGTTAAGATACCTAATGCCTCATGCAATACAATTAAACCTTCTCTAAAGCTTGTGACGTTAGCAAACCGCCGTGTCAGGGACTGAATCTATAGAGTAAAGCTAAATTTGCTCTTAGCCTAATTCACTTCCGCTCCTGTGGCAGTTAAAGCAGTGCATAAAGGTATGAAAACATTTGACGTCGAGTTGTACATTCAGTCTGCCGTCCGTAGACCTGCAGCACCTGCTTAGCAAGCCCAGGCCCCAGGGAGCCTAACTGCCTGAGGCATCTGAAGCACAACATTCCCATGATAGAGACTACCAAGTCATATGCTGGTCGGTTACGCAGTTTTTAGATCAAGAGAGTATTGGGAGCAGCCCAGTCTTATTGTTGTGTATCTAAAACAACAGACATCTATCGCTAAGGTCGGCGTCCTTCGCGGGCCTGACGGAGCCTCTGCTCAAGTTGGCGTCTTACTATGGCCGCGCTCTCCTCCTCAGCTCGAAAACGCTCTTGGCGGGCATGCAGCTCCCGGAGGCGCAACTCGTCACATTGACGTTCGAGGGCTTGGACGTCTTCCCCCTCATAGTGAGACGATGCTGTCGTTGCAACTTCGTGCCGAGGGCTATGCCGATCCCTGTATCCACGCGCGAGGGACAAATCTTGGTACTCCGGGGAGCGCGATCGTTGCCGTACCCGATACAATTGGAGGGCGGGCTCGTCGTATTCGCGAGGTTCCGATGGGGCCCTTTGCTCCTGGAAGTCCTCCGTCATCTCCACGTCTTTGTTCTCCACATCTTCGTAGCCGGCCTCTTCCTCATCTTGTCGGGGCGCTGCAGACAACTCAGGCAGTGGTGGTCGTGGCGGCAGTGAGTGTAGCGCTTGGCTGCACGAAGTGCACTGGGGTAACGCGACCCGCGGTCTGGGGGCCGAAAAGGGTTGCGACTGTACCTCCGCCGTGGCTGCAGCAGCCGGATTCGCTGCCCTCGTGGACGGACGCCGGATGTCTCGATCATGCGAGTAGTAGACCGCCTGGACGGGACGATCGAGTTCTTCCACAGTCGACTGGCCGTGCCAGGTCAGGGTATGGCCCTTCCGAGTGACGTCCCTGAGCAGATCCAAGAGGAACCTGTTCCGATTGCCGGTGGTATTGTGAATCGCCCTGATCGTGTCGGAATTCCAGACCTTCAAGTTCCCAATGACGATCAGAACTTTTTGCGCCCGGCTGAGAGCGACATTCAGTCGGTTTCTGTCACCGAAAAAGCCAACGCTCATGGGGTCCATGGATGGTTTTGTCATCAGGAAGACCACAACGGGAGACTCGGATCCCTGGGCCGCATCGACAGTCAAATTCTCATTGAAGCCGATGTTGTTCTCTCCGAGGATGTGCTCCACCCGCGCCCTCTGGTCCCTGTATGGACTAATGATCATGACATCCCTGGGCTCAATCCTTTCTCCTTGAGCCGTCTGGAACTGGTACAGCTGAGACAAGAGATGGCTCAGAGCGTGCACCTGTGCATCATTGTACGAGGACAGGCTGTTCGTGTGGCGATCAGCGCACCCGGTGGTACTTATAAAGAGACGGCGAAGCCCTACGACACCGAATTCTCGAAAGTAATGCCGAGACTCGGTGAAGGCATCCCACGCGTTGCCCACACGGTCAGCAGCGTCGTTGGAGGGTCCAACTCGCAAGTCGCCATTATACACTTGCCTGTTCCACAAATCGAGAATTTCGCTATGATTCCGATAGTTCGTGGTAAGCATCGTGCATGGATAACCCGCTTTCTGAAGCCGAGTCATGAGTGACCGTTTGAGATATGTGGCCCCCTCGTTGCAGTCATTCTCCGAAATGACTGTTGGCGGCACCTGATGGCGATCTCCGATGAACCACCGCTTTGACCTTCGGCATCGTCAAGGCGATACAGTGATCACCCTCCAGACACTGGCCGGCGTCGTCGCTGATCACGAAATCGGGTTCGAAGCTCGAGTAACGAAGCAGTTTGTGGGAAGCATTGCTCAAAGTAGTAGCCACGGCTTTGCAATTCCTGAGGACGGCCAGGACGCAACCCTCATAGGCGTGGCGCAGCTCCTTCGACTGTTCTCTGCTCAGGTGGCACTCTTTATCCCTCTTGACAATATCAAGGAACTTAGCACAGCCATGGTCACGCGCTGATCCTGCATTCTCCTCGGCGTAGCGCTGAACAACATTGTGAATCTGCACTGGCTCGAGGATCTGGCTTGCCGAGCTCCCTTTTCTTGACGCTCCTAGTTTGCGTTGGTTTGAGTTCGCGCTGTCAATTCTGACTTGTGCAAGCTGATAGGATGGAGTTCGGAAGCGAACAAGTTGGCCACACCACCGCTGAAGTCGAGGGTGTTTACTCAGAGCTGCAACAACAGCCTCCGCGAGATTGTCGACGCCCTTATTTGAGCCAGCGACAAGCAGGACCTTCAAATCCAATGCCATAAGCAAGAGGATGATGACCACAGCAGTTCTTGTTTTTCCTGTTCCAGGTGGCCCTTGGATCAGGTTGACATCGCAGGTGATCTGAAAAGTTGACTTTAAGAATGCCTCTCGCTGAGCCTCATCTAGAGGGAAATTTTTCTCGATATAGAAAATCCTCTCGGCTTTCTGCTGTTGAGGAAGCTGTGACATCTCGCAAGCGTCGAGACGAAAATAGAAATCGCTGTGGGGGTCCAATTCAACTCCGTGGGCGAGTACTGTCCTTCTCAGCGAAAATCCCTTCCCTTCTTTGCCTTCCAGCTCTCCCCAGGATGTGCATAAGCTCACGTCCCCAAGTGCCTTGATCTGCTCATCAATTGGCATGGTGTTTGGCTTGACGAACGTGACAATCTCAACTTGATCACCATGCTGGGGAATGTCGCCCTTCACGAGAAGAACAAGATCACCAGAGCTGTGTGTTTCAACAACAACCCCTTTCTGGTTAAGATCGGTCTTGACGTACGTCCGGTCCTCCACAGCTACCTCGAATTGGACCTCAGTCATCTCAGCCAGCTGAGGCACGTTCACCTCCGTTTCACCCTGAACGGCTTGGAGCTTGATATGGACAAAGAAACTGTTTCGCAATGACTCTGTTTGCGCTGGAGTGTACCATGCTCGGTGACGGCGAGACGGATTAAAGACGTTGGCGACCGACCGACATTGAGTATCTTTCTCGATCCTGGATGCCTCAACCAACCTGCACTGTCGGTCATAGTCATCGATGAAGAATGCATCATGAGGAATCAACTGAGTATATCGCCTCTTCGAAGTGTCCTCCTCTTTTGTGAAGAGCCATGGCATTGGTGGACTGCGGCCCTCTCCGTCCTTAGGGGGATTCTGACGATACCACCAGAATGCTTTTTCAGTTGTGAGGCCACCCAGTACTGTCAGCCATTGGATCGTGTCTGGCACAGTTTTGAATTCCTGGTCGAATTCCTGGAAGATGAAGACGCCTTCTCCTTGTCCTGCCAAGCTCTCGAGGATGTGCCAGTCACGGTCATCATTATGATACCATGCTCCTCCCGTTCTCACAACTATGGGATCGATGCGGCACAAGATGTTGAAGTAATACGCCTGACGCCAATCTTGGAAGCATTCGGGCCATTGCTGCCTTAATCGTCGGATCTCCTCCCCTTTGTTATCGCCTGTTGCACCCTCAACTCCCGCATTCAGAGAGCAGTTTTGAAGTGGGATAACTAAACGCCATCCGCTTTGTTGTTTCGTGCGGAGGACCAATCGGGGTTGCTGGGAGTCGAGTATGACTTGGACTTTCGCTTCGAGCCAACCCTTGGCGCTAGCAATGCGGCAAATGCGCCATTTTCCGCAAGCCTTATAAAGCTTAGATGGATAGTCGCTGCCTTGTGGCTCGTTGAACCAGTTCTCGTTGTAAATCGAGGTGTTCGCCATTATTGCGGCTTGATGAGAATCTATCGGTGGTATGCAAGTTAGAACGCCCGGCGTTGACTGATGAGTTTGACATAAAAGCTTACCGAGGAGGATATGACTAAAGTTTGGATGTCGATCGATTTGAGAGTTTCGAGTATTGACGGCTCACTAATCAAAGTGAGCTACACGCTTTACAGGACACGGACAAATAGCTGCTTACCACTGAGTCCAGTAGGAATACGATTCGAGAAAATCGGGGAAAACCGAACCCTCTAAGAGAGGCAGCACTAGGAAATGTCAGTCAGCAGCCAAGATGCATCAATCAGGGCAACTTACAAAGGTAAAGGTAGAGAAAAACTGAACCCTCTAAGGAAGCCAGCTAAATGTTGGTCAGTCAGGATTTCCAAAGCTTTGATCGGTTAAACTCACCAAGGTGGAAATTCGGGGAAACCGAACCCTCCACGAGAGCCGGACTATCGACGCATCAGCCATGCATATGAGAAACGAGAGATGGAGCTACTCACCTTGTGCGTACAACTGCCGCAAACCCAGACCCTCTACGAGGGCCGGCTGCTCTCAGCGTAACTTGTCTAAAATGGGTGTCGTACTTACCAACTATGCTGGCAAGCTGCACCATAGGAAAAGGAGAGAAACCTGGACTCTCTACGAGAGCCACTGAAAAGGCCTCCGTCAGATGCTCTGGACGTTTTGCACTAGAAAGTCGGGGTACTTACGCGAAAAGACCAACAGACCGAGTCGTCGAGCCACAATTCAATCGGAGGAAGGAAATGTAAGAAAGATTGAACTTGGGCCATAAAAGTGGCAGTATTATGAGCATGAGAAGGCCACGAGGAGGAGAGGAGGAGAACACAAGAAGGAAGCAGTTCATCGTGCGTGGGCTGGGGTCGCGTTTGCTGCTGCCCTGCCACCTGATGCAACCATTTAGGGCTTAGGTCAAAACGCATATTATATAGCAACCAGCACGCTCAAAAGCCAGGTTTGTTTGCTTAATTCACCATAAATTTTACGAAGGGGCAATCAAAATGCAGCGCCTGAGACCTTGCCAGGGGAGCCGATTTGAGATTCATAGAAGTCGACCAAATACAAAGATACGGGATGGAGCGGCTTTATCATCGGAAGACGAATTTACTCATTGAGAATATAAGTACTGTAGCGTTCAGGTTTATTTGGGGTACTTTGCACACTCAAAGGCCTGTTGACAGCAGATTCTGGGATAAAGTTGATCGCTCAAACTCTCCAGACTCAGCCGTTCGACATTATTTACTTAGTCACTTTTGCTTTTGATTATTAGGATTATTACCTAGATACAATAATGCTGCACTATACTCAGTTTCTTTTACTCTGCTTTCCTTTTGGTTAGACGACAGACTATCTACTGAGAGATAGCAATGCTTCAACAACGCTCATACTCGCAGAAATGCCAGATTTTTCATCTGTCAACAAGCACCAAAGAGGGCATCTACGAATAAAATTGGCTTTCAAAGTCCAGTACTATGAATAGTTTTAGTATCGCTTGTAATCAGGACCGAACTGTACCCGAGACGATTCCACCATGCAACCTACAATATGAAGATGAATTCAAGATAGAACCCATAATTTAGAATTTCGCAAAAGAGGCTGAAATCTAATGTGAATTGAGGTAAGGGCTTTTCCCAGAATAATTCTATACCACTGCGAAGATTAGTGTAAGACGCTTGCTGGAAAAAGATGTTATCTGAAGACGTTGGATCCATCATGGAGTATGTAGTACAATGTAGTCTGCCAAGATGGTTGCTTGGCAGCGGCGTCAGGGACAGTTTTATCCTTGGGTTTGATTGGTTTGAAAATGAGGGCCTCCGGAACCGGGCCGCCCACCTTTCCCCGGCCCAAACCTTCCAATGATTACGACAATCAGCTTCTCCGTAGTCTGTGTTTATATGACTCGCCGATCGCAATACTTCACCTCAGGTAGGCTCATAACTACGGTTGGGTTCAAGTGAGCCGAACTTTGTCCAGGCTGTCCTTCATATACACACTAACTCAGAAGCTTTGATTGATCTGGCCAAGCACCTATGGTCATGTCCGGCGCTCAGTCATTGAAACGCTGCAATATGAGAACCACTGCCACCCACTGTATACTCTTCGAGGAGCCTCGTTTTTATCAATTAAGGTGCAGGAGGTTAGGGTCTACTACCGAGGTACTGGACCGACTACGGTGAGGAATAATATGAAGCATACTCTATGCTCTCTATAATCCGAAAACCTGTCTATTGACGAGGAGTCCAATGGTCCGTCCAATATTGTTACAAGAAGTGGCTCTATTCCTTAATTTGGTGCTTCAGGGTGTCTGCCTCCTTGTCCTTTGCTTTCAAGGCCTGTTTGTATTTCTGTTCGACCTTAAGGACTTCCTCTTGATAGAGGGCGTCACTATCACCGACCAGTTCTTGCAGCCTTAAGCCTTCAGCTTCAGCACGTTCCAGCCGTTGCTGTGATGTAGGGGTATGGTGGGTCTGAGTCCCCCAACAAGGACTCTCCACGCATTGAGGCAGCCACCACTCTCACCCGAGTACTCCGGTTCTTCTCTCATGCTTGGTTACCGCATCTCATGTTGGCGTCTATGGTAAGGCGGAGTACAAGTTGTCCAAGTACGCGGATGGGCTTCGCATCAAAGATGTCGAAGGGACCAAAGCAATGCAATCTCAGAAAGTCACTCTCCTCTGGAGTCATTGAGTCGGGACCATTCTTCTCCAGATATTTCTTATAGCCGTCGCCGGGTTTTGCGAACGTAACGAAGACCTCTTGTCGGTGCTGGCTTATCAAGATGTACCTAACCTCTTATTAGGACCTGAGAGTTCTGATCTCACAACCTCTTGCGCCGGCACTTACGGAGAGACTTCTTTACCGTCATGGATAGATTGGCCGATCCATGCTACCATCTCCATTCCCATTTGCATCAGGGTCTTATCGGGGTTCTCCCGCAAGATGAACGGTTTTACTTCTACAATGGCGAAGTTCTGACTGTCACTTGGTGCAGCTCGTTTGGACAAGCGGCCATCTGTCCTTGCTACAATCGTAGCCTTTCCCACAGTGACGGTCACATTTTGTCTGTCCAGATCCCATCGCAGCTTCCTTACTTTCTTGCAGTAATAGCTCATCACGTCGAGGAAATTCACAAGAGCCATGTTCACGGTTTCCTCGTCCTTTGTTCGGGCGAACACGTGTTTTGCTGAGTCGGGATGCGCCGCAGAGAAGAAGGATAGTCCGCCAGCCGTGGTATTACCTGTTTGAGCAGTTGCGCTCCGTGCCCCCTGCGTAGAATCAGTATCATTGCGAGTATCGTTGCTCCGCGTCTCAGCGTCGGGCATAGTTTCAACCGCTGGTAAGTTTTCTACCGGTGCCGTTGGAGGTCCCCCTTTGGTTAACTTTGTTCTTGTCCTAGACGACATAGGACCCTCGGGCGATTCAGAATGCTCAGACGATTCAGGATCCTCAGGTGATATATCACCTTGAGTCAGGTCCGTGGGTATTTCGTTGCTGATGCGGAGCTGAAACGATCGGGTTGAGGTAAACTTGCCGACATCGATCTTGTCGTCATTATCCGTGCCCGCGTTCTCTTCAATATCGCGTTGATATGCCTTCCATTGCATATCGTCTTCCAGAGCTTCCTGCGCATCGTTCTTGGCTTCCTCAGACCAATAACCCAAACCGGTACTGAGCTGGTTGGCATAGTGGAATCTCCACAGCGCTTGTAAGAAGGTAATGCCCTAGTGTCATCTGCGATGCTGACGGCCAACCATTGACTTGACGAAGGCTAAGTTTTGAGACCTTTTCTCCCACGTGGTAGTCTGCTGAGTGATTGACAGTCCGACTCGGACCTGGGAGGTTTCGTCCGTCCTGGTTTGCCAGTTGCGCCCGGTGTGAGGTAAAACCAGACACTCTAAGAGTGTTAGACTGTGTCAAAAAGGTATAAAGCAAGGTCGTGATGAGCGACGAAAGGTAGGGGAACGGAACTCGAAGTATGAAAGCGAATGGAGGCGGTTCTGCAAGTCATTTAGGAGGAAACACGCCAGACTGTATGGCCAAAAAGGTGACCAAGAGCGCCTTCCATTTTCAAAAATGTACTACAGAGCTCTATTCTGGGTAGGAGGCAGGGCCATCATTCACTTTACAGCAGAAAGAGGAAGGTGCAGCCACTCCAATTGGTGAATGGCATCGGTTCTTGCCATAGAGCAAGTCATTGTACATCTTACGCATCACTGAGGATCAGATGAGTTCGTTACTGCCTTAATCGTAGTGGGCATTTCAGAGATAGCAAACGTATATAGAGCAATTTGTTATTCTTCAATTCTTTAGTAGAGGCCAAGATCCACATTATCCCCCAGCCCAAGGTTTCTGCCAAGTAGCGTTTGTCCAGTGCCTGTTGTCGAATCCAGCGCAAATACTCCCAGCATTGACTGTCGTTCATGGATTTCTAACGGGACGCCGTTTGCGGGCTGGTTCCGCCCAGGTTTGTGGACGATGAGCTTTGTATTGGAGCAAAGCCTGCTGATCAGTCTCGGTCATAGGGAGAAATTTCCAACGATCTTGGTTAACTTGGTATCGACAGTTCTCTACCTGCAGCCTGCAAAGGGCGGAAAACTGCTGAAGTAAATTAAACACCTCGGCCCAAGAGCGACTGCTAAGTCGCACGTCGTTGAGCCCGAGCTCTCTCAACGTATTTTGAAAGTGGCGGAGCTCAAGGAGGCACTCGCCAGGGAGAAATGCAAACCTAAGTCGCAAGGACCGTAGGGGAGCCGACGGGTGTAGAAATGTTGATGGGCTTCGTGGGAATCTACGGATTCCAAGCGCATAAACATCTTTCAGGTTCTCGCCGTGTTCAAGGATTTGACTTATACTGGAGTTTTCCCTGCGGGTCACCCAGCTGAACGCAAGGAAAAGGGTTACGCTTTGGAGACTTTTTATACCCCTCGAGATAGGGGGATGATTGGACGGTGGGCTTTCAAGTAAGCTATCCTCATACGTAGACCTGGGCGCTGGATCATAGTAAATCATCAGTCCCGTCAGCCTGGGTAGCTGCGCAAGTTGAAGAGCCTCGATTATCTGCTCAATGTGGCCACCAGCATTCCTGCTGTTTCTCCCCCAAGGATATCTGGAGAAAACCAGTACAACGCGGCTTAAAGATGGGAATTGCTCGAGATAAAGCGCGAACTTTTTGCAAGAGCCAGCAAAGTCTCCAGGATTATATGCAGCTGGGCCTGTCGTGCTTTCGCAGTATTTGATAACCACTCTTTTAACATAGCGAGTGTTGGCATTGCGGCAGAGCTCTTCAAATTTGAGAAAGGGAAAGTCACCCTCCTGAGCTGGGTGATCCAGTGGGATCACAAAGGTTTGGAACATCAAGCGTGTGGCGCTGTAATAGAACGCCTTATTCACTTGACGAAGGATACAACATCTCCTCAAACGCTGCTTGTTCATAAATGAAAAGCAACTGTTTATATACGACAAGCAATAGGTATCCTCAGGCCAGTGTGTACAATAGTTTCTCACAATCTTTTATGAAAAATCAGCTCCTCTCTGCGGAAATGATAGCCCCTGATCTGTTAAACATACCTCATCATATAGCTCCATGGGTAGGGATGCTATCCCACTCATTTTCTGTTCTGCGGGTATGCGTTGCTTCAGTAGTTGTATGAGCAGACGAGGAGGGATAAAAGAGGATAATGTCCTTGGTAAAACGTATGCTTCTTAGTGATGCTTTGTCGTATCAGCATTATGTCAGAATCTTAGACTGAGTTTTCACGGCCCAGTGTTTCCAGAACCTGAGAATAATTCTGATATTACCAAGTTGAGACCATTCAAGAAGCCCTGGAAAGTATGGTTATCGGCGGTTAGTTGAACAGATCACCCAAGGTTAGATTTAAAGCTGATGACTTACCATTCTCTCTGATTCAAACTCACATCTTAACTTATATAGGTAGTGCTAAGCACTTGGTTTATCCTCTCCTATATAGTGCAGTTGAATAGTCTATGTGTGTTGCAATTACAGTACTCGTCATCCTCTCCCCCTCAATTTCCATATTCTCGATGTGATCGACGTAGCTCAAGGGCAGACCGCTATATTATTTCAAAATGCACTCGTAGATTATATATGTAACATACAAAACTTTCTGCATATTGTGATACCGGTGCTCCATAGTCCGTTATCTTTAGCTGCTATGGAGACTACGGAGGTTCTTCCCTGGCATGATCGGATATGTTGGCATATGATACCGCTATGATTATGGATATGCAATTCTAGACTGACGAGTACGTCGTCCGGACACCTTTAGCCTAATTGTTACTTTGGTATTATATTTTGATAGAATATAGCCTAAGTTACATGATTCTTGTAGATAGCTTCTCCGTCTCCTTTTTCCTCTCCTGATCTCCTCCATAGCAGCTTGCCTAGATAGCAATCCATGATTCCAATCTCGCTCGCTCCACCGCACAAATACTGCTGTTGATACGCCCCTCGATCCTGAGATCCTTGATGCGATTCATGCAGTCCAAGCAAAGACCTCAAAATGTTCGGGAACCCGCTCAGGGGTTTGATTGAACGGGACCTTCAAAGTGTTGCGATACCAGTAGTCATCGTCAATCACAATTGCCCCTTGTGGCACTTGTGCGCTGCTGAAAGGAGCAGCTATGGGTCTGTGGGTACAAGCATTAGCAGAAGACTTTTGACTATTCCTTCATGAGGTTTCTGATGCTCGAAATGGAATGCGTCTAGTAGGGTTGATCTTACCTGGCTTTGAGTGGAGCACCTCCTGCTGTTTGTATGCAGGTACAGTGGCAATCCGAATTAAGGACCATCATCAAGGTAAGGTTTGGACTCTCTCTTAAGGCTTTCTTTGGCTTGATGTGCAGTGTCCTGGAGGATACGGCCCGAGACGGGAGGTGTTGATGAGGATGAAGCGGTCATCTTCCCTGTCTTGTAGGTAAAGGGTCACGGTGGTGTAGCCCGTTTTCTGACAGTGTGCCGTTCTCGACGGTGAGGAAATTGGCAAGCGGGTCGATGTCCAGGGTCCAAATCGATGATCGGACGGTGGACACCTGGAAGTTCCATGGCTTCGGCGAAGCCTGCATTCAAGTCTCCGACGGAACCAGCAGCCTACATGCCATTCAACACCTGAGCCAGGATTCACTCACATTTGTTACTAATGCCGAGCAGGTAAGCTTGAGCTCTGCTCCTGAATAATTGCTCACGAGGGTTCGGGTTCCTGCTTGGCTTCGTTTTCGAAGATTCGTTTTGCGACATCCCGGACCACGTCTGGGATATAATCCTTCATACGGTCAAGGATTGCCCGATTCGGACGAATCCAGAGAGCACCGAGCCCAGCACAGATATGGGCAGTGCAGCCCAGGCACCAATGCAGAAGGAGAAGTAGTCTGAGCCATTGAACGAGATTCCAGACAGAGCGCTTCAGTGTTCACAGATGAAACTGCCGAGACTCTGGATCGTCCCTCTGAAATAGAGCGGTCACATCCCATTAAGGATCTGATATCTGGTGAGTTTTCAAAATCAAAGGTTCAGAAGAGAGGCTGTTGACAGAAAGTTGTTTTACTGAGAGAGGGATGAGGGGTTAAGTAGACACCATAGCTTATGCTACAGAGCAATCAAAATGCAAGATGGCGAATATACACCAACATATGTACAGCACACATGATACAGTCTATCGACAGTCGCTTAGAATCACACAATGCACATGCCCATGCCAACCTCCAAAAATGATGCTATTAGCCTTGTTGCTGACCAGTTTCGGCTTGGAGCATTGACTCTTCGGCTTCGGGAACGCATGCCCAACTGCAACCAAACCTTCGAAATGGCAATGGGCGTAGTTGCTCCCCAGGACACCGAGGTCTCTTGAGCCCGTTTTCGTAGGTACTGCAGTCCCACCACTCAATCCATTCGGTGCGAGGAATTACAAAGCTCCGGTGACATATCGAGCAGCTTCTACCGCCAGCATTTCTGACACCCTTAGCCTGTCGAAGGAGGCGAACCATTAGTTCAGGATAGCCGATCATCTCAGACTCGGATATCTGGTCGCAATAGGCTGATTGGCTGAAAGCCAGGAGGGACACCTCACGCAACGAGGGCACATGGGACGGGGCATCGTCCGATGATCTCAACGGCAAGGTGCCGCTTTGGCCATCCGTTATGGGAATACCTTCCATGTTGAACCGTCGGATGGGGCTGATCGCCACTTGAATTGGGGCCCATGCTTCCTCAGGTGCGGGTCCTTCATAATGGCACGCTTTCAACGCCTCCTCCGGTGATGTTGCATCGCTACCATCGGGCGAGTACCACCTTGTAACTTCTACATCATTGGTCTGAAGAAGGGGGTTGGGTCGGACCATCAGATGTTTCAGGTCACCCTTCCTGATCAACCATAGTAACTCCCAAGGAAGATATCGCAGGCGATTGACCGCAAGGTTGATCTCTTGCAGCATTGTCAGCTTTCTTATAGCGGGAGGAATCTCCGTCAGCTTGTTATTCCGCAAGCTGAGAACTCTGAGCGAGTCGAGTTCGAATATTTCTCCCGAAACTGCAGTAAGCGCATTGCCAGCCAGGAACAACCGGAGAAACGGTTTCAAGGAGCTGTAGCCCTCTTCCGATATTGGAGGCTCTCTGACTGAGGGCAACTTGGTGAGATATTGAAGAGGAAGCAGCAAGCCCAACGGAAGCTCTCTCAGATTGCCATTGCTGCAAGAGTTAGCGCAGCTTCACATCACTCAAACAGATATTATCTCACCTCAAGTCGACGCTATCCTGCCCTTTTTCGAGACAGTCATTGACAATCGTCCTCGCGAGCTGATGTTCCCTCGGCTCCTCCACCTTCCTGAAACTCCCCGGCTGTGACACCGTCTGACGCAGCTGTGAAATCGCAGGTTGTGAACTGGCTGCGCCCATCTGTCCCTCACTGCCCACCCCAGCTGACGTAGAATTCTGCATATTCCGCATCAAGTCTTCCCCCCACATCAACGCATCCTCCGACGGCAAAAGCGACTCTGCCGTCGACTCATCACTTCCCATCCACACACCACTATCCACAAGCCGCTTGTCCTTAAAGTCTGCCCTCTTCCGCTTCGGATCGACTACCGTCTCTCCCCACCAGGTCCCCCGGTAGCGTCGTTTCCTGCCCGCTGCATTTCCAGAGGAGACGGGGGCGTTGTAGTTTTCGAGACCGGACGCAGGGATATCATCGCTGGAGAAGAGCGCAGGATCACTGGACGGCTGGCTGGAGCGGTCATCAAAGCGCGAGAGTCGGTATGTCTTTTTGAACGAGGAAGCAGTTGGAGGGTTCGCAGCGGAGGAACTGGAACTGGCGGGGGAGCGGTGCCGGATTCGTCGCGGCGGGGGAAGAGGGACTTCGCTATCCATGCCGGGCGCAACTCTTTTTTCAGTGTATTTCAAGAAAATTGGTTATTAGTGAAAAACAATGAGATGGAATTCTTGTTGTCTGCGACCACGGCGCTTGTTTTGGACTGGGGCGCGTCACCTCTGGAGTGGGGAAACGGATCTGCAACGGAGTCACCAGGCCTTAGCGAGCAGGCGCAATCGAGACCACGAGGGAGAATCTCAAGTCAGGCATGTGGAAGCCATGACGTCTGCAAGAATGTGGAATCAGATAATCTATCCGAGAGGTGACGGTCAACCGGTGGTCAGTCGACTGTTTACCGAAAACCGCGCACGCGTCGGCTTCCAACTCCACGCGCTCTGCCAATCGGGCCGGGTGTTCCTCATTGGAGAACTCCACTTGATGATCAGACGGGAGCATTAAGCATTGAGCATTGAGCATTGAGCATCTTCATTCTGATCGGCAGAATATTATCTAAAGCTCAACATGGGGAATCGACCTGATCGATCTGATGCACTGGTCATTTAAAACCTGTGTGCCACCGTCTTAGTGGTGTAACAGAGATTACAGAAAAATGGATCTTGACCAGCAGCTTTAAATTGCTATTGACTTGGCCTATGTACTACGCTATATGCAACATAATAGTATCCTCCAAGCTCAACAAACCACCTCGCAGGTCGAATGAAACCGAAACTCCGTGATCATAACCGGATGACCGGTAGACATCATGGAGGTAAAAGGGGAATAATCACCGTCAACTCGTAGAAGAAGTCGTAAAAAGGGGTATATGAATCCAAAGCGCCTCGACCACTGCCTCATTCTTCAAATCGTAAAATCTCAGACGAGGAGGAAGAAGAAGTTGTAGGAAGAAAGAAAGAATCAAAAGTATGAATATATTCGAAGAGCGCAGTCGAAGGTAACGAGGTGATATACCATGCGAGCATCACCTGTACTTCACTTCCGCGTAGAAGAGAATTCAATGAACTCGTTCGCAAGCTGCCAGGGCGCGACGAGCGCGATGTTGATCAAGTCCAGCTCTCGCATTGTACTTATCTGCAACGCAAACAAAGTCGGATGGCTGTTCATTCAATTACAGCGCAGCACCCAAAAGGAGGGCAACGGATCCGGCGACGAGCGCGACAGGCATACGGACATCGGCAACACTTCCCGCTCCGGAATGATTCACGACGCCAGATGCGGACGGGGTGCTGGACGCAGGAGTCGAAGTGGCAGCAGCACTGCTGCTGGCAATCCAGCTGCTAGAAGGAGTAGCAGAGCTCGAGGGAATGACATAGGAGCTGATGCTTGTAGAGGCTCCTGGGGTTTCCGAATTCACGCGAACCAGCGTCTTGGTGATGGTGTGGGTGTAGGTCGAAGTGGTGGTTTCTGCGGCGACAAGCTGGGTCGCAGCCAGGCAGAGTACGGACGAAACAATGGCGTTGATCTTCATATTGACGGAAAGGAGAATCTCCAGGTTTTAAAAACACTTAGGAGATTGATGTTGTGCACGCGACAGCACTATATTCGTATGAATCGATCGAGGTATCCTTATCCGATGGCAAGGATGGAGAACGCAATGCGCAAGAGAGCTAGGTGTGGACCCGCGATGATTGGAAGCAGCACGGAAATTTTGCGATGTAGCGTTGAGGTTGACCAAGGTTGAATGACTGGGATGAAGGAGCGCTGAGAATCCAAGACTCGGTACGCGAACGAGTGAGCGCCGGAGTCAAGAAGCAAAGGAGGTTATTGTAAGGAACGTGGGGAGCACTGCTCAAGGGCCAAGAAGGAGTGTAAGTGGAATAATATTCCCCAGACAACGAACGTGTGAAGGAGGTTTTATGAAGGAGAAATCCCAAACCAAACAGGGGCGGCGCTTTGTTATTTAACAACCTGGGTCTGTTTCTGCAGCTTGGCCTGGGGGGAAATTCTTAACCAATCGCAAGGGGTCCGTCCATCCCATCAATTTACACTAATACGAGATTTTTATTGTCTTTGTTTTCTATTGGACTGAGTTGTCCTAACTCATATGGTATGCTAGCTTGGTTGGTGACTTGGTTCGCCATCACTGCTCGTACTGGTAGTCAAGTCCGCAGTTCATGAACAACGAACGGCAGTACGTAGTCTTAAGGGTCCAGACGGACGATGAAAACCTTTTTCTTAGGATTGTGGAGCGAATTACGAGGATCAAGTTGTAGCCGCCTGACTAGTTCGAACTCCGTGGAGGTTCCTGAAGAGGGAAGACCTCGTCAGCAAAGCGGATCGTTATGTGATGTGTGTGGCCGATGATGGATGGTCGGAAGGGTTCAACTGTGCATGCGACTTCGAAAACCTAAACTCGCCCCAGGAACGCCATGGGATGATTCGCTGCAGGGGCCTTTGGAGCCCCGAGAAACGAGATTAGTACATCTCTAGTGCCTCACCGGAAATTGGTGCATCGTCACTTCGTCAGGTACGATCGAAGTTACTGGACCATTTAATTAAATAGACCTCACCAGAGCCTAGTGCTCTTTTGGCTTCTCGGGTTGCACTTCTGGCTGGGGAAGAGCAGCGAAATTATCAGAAGCGACAAAAAACCACTTTGATTATTTGAGCATCACGTCTAGGGGATCTTGTCCTTCATTCAACTCCTGTAGAGATGGTGGTCCTAAATTCTTTAACTTCATTCTGGCGCCTGCGCTCACCTCCATTGTCTCTGGGCTGTTTCACGCAGGTCTGAGAGAGGCATGTTGATTGTCGCACCTTTGAAGTTCGAACCCTCAGGGACCTAAACTCACCCCTTGGCGCAGCAATCATCGACTGAATTGGTTGATGAATCGGAGATCGGAGGATTTCGCACAGAATGCTTCTCGTAATAATATGACTCTTTCAACTCTGTTCCCTGGGGCGAACCGCGCCAACTAATAGCGAAATTACATGCGCTGGCTAAACTCCAATAGTCCCTGATGCAGATTGCAAGTAAAAATTCCCAACTAGTCACACCGTCTACGAAGGGACTAACAAACTCAGTGTATACAAGCAAAATGGCCATGCCAGTGATGCCACCAAGTCCGACTGTCCAGTCTTAGTCCATCCACCTGTTCGGCTGTTCCTGAAAATCCAGTCATGAGCCACGGAAAGGTGGCCCCAGAATTGTGCCTAAGGTTTCCGCAGGTCTGAGGTCACGAGGAGCAGTATCATCATTGAGAAAGGAACTGGCGCAACGATAATAATACAATAATTATCGAGGTTCGATTGAGTGTACACGACTCTTCAAACTGTTCCTGAGAGAAGATCTTCCATAGATCATCTCTCACTGCCTCGGCTCTACGGAGTAGACTACTGGTTTCTGTCGCTCTTGTGAGCATGGCCCCATATTTCATTCTGCCCTACTGAAATCTAGGCGTTCAGATCAACATGATCGTCAAGGTTCACTAAGCAACAGCTCGAACTTCTTTTTCCGCTCTGGTGTACCCAAGTATGATCATCTTTTATCGAAGCAAGGGCACGATGATCGGCATTCCACGAAGTAAAAAGGTGACCATGCATACATCTCTGCATTATCACTTTATATGACCTGCCCAAACTCGGTGTCACCGCCAGCTCATTACGTCGTCAGGCAGAATTGTGATTAGGTCAAAGCGCATTGCGTTATTGCGGTCCTTCAGTCCCCTCTCTCTTGAACAAAGGCAGCGGCATACAACAGCTTGTAGTGTATTGACAATGGGACACTGATTAATGACCGTACATCTCCTCAGAGGCGGGATCATTTCGAGCTCAAAAGACGCCTAGTTGCCATGTAAGGGCGATCGTCCGCTTCCTTGGACCCTCGAAGATATTCAAGGCTCAACATGCTAGCATTCTGTCTGGCCAGTTGTTCAATGCAGCTGCTGAGCGACTTCTCAGAGTCCCCATTGTTCAAAGTTAGTTGTAACATTACCAGCGTAAGAAATGCCGCACTTAATGGACTTAATGACTGCACGTATACCATAGCTCTTTCCATACTAATCATGGATGCTTTGCTTCAACGCCAGAAAAAAGTGCATCGCTGGAGGCACCTTCCATCCGACCCAATGTCCGATGCCTCCATGTTATGTACATGATGTAGGGAGAGTCCCTCCGCTGCGCTGACATTTCGCAACCATCCAGCAGCAAAGTGCCACACCGCGTGTCTTGCTCCCTGCAGTACAAGGTTCCCATCCCGGTAGATATTATTGTACAAGTCGTCCCCACGGGTCGTGATATATCTCCCTCTCAGTTCCTGCGGCAGAAGCAGTATTATTCGCCTACTGACGCATGGGCCGTAGAGGAGACTGACGAGGAAGCATCATTGGGGGTCCCCGAGCACGCAGCCAAGCGTCGTTGTGAGGTCCTTCGGTACGGATAACGCTACCAATCGACATGAAAAGACTGTCGGGAAGCAAGTATCACATTAGCACAAGAACTTCGGCCGGGACAATTTTAATCTCCTCTGTCAATATAACAGGTGGCATATTCAAATGTATCATGCAGGCTAGAAAGAAAGCTTACCCGAAAGTTGCACCCGAACCAAGCATGTATTTTCCCAGAGTGCGCATCACACCGTTAGGCCCAGCGCCATACTGGAAGATAGTGACGGTTCCTTAGACCATGTAAGCGACATATTTGCATAAATCAGTACTTCAATGGCACGAACCGATGATAAATCCCATGATACCGCCAACGGCTAGAAAGAGCGCTTTGATTAGCGATGCTTCCATGCGAAAGAACGTTACGTTTCTGCAGACTCACTCGATCCCATCAGAGCACCCATCTTCACTGTCGCAGAGTTAGCTCACTATCTACAGATGTATGTGGACATCGTCAAGTGCCCCAGCGGTCTCCAGACTCACTCTTGTCAAAGGTGGAGGGGCCGTGGCCTTGAGGCGGAGCTGCAACGACAGGCATTTTCGAGAAATAAGGGAGGAGATATACTGTATTTCTGAATGCACCAAACGCTTAAAGCAGATATCGAAGTAGGATGCCAGGGTCTTAATGCAGTTTGTGCAGGTCTTTGATGCTAAGCAAGCTTGTTCTTGAGCAGCCAAAGCTTCGAAAGGTCACTCCACCTACAAAGCCGCGGGCCTATTCCGTCAGATGCACGTGACCCGGAAGAACATCCAATGCACTTTGAAGCAGCTTCTTGTTCCATGAGGGCACGTGCATAGTCACGTGAGTAAAGGCCTCAGGCGTCAAAGGCCTAAACTGACCTCCTCTCCCGCTGCGGTGTTTGTGCATCCCATGTGAATTTGTCCTGGAACTTTCAGCCTTTGTGCGTCAAGAATTTTGCTGTTCTAACAGTCCAGAGGCCTGTATAAGGCGGCAGTCCCGTCTCGTGCCTCCTTCCTTCCCCTTGGACGGCGTTCTTTCATCAACCGGTCGCTTCCCCGGCTCGGACCAAGAATCACACGGCTCCCTTGACTTGACGCACCCAGTGTCTCATTTCCATACTTTATCTCAACTTTGCTCTCCAGATTTCGGTTTCAGAGGTAGGTTTGACATCTCATCTCTTGAACACAGGCCTCACCGACTGTGTATTTGCTACCTTTTTGGTGCAAATGACACGAGTTTGGCATCGGAACAATGCTAACGTGACCTCCTCAGAGTTGGTAGGGATCAAAACCCGGGCATCGCAATACTTCAGCATCAATTAGTTTTCATCATAAACAATCGCAAACGAGCTTGATAGTCGATAAATCATTGATATTTCGAACATTTATCGATTCGCTCCTCGACTTCGCGCCCATGCGATAGGCGGTGTTGGCACATTGAGTTTCTGATATTGTCTATCGCACCAGCCCGTTTCTCCATGACTGCTGTTGCATCACCGCCTAGTGTGCAAGAGGGTCCTCGCTTGGGATGGTACGACTCTGGTAAAGGAGGACAAGGAGCCTTGACTTCAATGAACGACGAAGTTTCACGGATGTTCATGCCACGGAAGACGATTCAGAGATCCAACTCCTCGTCGTCTTTAGGATCAAACTCCTCCACCTCCACCGTAGTCGCCGGTTCACAAAACGCTCATGCAGTACAAAGTAACAACGCTGAATCTGGTACCTGGTCTTCGAAGAAAAAGTCCTCCAGGAGCATTTGGCCGAGTACCAAGTCTGAACCGGCAACTGGAGTGAGTACCACACGCACGCAGGTGATGCCTGCATTCTCCTCTGGGCCCGGTGCTACTTCGGCCATGTCCGCTCTCCATCAGCCTTCGTCTATTGTTCCCTCGCAGCACATTCTCCAGTCTTCCCAGCAGAACGGCGTCCGCGCTGGCAGCGCGCCATCTGGGGAGCCGCCAGCCATATTGACGCTTCTGCCAATCAACGGCACCTTTGAAAAGAAGCAGATTACTGTTCCTTTTTACCCAGAAGTTTTGCGAATTGGACGGCAAACAAATGCGAAAACTGTTCCTACCCCTTTGAACGGGTTTTTCGATTCCAAGGTGCTTTCTCGACAACACGCGGAGATATGGGCGGACAAGACTGGCAAAATCTGGATTCGAGATGTCAAATCGTCGAACGGGACCTTTGTCAATGGCCAGCGCCTGTCTCCGGAGAACCGCGAGTCGGAACCCCACGAACTTCGCGAAAACGACACCCTGGAGCTGGGGATTGACATCGTCAGTGAGGATCAAAAGACGATCGTCCATCACAAGGTCTCCGCTAAAGTTGAGCACGCTGGGATCTATGGGACTATGCCAAACATCTTCGACCTCACCCTAGGAGATTTGGATCCCGCTTCTGGTAACGGTCTTCTCCCTTCCCCGCTCAGTCAGCCTCTGTCGCATCTCCGAGGGCGCTCCGGGAGCACGATGAGCAATAGAAGCTCGCAAAGCGCTGCGAGCAGTCAACTCAGTGCGTTGCAGCAGCAACGTCAGATGAACTACTGGAATTCTCCAATCTCCATCGAACAGATCGTCAAGCGGCTTACAGTACGTTTATTGCTCGTTTTTCCTCCAAACGTGGCATCCCACTAATTCTTTTTGCGTCTAGAGTGAAATGAAACAGGCAAAGCAGCAAGCACAAGATCTCCGGCAAACCGATGAATTTTTGACTTCTTTAACGAAATCGGGTCACCAAGAAAGAGAGAAAGCAAAGCACTCGCCACCAGACAGCGGTGTCTCACGTCAAGTCAACGGCAGACCTAAGATGCCGCGCGTCGATTCCTTCTCAAGATTCTCAGATCCCCCTGCACCACCACCGCAGCAACCACTTCCCGAAAAGCCTGATGCACCACCCCGCACGGGTGCCGATGCATTCTCTCCTCTCAAACGGTCGGATACGGAGAAGCCGAAGTTAGGTTCAAATAACTCTCCTGTTTCGCGTGAGTCCAGTCAGATTCTGTCTTTGATCGAGGCATTGTCGTCCGCCAAGCGGGAGCTGGATAGTCAGGGTGCCCGTGTAAAGGAATTGGAGACTCTATTGCTGCAAGAACGCAACGCACGGGAGTCTGCGGAGGAGAAGGCCAGAAATCTGGAGCTGCAGGCAAAGGGCGTCGACGGAGAATCGCTCGAACAGAGTATGGGTGGTCGGTCCGATGATGCGGCGATCAGCGAAAAGCACGCGCATGAGCAGCCTGCCAACGAGGAAATTCCTCCTAACTCGGGCTCAGACAAATCGTCCACCTCAGAAACGCTAGCAGACACTCAGGCTTATCATTTGCAACTTCGCCTTGAAATGATGATGGAAGAAATGGAGGAAATGAAGAAGCAAGTCGCAATGTTTAGAAAAAGGGCAGAAAAAGCGGAGAATGAGACGGTGGAAGCACGCAAGTCCCTGGCGGAGATGATCGAGACTCTGCGGCGTGAGCGTGCAGAGAAGTGCGAGATAAGCGACGAATCTGCAGCGCAGGAGATTGCTATTACTCGCGATGATTCGGCGACTGACGATGCCGGCCATGTTGGAGGCGGAGAAGTCGAGAAGCAACCACATCCAATTACGACACCATCATCGTCATATACCAACGTCAATGGTTCTGGCACGGCGTTCGCGAAACAGCCCTTGAAACACGATGTTCTGGAACAGACCAGCCCGTATGCGTCGATGCTTGGAGTGGTGCTTCTAGGGGTAGGCCTTATGGCATACCTGAACGGGTGGCAAAAGATGGACAAGTAATTGTCTTTTCTACTGTCTTCCTCATCTTTCGGGACCTCGTCTTGAAAAATGGTGTTGAGCGCATATGAGCATCGTCATCATCTTGTTTGGCCCTCGGCCTTTCCCTCCCTCTTTTTAACCTTTCCTATTGTCTTGTCTTGAGTACTTAGCTTCCCACGGGTTGGTTCTCTCCTTTTCCTTCGTGTACGCTGGCCACGGGCCCTTGATTCATTTCTTACCACCGGTTGCTGGGGTATTTGGTGTTTGCTGTTTTCTTACTCTCTTTTGATCCTGCAGTTATGACATTGCATAACGTGCATCACCGGACCTTTCCACATTTCCCCCTGTTCTAGCGCCCTGTTGACCCAGTTACGACTTTCTGGCAGCAGTTGGTTTTCTCGTCATTTCATGTTAATGTCTCTTTCTTTTTCTGGGCAGCAGCAAGCCGCGTAGGGCTCACCCTCTGTGTATTAGTTCTAACATAGCAGCATCACTTCCTTTGAATTTTCCGCGAAGCGATGAATGACTTGAGTTTCCTTTTATGAATGCATAATCAATACATTGCCCAGCCTTCTGACTGCACTTCTGCGGATTAACCAGCATCTCAATTCTCGAGATTACAATTAAGCTTTACAGCGAGTCTACGCATTCCTCTGTCTGCATTATAATCGCGATCTGAATAGTCTAAAAAGTCTGCACTGCACTCGTGGATAGCTTTTACTATTGAATTAAGTATTTTTCACCTATAGCTCATTACAGGTTGTTTGCTTATAGGCGGGAGATTCAATCCAAGATCTCCTCCATGGTAGACCAGGGCTATAATCATGATCATATCTCTCTGATAAAATAGTTCACAACGTTGACGCAACTCTAGCTTCAGATTGCCATATCAAGATGTAGTGCCTATAGGAACGATATGGCATATTCTCTCGATTTGAAGCAGCATCACTCTTCACGGCTACGTAGATAGCGGCCGGCTGCGACTGAATCGGCCACCATCAAGTCTGTTGACTAGAATGGTAGCGGAGGCGATGAGGTTGTGGGTATGCGTGTTGGAGTGTGCATTAGATAAATGCGGTGGGCATTTCTGCAGGTATGACGCCTTGTGCGGTGCCAGCTAACGCTGAGGCAGGGTGCAGATCGGTATGAAGTCCTCCTCGGTCTGTTACAGGAAACTCGCTCTGCGGAGGAAGGTGGGAGGACACCGTTTATAGCCACTATGAGGTTGAGACGCAACATGCGACCTGAGAAGAGGGTACTTTCCAGTGCCATTTTCAGGGGTGTTCACTTAAGCGTCACGGCGATTTCCACCATGTTGACCCATCGCGTTCGCGTCTCCGGCAACTCCTCACCGGAGGCTGAGGCCAGAGCATTCGCAGCGCGTTTCCTCTTCTTCGTTTCTGATTTCGATCCAGGCTGCGCGGGAGCGTCGACAGACTGGTCCGCGGCTGGCTGACCATCATCTTTCTCGCCGTCTTCCTTCTTCTCCTGAGCTTGTTCCTGCTGCAGAACCCTTTCCGCCTCCACAATCGCCTTCCGCTTCGCCTCCTCGTCTTCCTCAATATCGTCCACAACGAGCACACTCCCCGTCTTCACCCGCACCGCATACTCGTTCCCCCGCTCCTCGAACCACCGCCCAACGCTCAGCGCCTTCTCGATCGCCCGGCCCGTGGCCTTGACAAACACCTCCTCCTCAGTCAGCTGCTCCTGTCCACGCGCTACCTCAGCCAGCTTCTGCCGATCTGTCCTCTTGCTACTTGAGAGATTGACCGCCGCCGTGGCGCGTTTTTCGGCCTGTCGGAGAAGCTTCTGGACGCGTTTGACGGCGCTCATGAAGGGGGACTTGGTGGAGACGTAGACGATTTTCGGGACCGAGGCGCCAGCGTAGGGGGATGCGACGGGGGCGTGTGGAATAGGGCGTTTTTGGACGCGAGCGTCTGTGTTGGTTTTGTTAGTGGATTTCCTTCGTCCAGTCCAGTGTTGAGTTGGACAGTACAGTACATTTTGGGAGCTTGAGCATGTCTTTGTTCTTTTTCTCGAACTGGAGGGTTTTGGCGAGGGGTTGTTTGGTCATGGTGATGATAGGACTGTCTGGTGATTTGGCAGTGTTTGCTTTAGTGACTGTATCTCTTGTTGTGTACAACTGGTCTGATGCTGATGCCACGAATGATGCTATCATCAAAAGTTCATATCGCTGGCCTTGGCAGTTGGCGGTGTTGGTGCCTTAGTGCCTTAGTCCGACCAATCAGGGATTTGCTCTCCAAAGACGTGCTTATAGATATCGACGAGCTGTTGGAGTCGTGAAATATCATTGAACTTCATGTAATCATATGCAGCATTCTGGTAAGGTTCTTCTAAAGCTCAATATTATATGTATACGGAAGTACAGCGTTGTAGCACTCAAATACGGCAAAGAATGAATCCAAAGTGCAGCTGATTGCGAACTGTATATCTTACCACCGGCAACACGTCTTTCGTGCATGAGCAGCGATTCAGGTAAAATTCAAGTAAGAAACATATTGCTGCATCATTTACCTCTACGTGGTTGATCAAAACCCAGGATTCTAGCGGCAATTCAAGACATTACTGTTGCCCTAGGAAGGTTCGAAAAGTCCCCAAGTTCGGAACCGCAATTATGGCAGCAGCGTCTAGAACATTGCCTATGGAATCTAGATAGTTGAACGATTTGATCAAATAGATTAAGGTACCTATCACCCGAAATAACGCCAGTTCTGATTAGCGAGAATCGACGGAATGGGAGACGGGAGCTGCTGATGTCCCTGATTATTTGCCCAAGCCTCTCCTGCCATTCAAGTGAAGCAAGAGAAACTATCAGCGCCTTGAATCGAATAAGATGACTGGACTACTACTTGAAGGACCATTGTTCCTGCGCCACAAGAACAAACGCAATCCTCATCCGAGTGCGGGCGATCCTTCGTCGTCGACCGGCCAGACTCGGATTCAACCTCCCAACAAAGTCAGGTTCGCTGAGCCGGCCACTCCGACCAGAACAGTTGAGATATCATCCAATGAGATAAACAGCGAGGAAAACCGCTGCTGATGTCGATATTGTGGAGAACAAACGCGGCGGATCCAATGGTCCGTAAAGTCAATCAGCAAACTTTAAAGGCCTACCTTTCTATGATGATGACTTTCTGACACAATCAAGTTGATTAGTTAGAGGGAGACATGAGGCGTCTTGCTGGCTCTACAATGAGGGAATTTTGAACAAGGTTCTTATCTTTGTCTTGTGTCGGACCTAACGCGGACCGAGCCTTGACATTCATTGATTGCTAAGGTGTGAAAAAACGTCGCTAGTATCTAACAGCATCTGCTCGCTCAGTCGCTTCCCCATTATATAGAACTATTCGTAAATTCGTAAGATCCGCCATATCCGCGTAGAGGTGCGCGGATAGTCTCAATGATGTGATATGAAGACAATTGGAATGGGTCAAAAGACGGCATTCGTATGTAATATGGGAGAGGGACAGGTGAACATCCTCCGCCCAGGCACAAGCATGGATGCATATTTCCGACTCTTGGCAGCAAATCTGTTCTTCTTTTCCGTTGCGCGTTGAAGCGTATCGCTCTTGTGCGACTCGCGTGACGATGTACGCGCCAATGAACTGGCCTTTTCTGATCCAGGGCCTCGAGGTGTGCCTGTGACGGAGCGACGGCGAATCATCGCCTTGACTGTCTTGGCAACTTGTTCTCGGATGGCAGAAATGTCCATCTCGGTCCTATCGTTGGCTCCGTAGTTGGGTCCGTTGTCTTCGTAGTAACTCAAACGGTGCATCTGGCGTCTGCGTTCTTTCTGGGTTGCTTCCATCGATTTGCGAAGAACAGCGGTATGGCCGACGCAACGACGCAGATTGGGCGACGGAGACGCGGTTTCTTGTTGCAGTTTGTCATGGGACATATTTGCTACCTTGCAAGGCACGGCAGCTTTCCTGGCGATAGGAGGTATACGAGTATTGATGCGAGAAACCCGGCGGAAAAAGGCTGCGGTAGTCGGGAGTACTTCCATTTCCTCAGAGAGGAAATTGGGACGATGTGACCCAGACATCGGGTTCGAATGATGGTGCTCCTCTTGGAGTTCACCTTTCAACTCAAGGGTGTGAACTTCATCAATGATTTGTTGTTGCTGGATTCGGGTCGCGCAGGGACCAGAGACCTTATATCTTCGTCCAGGAGAATCGATGAAGCTATTAACTTCACAGCCTCTTTCTCAAATGGGCAGAAGGCCGGATATGACCGATCACTTAGGTTATGATGTATAACTCCACTTTTCGTGGCCGTCCATGGTTCACGAAGATCATCTTCCTGTCAATTGCTGCGTCCCGCAGGCTGGACACCAGCCACCAACTCTGTTGACCTCCAACCGCGAACTGGAGTGGGCCCTCTCTCCTCCCTGATTGAGATAATGGTGTTCGTGTTTCGAGAGTGGCGAGTAATCAAATCGAGTCCTTGATATCATGACTCGGCCTTTGCCGAGCGCGGTCATGAATAAGCCAACAATGATAATGATATTGTCATTGCAAGCCATGAAATGGCCGTCTTGATTGTCGTAACCACCAAGAGAGGAAGGGTTGACCTGACCAGCTATATGCATTGAGTTTGCCAGCAAAAGTTTACCTCTTCCATCTCAGGATAAGTACGGAGCACTATTAAGTTCTATGCAGTCATGATAGCATAATGCTCAATGTGAGGTTGTTCAATATGGTTAGAAATGATAGTTATTGATTCACTCAGTCGTTCAGCCCAATGCGACGCCTCTTCAGATGCATATTAATTCTGCCCTCCTTACAGAGACGGATGTTAGAGAAAGCTGGTAAGGACGGGGAAGAAAGACTGTTGTCGACGCCTGAGGCAGCACTTTCTGGCCTCCTCAACTCCCCTCCCTTGCTCTTTTGCACCCTTACACCGTACAGCTCCCCCCTTCGCCAAATGGATGTATTGAAATCTATCTTAGTCTTGAAATGCTTGTGGTATCTTTGATCCGCCTTTCATATATGACATTTTTGGTTCTGCCTTTCCTCGACATTGCATTTTGGAATCTGATTTCTGACGTTCATGAAGATGTCAATTTTGTTACTTGTGTACAGCACCTCCATTGATCTCGTTAGCAAGACAGGTTACCACATTCTAGCGAGATGTCGGGCTTGAGGACTAGTTTCGAATATAGATGATTACAATCAGAGGATTCCCTAAGCGCTTGCAAGCATGGTAGCTCACGAAAGCCCTCTGACAAGCACTCTCGGGAGGCGCTACAGCTCGGTCAATAGACTCGATACTTCGTGTCGCTGACACTCCTTAAAGCTCTCGGCCCACTCGTACTTTTCTGGAAGAGCTTACTGGTCTTGAAGACGCAAAGCATAATGCGTCACAGCTGACACCATTCTTCCTGGTCTGGTGCCTAGATGACCAAGTCCTGAAGATCTGTGCCTGTGAAACCATAGTTGCTCCACTTGGACCAGCATGCTGCTTGGCGCGATATCAAGTTATTTATGGTATAGATGCACGGTCCAAGTTGATCGGTTCGGTGTTCTGGAGAGAACGGGTGTGAGTCCATCTTCAAGGTGATGGCTGTTCCCCATAAGAGCATCCCATTACCCTGTGCAGGACCTTGACAGGTAGCCTGGCTGACGGACCACGAAACCATAAAATTGCCGGGGTCCGTTCCAAGAGGGCTTGATGCCATCCACCCTGTGAACGGGTGACTAGGTAAATCCGTCAAAGGCATGAAACGATAGAGGCCAAGACATGAAGGCGAGGAAGAAAAGATGGAAAGGGAAACAAATGATATGGAGTAAGAGAAAGACATCGAACTTTTATTTGGTCCTAGCTAGACATCATGATGCTAGGCAATGGCAATAAGGATAGATGTCCAACTTTAGTCTAAGCTGAAGCATAATGCAAGCTTTCTCTTATCATCCATACCTTAGTGCAGGTCAAATTGACGTCAAATGTTAAATGTCAATAAGGTCTGATTTGGATACAAACCGAATAGCTGTAGCAAGTGGCCATCAAATAATCATACATAGATGATGAACAGTTATGTCTCTGTTAACTACTTAGACTTTACTTATTCACCAATAGAAATGTTAGAGTGAGACTCAAAGTCAGATCTGTGTCCCTGCTTCCTGACAATGAATCTTCAACTTTGAGATACACCATTGGTACGTTGAAAGTATACGGATACTGAACTCGTGATGCCCCTGCCTTGCCTCATTCGGACTCCTTCGCCTAAACTCAACTTTCGGCTGAAACCCTGATAAACAAATCGTTCAAGGCAGATGCACTAGAACCATAAAAGGCTGGCCCGTCATGCCCGTTTCGGCGCGGACTGTGATCCCAAGAAACCGGTTGGAGCGGGGTCCAGGGGCCGAGTCCGACAAGTTGGAGATGCTAGGCTTACTGAGTCACTAGCAAAACATAACTACGGAGTAGTTAACTAAGTTAACTAGTTAGTTAACTACCAGCATGCTGTTAGTAGTAAACTAAAAAGGACATAGGCTTCACAAATCCCGTCGTTTTTGGCACGAGCGATTGCGTCTCGATGAGCGTTCTAGGTTAATATTTCAGCGACCTCCAGATAGCAGTGTCTGCGCAGGATTGGAATGCTTTGTTGATCAAATTGAGATCAATCCAAGAGGTCGCGGTAGGAGTCTCAAACTTCGGACTCTGGGTTTCGGAACGTCTCCTGCAGCTTGACTGAAAATGGGGGCCGAAAGATTGCCTTTCATGGCTACTGACATCAGCTGAAGTTGATCCCTCGATCGTCGAGAGTGATCGACAGCAAAAGATGAAAGATCAACGTTTGGCATTACAGTGTATGAGCCTATGACGTCCAACGGTGCTGTGTCTCGAGGTAAAATGCCCGATGTTGGTCATATTTTGGGTATTCGACTCGTGTACTCCATATGGAGTAAAATATGATGCCAGTGTTCAATCATCCGCCCACCGAGTCGATAGGGAGAATGGTATTACTACTGAAAATGAACCATTTCGAAGTACTGCTCATACGGCAGTTTGAGACAGGTACGCAATATGGAGTACTCAGCGACCTACCAGTAAGTAGTACGCAGGAATCGAACGGAGCTGTTCTTTACACTTGTCTCAGCTCAGCACTACGTAATGTTAAATGAGGAAAATCAATCTCAGGGACATCCGGACTTGTGCCTAATGCTGCGTGTCGCACGTAAAATCCAAGATTGATCGCTTGGCGCATCATGCAAGATAACGGCACGGCGAAATTTCGAGCAATTGAACTGACTGCTCACTTCGGTTGACTGGAAAAAGAGGAGATGTCTGATTGTGGCAGGAAGTACGTCCGTACGCTAGTAATGTCTTAGACTGTTGGAGTTCTAGAATTTAGGTACATACGTACGAGGCTGATGGTACCTGAACGGACAAAAGGACAACGACGCGCTAGGATGATGGCGGAACCCAGCACACTGGGGCCCGGCAAGCAGCTCGCCAACCTACGGGGGTTGTTTGATCCACCTTCGTTGACTCAGCCATTCTGATTTGTTCGTCCTGGATGTCTGGCCCGCGCGGAAGGTCGGGAGCCTGCAAGGTCAAACCGTCAAACAAACCACAACGACGGACTTGTCCCCAGCAAGAATGGTTTCTCGTTAGGATGGGTTTTTCCAACGGGCTGTATTTATCGAGTCTGGACTTTTTGAGTTGGACAGTAGTCACAGTGCGGAGTATTAGTGAATTTATTATTTTCATGTGAAATCTGAACAAACGCCGATTGTAAGAACTGATATGATGCATCAGCGTTTCCTTTGTTTGCCGGAAGATAGGCGATTGATTTTCTGCGTCACATTGATGGTGTGTGCTCTGCGAGTTTCATCGTACATCAGCCTCCGCGCTGCAAGTTGATGTCAGTCTGTCCGTACTTCGAAAAAAAAGTGATTGAGAATAGAAAACGAAGCTTCCTATCTTACGTACCTTACATCCATTCATGGATACGTACCTAAGTCCGGAATAGCAAAACTGTCAGACAGCAATTGGGTACCGTCATTGGGTGGCAGCATCCACCTGGCAGTTTCCACACGGCGGAAGGCGAAGGTGAAAACCACGGAACCGGAACATGGATCGAAGGATTCGTTAGTCAAAGTCTCCAAGAGTCAATGGTTCAGGAATCAGGAAGCAATTAGCAGGTAAAACTGATCGACTGTATTGTAATTATTGACCGGTGGGAGGGGCAAAAGTGGGACTGCAAAGAGAGTCCAGAAGCCTCGATCAGCTCTTCCTTGTAATAATTAATGAACCCGATCAGTGCGGTGCTTATTAGTATGAGGATTATTAGTCCGATCCACCACCCATTTTCCCTCGGAAGCCCGTCCATAAGGCAGGTACCATTTATTCCTGGTTCTTCCTCTTTCCCCTCCTTCTGTCTATTTTGATGATGTTGTTTTGGACCTGGTGATTGATAGATATTATTATTATTCCAGTATTGTCGTTGTCATTGTTGTTGTTGTTGTCTCACTTCCACGCGACTGCGTCTGCGTCTGTCTTATTCTTTGTTCTGACGCCACATTCGTTGCTTCTCACTCTTCGTCGTCGCTGGATCTCAAAATTTCCATTCTATTCGTTCTTTGACTCGCAAGACTTGGTTTTGGATCTATCCAAAATCTACAAAGCACCATATCTCCTCGGCTTCTTTCAGCGCACTGATCCTCGATCACTGTTTGCTTTATTGCTTTGACAGCATCCCCGCCGAGTTTATCGACTTTTCGTCATACAACGCACACCACCCTTTTTTAATCCAATCTTTATCGGCGTCTTTCGAGTGCTCCAACAGCTTGATTAGGACTCGAAACAAAAAGGACCCAGAGGGAAACGAAAGTTAAATTCGGCTTTCAATCAATTGACTTGACCAGCGAAAATCAAGCAAACCGGAACTTCTTCCGTTTGCCTTCCTCAAGACGCTTTTTCCCCCTCACGCCGGAACAGACCCAAGGGATAGTACTTCTCACTTACGCTCCTCTCCCAGTTCAGCAAACCCTTCATCCACTTTGGTCAATTGCTGTTTTCGAGGTGCAGATTCGTGGTATGGAGTCGCGGGTTTCACAGGTTACACGCAAGTGATACCAGCCGTCTTTGCGATCCGCGTTTTCGGTACTATTTGGATTGACTCTTCTACCTGCATCTCCATCACGTCGCACACACGTCCCCTGAACGTATACTCGAAGTTTGATTTACTCAGGACATTTCCTGACCTGCAAGTCCTTTTAAAATCCGCTCCTTTCCAAGAGGTTTCGTTCTGAATTTCAACGAGTTCCAATCGACCATCTGACTTTCCATTCTCTTCCTTATCGACAAACATGGCACATTTGGAAGAACGCCCGAGCAGCCTAGATGGCTCTGCCTGGACCTGGATCTTCGACCACTGCCTACGTTATCCTGAAACCTACGAGATTCCGCTTCGTACTATGTACGCGCTGAACTGCAACCCGACCAGACAACCTAGCTCGGGAACCCGCACCCCCGAAACTGCTTTCTCAAATCGCTCTTCCAGCTCGTCCAAAGCCTCCGTCTCCTCTCAGGACTTCATCTTGGATCCCGCTGCGGACTTCAGGGCACAGCTGACTCATCATATTGCTCGAATGCCATCCCAGCCCTGCTCCCTACCGCCAAGTTTCGTGACCTCTTTCCTTCGTCGCTGTTTCGCTCCTCAATTGGACGAGGTTGATTTTCCTCAGGCCTTAACCGCCCTGGACTATCTAAAGGACCTAGAAAATCGCCGGAGAAGAGAGGTTGCGGCCGCATTACAGCGACTGAATATCCATCCCGACGACCTCAAGGAGAAGACCGAGCTTGCAAAGAAATATCCGGGGGTTCTCACATGGATCGAATCGATCAATGTTCAAGGTCGTAGAGTTGAAGCTCTCTACACTCAGATCTACCTCGGACTTCGCCGCTGGGTAAGCTGGGTTTCCCTCTTATCCTCGATGACTACTCGCCTTTACTGACATGGTTCGCCAGATCTTGATCAACGAGATGCTGTTGGCGCCATTTAACAAGGCCAATTGCATTGCCATGCTGAACACGCTCTTCCCCCCTGTGACGGAAGCGACGGTTACGCCCACTTCTCAACTGACTCCCCAAATCCTCAAATCTCAGCGTGACGGATTTTTCCGATACATCTCTGCTTTTGAGACCAACGGTAGGCAAATACTAGACAAGGTGATCACCCAGGGAGCACCCGAAGGTGAAGCGAATGGATGGCCATTGGTTCGGGAAGCCCTGGACAAGTATCTGCGAATTGCCAATGAGATCATCGACGAGTGTGCGCTGGTGAACGGACCTTCCAGCTTCGAAGAACGAGATGACCCCGCACCTCGTGGCCACAAGAGTCGCAAAGTCGACTCCGGCATCAGCCTCGGATCGACCGATAAGCTTCCCCCACCTTCGATCCGCAGTGGCAACAGCAACGAGGACATTTTGGACAAGCCTCTTCCACCACCGCCGGAGAAACAGCCTCATTTTAAAGCGGGTGGTTCGGCCCTTGATCGACTGGCCCGCGAACTTCGAAAGCTCGGGGACGTTGGAAAGGCCAAAAGTCTCAAGAAAATGAGGTCTACAAGTGCCCTCAGTATCCGTCCAGAGAACCTCCCTAGTCACGCGCCAGATGAAGAATCATACTTCGACACAGATGAACTGAAGCGCAGGAACCTGATTTGGGAGGCTACCACTCGCAAGCGAACTCATTCAAAACAATCGAGCTCTGATTCTCGATGACTGTTGGATTTATATGTACTGCACTCACATTTTCTTTCAAAAAGCAACGGAGGGACAGAGAAAAGCGTGGGTCTGGAGTATTGGTGGTATTCGGAGTTTGTTTTTTCTCTTTTTGTGGCTTTTATGTTCATATGAAGTTTCAGGATGTATTTTTTGTCTTCGGCATCTGAATCGGCTTAGCATGTCTTTGACGGGAGGATTGGCGTCTGGAAAGCGTTTGATACTGCACAAAATGTACCTAGAGAGGACTTGTTGCACGACTACCAGCTTATGATACACATGTTTTATGACCATCTTTGGCAGGATCAATTTAAACCTGTTGTCGAACATCGTTGGGAGCTTGTAGAAACGATAGAGGCCCAAAATAGCTCATTCCTTGTACTACAATTCCTTTGCCATGGTGTTAAAGATGAGGAGGCCTGCTGCCTTGAGAAGATGGCTGAGCCGTACCACTTGTCATTCCATCCTATATTCATGCTGTTTCCACCATGTGAATCAATGATAATGGTCTCTTCTTTGGTTGGATCATAAGGAATACTACATCTCGAGCTGCTGCTTGATGTATTCCGAATAGTAGAAAACATAGATTTGCATCAGGTATAACACGATCGAAAGACACTCGAATGCACCAGAGCAGCTGGCTGTGAATTTTCCAAATCTTCTTCAATCCAGACCCTTAGGCCTGGAGAAACACCTGAGTCTCTCTGTTTCAATTCCTGGACTCTCACTTTCCTTCTTGTCTCATCGAAATACGACTCAACAAGCATCACACACACCGTGGTAGTACTCATAACTCATCTCCATGCCATCATCTACGAATAACCTTACGTCTCCTGAAGTCAAGGCAAAACTCAGGCCCAAGCTGAAAGGATACATAGCTCGCAATGATGAGGATGACACGGTCCAATTCCTCGAGACTTGCTACATGTTCTTGCCACCTGACGGACAGAAGAATCTCTATAACGATATTTGGGCTTGTCAGTCTAATGATGAACTTCACGAACTAGCTGAAATGCTCGACACTGGGCTCATTCGACCTCTCCTAGCCAACGCGAACCACACCCCTGAACTCGGCTCATCTTATTCTGCAGAGGAAGACGCCATCGACCTCATTAGTTCAGACTACCGGAAAGTACTGGAACGACTGCGGAAAAAATGCCTTCAGCGAGACGGAAATAAATGCGTCATTTCCGGCTCCTACGACCAGAACTCGGACCCTCCAGACGAAGCTCTCAAGGGTCCTCTAGAAGCCGCACACATACTACCGTCCGTACTAGGAGGCCCAAAGGACGAGAGGAAGGCGTCGTCAGACGCCTTGGCAAATCTATACCGATACTTCCCTGCTCTGCGGTTTCGGCTCAAGTTCACGTTGGAGGACATCAACCGCGAGCATAACGCGATCATGATGTTATTCCCGCTTGATCGCGAATTCAAGGCTTTCAGCTTGATATTAGAGGCAACGAGCACTCCAAACCGTTACAGAGTCAAGACGTTTCCGCACTTTGCTACGGCGTACAGAGGCTTTCTACCGGCAGATGGATTGGTCACTTTGACGAGTCAGAGCAAGCGGTGTCAGCCACCGAGCCCTATTCTGTTGGCCGTGCATGCTGCGATCGGGAACATCCTGCATGCTTCTGGGCGGGGAAAGACAATTGGAACTGTTATGCAGGAGGCGAGGGAGGATTGGGCGTGCATGGCTGGGGACGGCAGTACAGATGTTGGAGAGCTCCTCTCCGTCACCAGCTTGGCTCTCTTAGCCTCAAGCGACCGGGCCAGGCATCACCAGAATGGACGGAGAAGAGGGAAAAGGCGCAGTTCGCCTCCGGAAGCAGAGGCTGGCAGGAAGAAGAAGGGCGATATTCTTGGAGGGAACGATGGTATCTAGACTCTCATCAACTCAGCTGCCCCTGTGCAAGGCACTGGGCCACGGTGAACAGCATAGGTGATAGAGCAACAACAGCCACAAAAGCAGCAATTTAAATCCTGTGGATATAATAAGTCAAAGGCCAAGCTGTTCTCCTTCAAGAAACGCAGTGTACAGTACCAGCTACCTTACTTTGTACAGAACAACGCAGTTTCATGAAGTGACAGAAATAACCGGCCAATAGGAAGCTTCTTTCTTCTACACGGAAGTTCTGCGCTAGTGGCCGCTGCGCCTCCCGTAGGAGCTCTCAGCAAGGTGGCCTGAAGAGCTCCTGTAGACATGTAATGAACGAGGTAACTTGCTTACAGACTCCTCTCGTTGAGACGGAGATAAATGCTTCTCTTTATGCCTTATTAAGATTACGCGTTTTATCTGCCTGTACGCTACCTGCAACCCAACATCGAGCTTGAACCGTCGGCCCGTTATGCTTGCTATTCGGCTGCCGTTCCACCTAGCAACTTGATAAACAGTTCGACAAAAGAAGCTGTGGATTAGAGGCCTCGCTTCAGTTATGGCTATAGGCTTAGGCTCCGTCACCTCGTGGCGGCTTTGCTGTGTAGTACTGGCTGCGTTGACCCCTGTGGTCCGTGGCAGCCCATCTGTCAATGTTGCTTTACAAGCATCATTCGATTCAGCACCGTATCTTCTAGAGCTATTGTAAGCACATCCAGCCATCCCATTCCGTATGCTCATAGCTTGCTCATCAAGAAATCAGAGAAACAGCTGCGGAGGAGAACTCAACGTCGTACTTCCCCCTACTCGATCGTATTGCGGAGGGAACATTTGACGATGCGACCACAGAAAAGCAGCTTTATGACCGTTTCCTACAAGTCGTGTATGATGATGGACATCTCAGCGCCCCGGAACTTTTGTCGTCGTTCAAGCTGTCTCTGGCGATTCGATCGGCGGCCCCTCGAATCACGGCGCACTATCAGTTCTATAATGCGTCTGTCCAGCATTCGTTGATGGCGGCGCAGGATGCCGCATGTCCTGTCTGGGTTCATTCGGAGGGTAAACAGTATTGCTCCTCCAGTATGGAGCGTGCCCAGCAGGACGTGATGGGAGAGTCGTGAGTTGCTATTGTTCTCGGCTGTGGGTTTGAGGGTGTCTAATATGCTATGGTGTGCAGAGATCCGCGAGAACTTCCCTTCGATCGTGTGCTAGGAGATATATCGCTTCCACCGGCCATTCTGTATGGGGATATTGCGTCTCCCATGTTCAGGGACTTTCATCATACCTTGAGTACGCTCGCCAAGGAAGGGCAGGTCTCGTATCGTGTGCGCTACCGACCACCTCAGCATTGGATATCTCGTCCCCTCTTTGTCTCTGGTTATGGTGTCGAACTTGCTCTCAAGCGGACGGATTATATTGTGATTGATGACCGTGATGCTGGGAAAAGGAGCCAAAAGGATTCGGGGAGTTCTGAGTCGGCTAGCGTGGAGGAAGAATCGCCTGATGACCTGGGAGCCCTGTCTTCCTCAGAAGTGGCCCGTCTCGGTCTGAACACGGTCAGCTACGTGATGGACAGTGAAGAGCCCTTGGATACGCTTGTGAGGATTTCTCAGGACTTTCCCAAGCACTCCGCCAAGATCGCGGCCTACAGTGCGTCAGACGCTCTGCTGAAAGATATCCGTACGAGCCGGCTTGGAATGCTTCCTTCAGGCGTCAATGCTATGTGGATCAATGGCGTTCAGATTGATCCTCGTCAGGTAGACGCATTCACACTTTTGGATCACCTCCGTCGCGAAAGAAAACTAATCGACAAATTTCGGGGCATTGGACTTTCTGCTAAGGAAGCTGTCGATTTGCTCTGCCATCAGACCCTCGGAGAGACACTGGCGAAGGATTCCCCTCCGCGTTACAACTACCGGGACCAAATTGAGGGCGGCGGCGTGATCATCTGGATGAACGACCTAGAAAAGGATACAAAATACCAATCATGGCCAGACGACCTCTCGGCAGTAAGCTTCCACCTTCAATTCTGTGTTTGAATGGCGTACTTACCATGAGCAGTACCTTCAGCCCATGTACCCGGGCCAACTCCCCGCTGTGCGGCGCGATGCGCATAATATTGTCGCCCCTGTGGATCTCACTAGCTCTGATGACATGGAGCTGGTCGTCAAGACTCTCCAGGTGTTTGTCAAGAGGAAGATCCCAGTGCGATTTGGTTTGGTACCTCTTGCTTCGTCTCCGGGATCCGTCGCGCAACTCAAAGTCGCTCATTATCTCCATGAGACTTTTGGTCTGGCCAGCCTGATCCACTATTTGGAAGAGGTATGCCGCACCAGGTGTCATTTGGTCGTCTGTGTGCTAATGTTGTAAATAGTCCGCAGCCAAGAAGAAGATAGGGTCTCCGGACAAGGCCACCTTCCAACATGCCACCAAGGATCGAACTTCGCGGCCCAATAAGCAAATCCGGTCATTCGACGAGATTTTGAAGAGCGATGAGCTTGAGATCCTGGTTTCCCGAACCAAGCAATATCAGGATCGACTTGGAATCAAGGGCAACGCACCATATATCTTGGTGAATGGAGTCTTTGTTCCTCGGGACGACAACTGGCCTCAAGAAATGAGTATGAGGGTTGGTCGCGACTTGCAGACCATCCAACAAGGAGTCGTGGATGGATCTATCGAGGAAGATACCTGGCTTCCCGAACTTTTCCTCTCGGAAGCATTCGATCGCCGCAATCCCTTGATAATCCCCGAGGATTCAAAGGATATCCGAATTGTGGACATCTCGAAACTAGCAGAGTCTAGGGGAGAGTCCGCTGATACCCTTCGCATTTCATCTGAGACGGATACACTCGACAGTAAGCACCTGATCGTTGTCGGAGACTTTGACTCCGAGAACGGCCTGAAGTTGCTTGTTGAGGCTCTTGAACATCGGGAGACACACGGCGAAGTGGAGATGGTTCTGATTCATAACCCAGCTCCTGATGTAGAGACGGAAAGCGGATCTACCCTGGTCTATAACTCATTGAAGGGGACAGACAAAGTGGATGCTTCCCGAGTTCTAAGCGATTTGAAGACTGCGGAAATCACCAACTTTCCGGAAACAGAGGCAAAGAAAATGTCACAGTTTTGGGAGGCGCAGCAGGCCTTGGCTAGAGATCTTGGATTTTCGCCTGGGACGAATGGCGTCATTGTCAACGGCAGAGCGATTGGGCCTCTCCCAGATGGATCGACGCTATCGAAAGAAGATCTGGACGGACTTCTGGCCTACGAACAGGCGAGGAGAATAGGTCCTGTTGCAAAGGCCGCAAAAGATCTCGGTTTGGAGTCGAAGCTCTCTGGCCCTCTTGCGCTTGCCGAACTTAGCTCTCTTGCGGCTCTTTCGACCGTGTCCGACGTTCCTGAGGGCATTTTTGAACAGATGTCCAACATCAGAATGGATCTGTTCAAGAAATGGAACGATTTGCGGTCTGTCATAACTGTTTCGACTTCTGAAGATCCAGCTATCATCATCGCTGCTTCTATTGATCCTACATCGGAAACAGCACAGAAATGGCTGCCAATCTTGAAGGTGCTCTCGAAATTAGCCGGTGTCCGGGTCACATTGGCCCTGAACCCACGTGATGAGATCCAGGAGCTACCAACGAAGCGATTCTATCGCTATGTCTTGGACTCGGAGCCATCGTTCAACGATGATGGAACTCTTGCAAGGCCCACTGCCACCTTTTCTGGCGTGCCGGTGGAGGCACTTCTCACATTGGGCATGGATGTCCCATCCCCCTGGCTCGTTGCTCCTAAGGAATCGATCTACGACCTGGACAACATCAAATTGAGCTCCTTGAAACCAGATGCCAATGTTGACGCCATCTACGCACTCGAACACATCTTGATTGAAGGACATTCGCGCGATGTCACGGTCAAGACTGCCCCGAGGGGAGTTCAGCTAATTCTCGGCACCGAAGACAATCCTCACTTCGCTGATACTATCATCATGGCAAATTTGGATTATTTCCAGTTCAAAGCTCAGCCGGGACTGTGGAAGATCAATCTTAAACCTGGCCGCAGTCAGCGCATTTTCAACCTTGACAGTGTCGGCGGCCAGGGGTACAGTCCGCACCCGGGTGATGAGAACAGCGAAGTTGCACTCCTCTCATTCCAAGGGAAGACTCTATTCCCTCGCCTTTCGCGTAAGAAGGGCCAGGAGATGGAAGATGTCCTAGACACAGACGTCAAATCCGGCTCAGCGATGGACTACGTATCTAAGGGCTTCAACTTTGCTCAGGGTGTACTCTCAAGCGTAGGTGTTGGTTCTAAAGATGGTTTGGCTGAGAAGCAGGCGGACATCAACATCTTCTCTGTGGCGAGCGGTCACCTGTACGAGCGAATGCTGAACATCATGATGGTGTCCGTGATGCGAAACACCAAGCATACCGTCAAATTCTGGTTTATCGAACAATTCCTCTCGCCTTCATTCAAATCCTTCCTTCCCGATCTGGCGAAAGAATATGGCTTTTCGTACGAAATGGTCACATACAAATGGCCGCACTGGCTTCGAGCGCAGCGGGAGAAACAAAGGGAGATCTGGGGATACAAGATCCTCTTCTTGGACGTCCTTTTCCCGCTTTCACTAGATAAGGTCATCTTCGTGGATGCCGATCAAATCGTGCGCACGGATATGTACGACCTCGTCTCTCTAGATCTCGAGGGCGCGCCATACGGCTTCACACCCATGTGCGATTCCCGCGAGGAGATGGAAGGCTTCCGCTTCTGGAAGCAAGGATACTGGAAGAACTTCCTCCGCGGTCTCCCCTATCACATCTCAGCGCTGTACGTGGTAGATCTAAACCGCTTCCGGGCGCTTGCGGCCGGCGATCGTCTTCGCGGACAGTATCAGATGCTCTCGGCCGATCCCAACAGTCTGAGTAATCTCGACCAAGACCTGCCGAACCATATGCAGCATCACATCCCGATCAAGAGCCTTCCCCAGGAGTGGCTGTGGTGCGAGACCTGGTGCTCGGACGAGTCGCTTAGCACGGCGAGAACGATAGATCTGTGTAATAACCCGCAAACAAAGGAGCCCAAACTGGACAGGGCCCGAAGACAGGTTCCTGAATGGACGAAATATGACGATGAAATTGCGGCATTGGCGGAAAGAGTCGCCTTGGAGCAACAACGACAACAGCTGGAAGAGATGGAGTCTGCAGATCAAGACGAGGAGTCTGGTTGGGAAAAGGATGAGCTCTAGTATACAGCTTCTAGCTTCATATCAGGAATTACCTCAATATAAATGGGGCCTGCAGCTCCCACTTTTTGGTTCTTAATCGCCGTTAGAAGAGAATGTCAGATTGGAGACATTCAAGATTAAATTTTTATCCATCTATCCAGTATATATTAGGCGTGTCGAGCCGAGATCTTCGAGTTTATCGTACAATACACACCGAATTAGCGTACACCCAAGTTCTGATCACAAACCAAACCATCATCACTCATGAGTCAGTCAATCGTCTATACCATACTTGTATCCCATCACTTGGACTTTTGCCCCTTTGGCACGGGAGTTGATCCCAGTTTGCCCTTTTCCTTCTCTCCATCTTTCCCGACCTGAGGAAGGGAAGGTTTGACTTGCTTCAACTTCTGCTTCGCTCCGCTTTGCCCATTCTTGACATTGCCTCCCTCCTTTGCTACTGGAGTGCGTGGCTTTGAGAGCTCCGGTTTTTGCCCATTAACAGCCTTGTCTACTTTTGGCTGAGCGCTAGGCTGCTTGGGCCCGGACTTGGATTTGGGCTGGGGCTTAGACGTGGAGTTTGAACCGTCAGATGCCGAGCTTGACTCGTCGGTATCGGCTTCTGAGTCGCTGTCGGCGTCATCCTCGCTGTCGCTATCTTCTGACGAGGAGCTAGCGGAGGCGGATGACGGAGATGACTTCTTGCTTGGTTTCTGACCTGTTTTCGGACGCTTCGACTCACATTTTCCGGTCTGCTTCGCGGGTTCCTGAGCTTTGCGTTTGGTGCCCTTGAGTGCGGCTGTCTTCGGCGGTTCCACCGGCTTGTCGTCGCTAGCGCGAGAGCCATTGTCACTGTCACTGCCGCTGTCATAGTCGGCTTCACTGTCATCGGTGTTGTCATCAGCGGAAGACGTCTCATCTGACGTTGAAGAGCTCTCTTCGGACTCATCCTTATTTTGAGTCTTCTGAGAGACATGCCCCTTCACGCTTGCTTTCTGAATCGATGTTGGTGCTTTTGGCGCTACTTTTGCGGGCTGCCTGTCCGAAGGTTCTTCGGGGCCTGATGTAGACTCATCTTCTGAATCGGAAGTATCGGATGCGGACTCGGAATCTGATTCAGACTCGGACGACGTCTCTTGCGGTATTTCCTCTTCCTTGATGGTTGACTTTGATGGCTTTGAAGCTTTAGGCCGTGGAATTGCGTTCGTCTCAGCATTGACCACTGAGTCAGAAGCAGTCTTCGTAGCTTGACTTCCGGATTGTTTACCGTCACTTGTTTTGGGTTTGGACCGCTCAACGAGCTTCTGGTTCGGCGTGGGTTTCGTAGGCTTTGACGACGACTTTGCAGAAGATGCTTTGTTATTTCTTGCATCTTTCTCCTGCCCCTTTGATGATTGTGCCCTCATCCTGGAGTCGACTTTTGCGTCGCTTTCAACACTGGAGTCGGAGTCCGAGCCAGATTCAGAACCTGACTTGATTTTGGCTTCGGAAGCATCGTCTGAGGCCGACTCAGCCGAGTCAGAGGACGCTTCGGACTCAGAGTTAACGTCATTTTCGGTCTGGGACTCCTTGGATTGAGAACCTTTATTGAGTGCCTTCACTGAGGCAGCCGGCGGCTTTTCTGGAGCGGAAATGATGGTGGATTCCCTTCCAGCAGACTCACCCTCGTCCTTGATGTTTGGCGATTGAGACTCTGTACCGAGAGACTGTTCCATATCCTCTTCGTCTCCATCCTCGGAGTCAACGTACTCGGAGCTCTTCAGCATCCTCGCCATTTCCATCTGCTCCGCGAGCGTGATGGACTTGGCTCTGCCTTGCGGCTTTGCTTCCGTTGCTGGGTCGTAAACAGCGTCTTGATTTCCAGTGCTACGCTGTCCCATAATCTTGCGTCTGATCTTGCGCCATTTATCCGCGCACTGTTGTCTTGACCGGCAGTTCTGAAGTTTATTACTAACTGTGCCCCAGGATACTAAGCCCTCGTCCATTTCGTAGATGTCTCGGCCCACATCTTGGCCGTCCTTTTTCAGATTGTTCCAGGAGGCTTGTAGAGCATCGAGCAGCCCGCGGACTTCCTCTTCGGACCATGCTCCCCTTCTCATGGTGCTCCGGTGCTCAAGCCGATTCTTCCATCTCTGAACCACATCATCCTCAACTCGGCCCAGTATCTTGGCAATATGAGCGAATCTAGGACCATACCGTCCTACCAAGTCGATGAGTTCGTCATCTTGTTCATGTGTCCAGTGGTGAGGCTTCTGAGACGAATCCTGGAAATGTCGCCTCATGAATCGGTAGACCGACCTTCGATCCCTGCTTGGTAATACATCATAAATCTGTTGCCAAAAATCCGGCTTCTTAATGATGCCGTCATCACAGGGCCAGCCGCTGTCTTTGCGCCGGTCCACATGCTGTACCATCCTATCAAATCTTTCGCTGGAGATAGCATGCTGGTTGCAAAACTGGAGTTTGAAGGTCTCCAGCGCGCTGACCTCGGATGGAGCGAAGAAGCCGATCATTTTGTCCGTCTTTCCTTTTCTGGGTCCCCGGGCGGCCGACGTGTCCGTCAAATCCTTCTGGTCCGTTGAGCTATCCGCGAGCGATGGGTTCGCAGACGCCATCCGGATCGGCTTAGTCTCGGCAGGGGTCTGCGGAAGGGCTGACACCTCTTTTTCCTCGTCCTGCTGTGTGGTCTTCGCCTTGGACTTCTTGGGTTTTTTGGACGCGGTTCCGTTCGTACGCGCTACGTCCGCTAGGGGTTGCATATCCGTCGACTGGCGCTGAGCTTCTGTGGTTTCGTAGATGTTGGCAATCACCGGGGTTTCTGGAGACGGAATGGCTTCTCGATTGCCATTCTTTTCTAGCCTGCGGGCCTCCTTCGTGTTTGCACTCCAGGAAGCGGTTTTCGTGCGCTTCGCTGGCCGCGCTCCTGGCGGGTCCAGGGGTGATTCTTGCGACTGGTTTGGGGTTTCCGAAGGCATGCCAGTGTTTGTATCGTTGACGGTCTGCTTTCTTTTCCGCTTGGGAGTGGCTGTCCCTTCGACCTGGGTTTCTGATTTCACTTTCTTGGAGGTTTTTGGAGAGTCCGAGGAACCAACAGCATCGCGTTCTTCATTCATATCTTGCAAATAGTAATAGTCAGGCTCAAAGTACAGCGCAGTAATGTTTTCAAAAGTAGGGTATACGGTCTTTCGCAAAAGGCACTATGAGTAAAGCATACCTTGATTCTCAGGCTCACTGAGCCCTCCATTCATGGGCTGCGAGGACCCTTGACCCATTTGGACAAACTATTAGGGAGAATGCATGAATCTGAATGAGTTTTGAGAGGTATCTTAGGGGGGGGAAAGTGTTTGCGAGTCAATAGCTCCGCCAGATAAGATAGTGGAAAAAATTCCTCAAGCTGCGCGAGCGGCGCGACTTCTTGCGGATCTTCTCCGCCCTAACTGACCGTCCACCGACTGTTATTTAGGAGCCATTACGACAACTCTGCGCAGATCGTGGTTTCGACAATAATGGTTGGTGACTCTCTATCTTCGTAGTCATAGTATATTTCGCAATAATGAATACAAGGAAAGGAGTAAAATTCAAGAAAACAGGACAACAGGTCGGGTATACAAGGAGCTACTAGGTGTATCACATGCAACGTCAAGACTCAACCTTCATTTCTCGTAGAATCCGCGTCACAAGTTTCCTCTGATCCGTTTGATTCAGATCATGCTCGTCAATCGTGGTGAGACAGCGTCCTATTGCCACTGTCGCTTTAACAGCAGCATCGCCTCCATTTGAGCAGTCAACCCAGACCTTTCCGTTTCTTCCCACGGCGATCTCGAAGCCTCCGACTTTTTCCAACTTCTTCCCAAGTTCCTCCAAGACCACTAGTCCATCCACACCATCCTCTTGCTCGGAGGTCGACGAGCTAGCTCTCATTAATCTCGCAGCCATGCCAGTAGAGACGTCAAACACCATTCCTCCGTTCAATGGGCCCAATCCTCCAGGTTCAGCCTTGCCGGTTGCTGGGTTTACGCAGGTAAGCTCAACTTCTGCACCAGCACCGAGACCGATGGATAGAACTCGAGCATAGACCAAATCGCCTTGCCTTAACATTGGCCTCGTCTTCTTTGTCGCACCCTCGAAAGCAAGCTGGCCGAGCAGCGCGTGAGGTGATTGAGGCGTAATCATGCAGTAGAAGTATTCCGCACTGGAATGGTGAACTTGTGCGATCACCAAATCGTTCGGCGTTGGGATGTAGCGGCGATTAGGAAATGACAAGACGGAAACAGCATTTTTCTTGTGATCCGTAGAGAGGAGACCGGCCTGTGTAGAAGCAATAACATGACCAGATGACGGAGAGGGAATTGCTGGAGAAAGCAGTCGAAGGCCAGGTCCTAGTCTCAGCGGAGCAGATTTGTTTGAGGGCAGTTGATCTGACGGCACATGATCACCTGGGAGCAAGATAACAGGCGACGGCATTTTCTCGAATCGTTGTAATTGATCTGCTACTAATTGAACGTGGATCAATGGCTTGACTGGCACCTGAACTGGAACATGAAATTCATGCGAAAGAATGCCGCTGTTATCGGACTATCAGCACGTGACGCTACAACCCTGCAGAGTGAAATCAGCCCAGAGACTAAATCGACGACACTGAGATAAGTAGTATATAATTGCCGATAGGAAACCTATAAATCTTCATGGAATCTGAGCATGTTTCGGTAAGTAAAAGTCGACGGGGTCTCTCAGGTTGACCAACTAGAAATCCATGCTGTCGGAATATTTCAATTGGTGATTTCTTAGCTGCACCGCCACATCTGATATCGATAAGCACCAGCCACAGTTGCCTCCCGCTGCCAAACAAATCAAAAGATTTTTTTTCTCTTCTGCTCGGAGAAAGAAGAAATCCAAAAGCGATCAGAGCAGAGTCAAATTTCCGGGCTTGACTCCGCCTTTCCTCATACACCTCTTTCATCTTCACTTTTCTTCCGTCCTCATTTATTTCTCTCAGCCCTTCTCTACATCAAAAATGGGTGATTCAAACGGTGTCGCCGCTGAAACAGCGGAGAGATTCGCTATCGGTATCTCGTTTGGCAACTCCTCGAGTTCCATTGCTCGCCTCACTCCTGTATGATCCCACTAGTTCAACATCCGATTATGAAGCATGAGCAGTATTCTAACGATTTGATGTATAGGAAGGCAAGGCTGAAGTCATCGCCAACGAGGAAGGAGGTACGTTGAGCGCAGCCCCGCATGATCGCACGCATCTCTGGGCAATATACTTCTATGAAACAGAAGCTAACCAGACCTGTAGATCGTCAAATCCCTACTGTTCTGTCCTACATTGATGGTGAAGAATACCACGGCACTCAAGCCAAGGCCCAGCTTGTCCGCAATCCCCAGAACACTGTTGCATACTTCAGAGACTATGTTGGCAAGAAGTAATTAGCCCTGGACTTGGATTTCGCTATTCGGAGAACAGACATGCTGATTCTGCTTTACTCAGCTTCAAGTCGATAGATCCTACTCCCTGCCACCAGTCAGCGCACCCTCAGCAAGTCGACTCCACTGTTGCCTTCACTATCCGGGATACCGCCAGCGAGACCCCCAACACCGTCACCGTCTCTGAGATCACAACTCGTCATCTCCGCCGTCTGAAGCAATCCGCCTCGGACTACCTCGGTAAGGACGTCAATGCTGCGGTCATCACCGTTCCCACCGACTTCACCGATGCTCAGCGCGAAGCCCTTACCGCTGCCGCTGGCGCCGCTGGCCTCGAGGTTCTCCAGCTCATCCACGAGCCGGTTGCTGCCGTCCTGGCTTACGATGCCAGACCCGAGGCTACCGTTACTGACAAGCTTGTTGTGGTCGCTGACCTTGGTGGTACCCGTTCCGATGCGGCTGTGATTGCTTGCCGCGGTGGCATGTACACTATCCTCGCAACCGCCCACGATTACGAACTCGGAGGAGCAACCTTGGATCAGATTGTCATCGATCACTTTGCCAAGGAGTTCATCAAGAAGCACAAGACCGACCCCCGCGAGAACGCTCGCGGTCTCGCTAAATTGAAGCTGGAAGGTGAGGCTACAAGACGGGCCTTGAGTCTGGGGACCAATGCTAGCTTGAGCATTGAGAGTCTTGCGGACGGTATTGATTTCAGCTCAACTATCAACCGGACCCGTTACGAGCTGCTCTCTGGCAAGGTCTTTGCTCAGTTCACTCGCCTGATCGAGCAGGTTGTCCAGAAGGCGGAGTTGGATGTCCTGGATATCGACGAGGTCATCTTCTCTGGTGGTACATCCCACACACCCAAGATTGCTCAGCTGGCCCGCAACATGTTCCCCGAGAAGACTCAGATCCTCGCCCCCTCGACCTCTGCCAGCGCTATCAACCCCTCCGAGTTGGCTCCTCGTGGTGCTGCCATCCAGGCCTCTTTGATCCAGGAGTTCGACAAGGAAGACATCGAGCAGAGCATCCATCCCATGGTTACTGCCACTCCTCATCTGCGCAATGCAATTGGTGTTGAATTTGTGCACGGAGAGACTGTCGAGTTCAAGCCTCTCCTGAACGCCGAGACCGCCCTGCCTGCTCGCCGCATCGCTCAGTACTCCGCCCCTAAGGATGGTGGTGACGTCCTTGTGCGTGTCTGCGAGGGTGTCCGCGAAATCAAGGTCACCAAGCCCGAGCCAAAGCCCAAGGAGGAGAAGCCCGCCAAGGCTGAGGATGATGAAGACGAAGACTCCGACTTTGACTCGGACGAAGATGAAGAGGAGGAAATCCGTGAGATTGTATGGAAGACCGAGAAACCCATTGCCGAACTTTCGGTCAAGGGCGTCAAGGCTGGCAGCAAGGTTGAGCTGATGGTTCACGTCAACGCCGATCTGGGCATGCAGATCACCGCTCGGGAAGTCGGTGGTCAGAGTGCTGTCCGTGGCGCCGTCGAGTCGCCCAAGGCTTAAGCAGTAACCCGGTCCTTCGTATTTTTTTTTTTTTTTTCAAAAAAACTATCTACCGTCTTGAAACAGGCAACGTCATGGGTAATGTCCTCCTTTATATGAGTTCATAGAGTATCTAGATGTGATCAATTTCACTTTTGGCATTTTCTATACTTTCATCATGCTCTTCCTAGATCTGAAAAATGTCTGGGTGGCTGCACATAGGAAAAACTGTCGGTTTGATTTCTGAGTACGCTCATTATATAACTTGTCATATCATTGTCCATTGACACATTACAAGCACAATAGGTCAATACATACCCTGTTGAGATAACAGTACCTCTGACTATTGGAGTACTTTTACAAAATAGTGTGGTGACCTATTGGAACAGAGGAGTTATATTACATATTATTAAATGGTTAAGATAATCGTCCACACATCGTCAAGAGGCGTCAAACAAGCAGCAAGGATACAGTGAAAGGGCAACTTAGGAATTAGAGCGCCGTAAAGATCAAACACGTACCCAATTCATAAACACGTAAAATGAGCGTAGGTTGGAGGGGGGTCGAGGGGTCAAAAGATAAAATATAAATCGTCTGCTGCAAGCCAGTGTTCAGGAATGCTTGGTGAGGGATAACGCAAGAATCCTATATCCGTTATATTGAGGTTCCCGTGCAGCAACAGCCTTGAACTCGGGAAAATGGATCATGATCCTAAGAGCTTGGCCACGCCGACACTCGCTCATCTCGCGCAAACGAGGCGAAACGAGATTTACGGTGCGGTTTCCTTGTTGCTTCTCAAGCTTCCCGATCGGCGGGAATTGAAGAAACCACGCCGTCTCTGTTCCCGTCCGCTGTATCCGCCGTCCTTTCGGCCGACGGCGCCTCCCATGCAGTAGATCACGCAGGAGAGGAAAAGGAGAGCGACGGAAGTCCACATGAAGGCGAAAGCCTTAACACCGAGATGAGATGATTGGCCGTTGTCGTTGAATTTATTGCGACCCTGGACGTAGACAGCGCTATTCGAGTTGTCAGTTATACCGAAATCTATATTCTAGACGACATTGACGATGAACTCACGTCATCAGGCAAGTGGTGATGGTCTGGAAAGTCAGCGCAAGGTACGCTGAGAATGCCGAGACCCAATTTCCAATGCGGGTGCACATGGCAAGGAAACCCGTGAAGAGCGAGCAGGTAGCGAAGAGCAAGGCGATGATGTGGAATGGGAACATAAAGCGGGAGGTCAAGAAGTAATGACGGGTCCTATGTATCGTTAGTTGTTGTCATACAACCCTAAACATTGATGTCAAGAAACATGCTTGCTGCTACTCACCCAATGAAAGCTGCAGGGATGTTGACATGGGTATTAAAGGTCCGGTGGCTTGGGGGATCAAAGGGGTAGTCGGGGTACGACGTTCCGCATTGATTGTGTCCCTTGCTGTCCACTGCACACAGATTCCAGTATGTCCATCGGGACAGGGCTGGTGCGCCAGGGATGTTGCCCGTGGCAGCTTCAAGCCAGTAAATCCTGTCCAGAGGGTTCGAGTTCCTTGCTCCTCCGAGAAAAGCGAGGAACATCAACAGAAGGGCGCCAGCCGTAAAGAAAAGGCCAAGGAAGCCTAGACCCACTCCTGTCGCAGTGTGTTAGACGTGACTTTCTCAGACTATCAGAGCGATACTCACTGCTCAAAACCATCTTACTATCTCCAACTCGGCGTAGGGCTTGAAGGACGTAGTATTTCGGCTGAAAGTAGTTGGGGAAATTACGTTGTAAAATTGAGAAACTAACACCAAAGGCCCAAGGACGTTATTTAGACAGTCAGGACAGAGTTGTGAAGAAGATTTCGAACATATGCCTCAGAAAAATGCAACCTGGGCGGCGGCAATTATATCAATGATCCGGTGATCCCGGGTACCTCTGCGGGAAAGCGCAGAAATTATTGGGGTAGTGATATAATAATGAGGATGCATCCTGACTCTCCGTGTTCATTGAAAGTTAATTGCTCGATGTGTGGCACGACCAGCATGATAGCATCCACTGATTCTTGCTTTTTCCGCAGTACAGAAGAGCCAAGAACACCAAGTGATGATCTCGACGTCATCATTGACCGGATCCCGCTAACCTCTTCCAGATAGCCGCTACCTTAATGCCCAGTACTAACCTCAACTGGGACTAGTGCACATCATATCCATGACGTTGTCCAACTCACTCTCAACTGCAACTGTCTCCATTTCTCTCCATTCTCCTCTTCTCGGCCCAGTGGCTCTGACGTTGCACCATCCGTGGTGATCGATCGGGTTGCAAACTGGCTCTAGCTATGAGCCTATGAGACGATGAGACTATGACCTTTACTTGGCTGGAATTGGATCTAGTCTTTCGAAATTTTTCTGCCTGGCCAGTCCAACTCCCCACCACTGTGGACCTGGCTGTGCGCTTTCTACCTTCCCTACCCCGTACCTCAGCCCAATAGGTGGGTGCTACTTTCCACTGCAGCTTGGGTACTAGTGTAGGTTACTTGTGAATATTCGTGATGGCAACTTGGGCATACCCACCGTTGCCTCCAGAATCGTTGGAACGGGAAGCGGACAGTGCGTTGGTACGCAGCCCATGTTCCCTTGTGCGTAGATTACTACTCATCTCTAATCATTGGTCCAGGCACGGGAACTGGAATGGCTACTTCGGTCTCTACAGGACTCTCTAGCGGCATTGAGGGAGGGCCTTCGTGATTGTGCTGCATTGCTGGCACCAAAGGAGCCAGGTTCGACGCTGGTGCTGTCCTCTCACCGGTCGGAGTGTGTCAAGGGCTTCGTGACCAGAGTTGGAACCAAAGTCGTGAAGGGGGTATGCTTCTGCGCCACCCTTCTTGCATCGTCAAACATGTTACTTGCGATGTGGCAGCTAATGTGATGGCGACGTGATAGGACATTCAACTGCGCCTTAGCTCTCTTGCATCTGCCCGTGGCGCGCCCACTACCCGTCTGTGCTTATCCAATGCTCCTGGCACTCCAGAGCTCGTCCTTAACCAGCTGTCGTCCGTGCGAGATCTCGTCAATCAGAGCCTCGATGTCGTAGATGTAAGCACATGGACCGGTGACCCACTGAACGCCAGTTTCATTTTCGGTCAACTGCGTCTTTTGCATGAGACTATTACGGAGGCGCGGCACATGCTGAAAGGGGAGAACGATAATGTGCAAGGCAAGTGGTGGGAAACCAGCGCGGAGGATAATGTGAGTCACTCAACATTACATGCGCCTGGTAGTGTCTCGGTGCTGATTGGACTACAAGATCTTCGACCCTCCGCTGCCACCAGATCTCTCGTTCCACCTCTCTATTGCGGACTCGGCTCTTGTGCTCCATCTGAGAACGCTTGAAACCGCTGCGCCTTCGTCCCATGCGCCGACCGCCTTCGCTGCCGATATCTCGCTTACCGGTTTCAACATTCGAGACCGATTATTCGGGCCACGGCATCGCCCTCATGACGAGATGGGCGATGTTTTCGTTTGGAAAGGAGAAGAGGTAAAAGTAAAGGAGAAGATTCGAGTCGAGAGCCAGGATCCTAGTCTGATGGCGGTCATGGCCAAACTCACGGCTCTGGAGCATGAAGTCACGAAATGGTTGACATCCCTGAAAGTGCTAATGGGCATCGAAGACACAGACAGCGAATCATGATATTTACAGTCACTTCCAAATCTGAATACCCCTCTACAATACCAACTTTTTGAATGGAGAGTAGGTACCGATCACCCTCGCGGCTGTCTGGACAAATCGTTTCTCAGATAAATATATTATGTAATCGTAGAAATTCTGAGCGACCAATGAGAACTGTGGGATTCCGCCAGGAACACTGCGTCTTGGCGAAAGTTTTCCCATGTAAAGCGCCTTGAGTGGCGTTACAATTTCTGCCCTCACTCATTGCTCACTAGAATCTTGGTTCGGTGCGCTTGGGAGAAGGTGTTAGGATGCTGTCAAGGTCGCCAGCATTGAGGGCACATCGATCATGTTCGCATGATCTTTTGCGCCCAGTCTACAATTCGCCGCGGACAGCATCGCAGCAGCTGCGCTGCGGAGCTGCAAATTGCATCGCTCAACGCCTGAAAAGCACTTTGTCTCGCCGGGCGCCATCCCCTACCTCACATACGATATTATCCAGAAGTACCTCCAGCAACAGTACCGAGCGATGGCAGATCGGGCGAAGACATGTGTCGAGCAATACGCCCTCAGATACTCATCCTTATGCGGACCGAAAAGACACCATTTGCGCTCTGATCGATAAGATCAATGAAACCGAACTGGAGCTTGCGGAGCTCATGGATGATTTGGGACTGTTGGAAGAGTATCAAGGAGCTTTGAATCTTGACGGCCCCGAACTCGACCACGTATTCAGCCAGTGGATCGGCCATCGAGACGAACAGGCTTTGGAATCACGAGTACGAACTGCGAGGCAAGAATTCGGCGAGTATCTTCCAGCGGGCTATTTGAACGAAACCGAGCTTCGATTGTATACGCGGCTCTACGGCGAACCGATAATCAAGGCGGAAGAGCCACAGTCGGAGTTGGAAGCTGAGCTGGCCGAGGAGGATAGAGATCCCAACCGCTTGTTTCAAGAGGATGGCCAGGGAGGCTGGAAAGAAGTCGAATTTGAGAGGGTTGAGTCGCAAGATGATGGACCTCCGCTCGTCTACGACATGGAAGTCGGTCCTCCTGTGGAAGAGTCGGCCGCTATGCGTCGCACGAGAGAAGTGGCAGAGCAGCTTGGTGGGGAGCTGATGCTGGAACAATTCGAAGATGAAGCGGTTCCAGATGCGGCCCCTCGCTTGCATCCCTTGACGCGCGAGGGCAAGTTCTCTACGGACCCAAGCACTGTATTTCTGCCGAAGGACACCGTAACTGGTCCGATTTCCGTCATTCTCTCCGAATTCTCGAACAGGCATATCGCGGACGTCGCTCACCGGACTTTTGGAGGCAGGTTGCTACCTCACTCTACCACAACCCCCCCTCCGCGCGCACAGGTACCTCAGCTTCCGATTCCTCTCGAGGCTTCTCAGCGCCACATGAGCCAGATGGAGGGGAATGTGTACATGGCAGCTTTATACCCCGGCATGTACGCGTCTGCCTTGAGCGTACTTGTCGAGGTTCGAAAGCGACTGGGCACAGACTGGATACGTCGACTGATGGCCCAGCAGGATGGTCCCCATGTCCTGGATGCTGGCGCTGGTGGTGCCGGAATTCTGGCTTGGAGAGATGTCCTTCGTGCAGAATGGAAGGCCATGGTTCCAGATCATCCCGAAACAGATCCTATCCCATTGGGTAGGTCGACGGTGGTCACAGCCTCAGAAGCGCTCCGCAATCGCGCGAGTGTCATGCTCGACAACACAACTTTTCTTCCACGCTTGCCCGACTATGTACATATCCGTGAGAAACCAACTCTCGACGACGAGCGGCCTCCGCCCCCGCGCAAACAATACGATGTCATCATAGCGCCACATACCTTACTTGGCCTGGAGGAAGAGTATATGCGGAAAGAACATGTCGAGAATCTCTGGACCCTTCTGAATCCCCACGGCGGAGTTTTGATTCTTCTTGAAAAGGGTCACCAGAAGGGATTCGAAGCGATAGCCGGCGCTCGTGAGATGTTGCTGAAACGCTACATTTCAAGTCCCGGTTCTACACAATACGAAGAACTTACCGAGTCTTCTAACGAGAACAAGCATATTGACAAAGAGGAAGGCATGATTATTGCACCTTGCACAAATCATGCGAAATGTCCCATGTATACTGTTGCTGGCCATGCCAAAGGACGCAGAGACTTCTGCCATTTCGAGCAGAGATATATCAGACCCGCTTTCCTTCAACGAATCCTAGGCGCCAAGGATCGCAACCATGAGGATGTCAAATTCAGTTACATAGCGGTTCAACGTGGCGTGGATCTTCGCAAGGAGATGAACATCGTCCAAGGTCCTGAGGCCGCTGAAGCAGCCTTTGCCGGATACGAGCACCTTCACGATATGGAGTCGGAAGATGCCCAAGTTTCAGATGATGCTGCGACCAGCGAGCCCTCGGCCGCCCAAGACGGCCAAGACTTCCATACGTTGTCTCTCCCTCGCGCCGTCTACACCCCAATGAAACGCCGTGGACACGTCATCTTTGATTTTTGTACACCAGCAGGAAAGATTGAACGCTGGACCGTTCCTCGTTCCTACAGTAAGCAAGCTTACAAGGATGCACGCAAAGCCCGCTGGGGAGATCTGTGGGCTCTTGGTGCGAAGACCCGCGTCCCACGGAGCTTGAGACTCGGTGAGAAGCATGGCGAGGGCAAGAAAGAGCGTTTGGCGAAGCGAGCTGCTTCGAAAGCCGCTCTAGGTGAATCTGAAGATGGTGCTCTAGAAACTACCTCGTCCGACGACTGGGATGTATTCACAACCCCTGTGAGAAAGAAGGGTCAAACGATTCCCAGCTGGAAGAAGCATCAGGACAAGAAGAAGATCAGACAGGCCTCGAAGAAGCAATCCACTGTCAAGCTGACGGACCATGATCTTGATTGAACCTCATGAATCAACAGAGTACATTTTGGGGGATAAAGGAATAGGTTTGCGGCGTATCATGGTTCATGGTTCATGGGTATACTACAACTTTGAACAGTCGGGATCGGAATACTTGTACTGCATTTGTGTGTATAATAGAATATCCCTGCATAGAGTGCAGTCACAATAAAGCTCTTCACTCAGAATCTATTCTTAATAACATGCAATCCTTCCGGGTGCACATTCACACACTCGTCACGTTATTATGAATGGTGGCCTTCTTAGGGCAGTAGAAGCAGCAGCTTTGGTCGACCACCAAAGTAATCTGCTCAAGTCGGCATAGGCCCTGTTTGTCGTCTGCACGTTGCTGTTTCTCGCAAAGTCCGTTCGGTAGTGATCGAAAGGCATGCTGCCTTGATCGTCGGGCTCGCCAGACGCACTGTCCCTGCGAACGAGGGGTGGACTCGTTTCCTTCTAGGTGTTATCGCATAGGCGTAGATAGTCATGCTTCGGCTTCATTGACTGTTTTTGGACCAGGCAACATAATCCGTAAATTTAGTGTCCGCCAAAGTCTTATTCGGATCGACGGTAGATCTCCAACTCCGCTTGTGGGCTTATTGAAAAGCCATACTTTTTCTCAGCTGACGTTCACGTTGCTGACTCTGCAGCTCCAGTCGCTCAACAGTGTACTTCAGCCGCTCCTTCTTCTGGACGAGGCGTCTGTATTCCGCTGCTTTTGCGACAGCGCTACCAGCGTCTTGTCTCTGTCGATCGCGCATGGCGCCCAGACCGCGACTCCAAGATTGACGGCTGTCGTTGGAGTGAAGTCGGCCCTCTTGGAGCTCGCATTTAGCTTTAAGGGCCTGTTCGCGACGGGAGAGCTTTTCGACGTGGTTTGAGGCTAAGGATAATAGATGCGCGATACTAGGTGAGATTTCATCCAAGAGTGACTGCTGTGCTTCGCGCAGAGTTGGTTCGGGAAGGAGTTCGAAGTGCTAGCATCCAACCCAAGAATCAGCAAATCAATGAAAGTGATAGGCTGGTCGTACTATCATGTCTCTTACCCGCGTTGTCTGCAAGACCTTGCACAATCGGGGAAAGTCGCTAACAGCGGAGTCGAGAGTAGAGATGGATGAATCGAGTGTTTGTAGCGTGGATTGAAGTGAGTCAACTGAGGCTTGAAGTGATGCAGCCATATTCAAGCATCCGTTACTAGTATATTTGTCTGGGTGTAGATATGTTGCTGTCTTCTGGCCTGCTGTTAATCATTGTTTATTTGCTGCCGAGGGGTCTGCGGGCCGATAAAAGCGGCACTGGATTAGTGGCCGTCCCGTAAAAGCGGCCGGATATCGGCCTTCCGGGCAAACCTCGTTGCTTCCGCTTCTCCTCGTCGCACCGTTCTCAAGCTCTATCAACTCTCTGAACCTTCCGCAACCAGAAGTCAGCTTCAAATTGCATAATAAGTCGCAATGTCTCTCCTCGGAAAGAAGTTCCCCGCCCCTGTGGGTATGTTATAAGTCCCCTACTACGCTCGTGCGATGGCGATCGGATCATGTCACTAACCGCTCAATCACAGCCAAGCCTATGGCTCCTTTCTTCGCTGCCGGTATGCCATCTTGATTTTATCGCGAATATGTTGAGCTCGCAGATTGGACCCAAGAAAGCGGTTTCGATCCTAGCCAAAGCCGAGTGCCCGAGTCTAATGAGGATTTTTTTGCAGGTGTCGTCATCCTCTACGGCGTCAACTCTCTCGCCAACGCTCTGATGAACAGTGAGCCTCCCTTTTGTCTTGCGACTAGATGGAAGGATTCCTCTGCGGATGCGCCTCGACCATGCCTTTCGAATTCCATCACTTCAATCAACAATGGCTGACATTTGCTGTTTACCTTTCTAGCCGAGGAGTTCAAGAACGATCCCCGCAACCCTAACGCTAAGAACGTCAAGCACTGATTTCATTTCAAAATTCTCAATGATGACAGTATGGCGGAGGAAAGAAGACGGTCAATGGTGGCATCACTCCTGCATTGCTGTTGCACTTCGCCCTGAGTTCGCGTGCAGCCAACCTGTACCAGCATATAGAATTTACCGCATTGGGGTACTCTGACGAATAGTAAAGGTGTACAATTACTTCTGTGATCTCATCCCCGGTCTTTGTCGCACGTACTCTTCAGTAATTGACACTTGTTCATGGACATCTCGCGGCTCTCCGGAACTGCACTGGAATTGTAGGAGCGTGCAGAGCGTACACTCTAGCCCTCAACCACCGGATAGGAACAGCACACACTAACTAACTGTCGCTGATGGAATCCCCAAACGCGAGATTGTATATTCGTGGCTTATGTTTTCTGCTGCGATCACTCTTAAGGCAATAAGGCCGTATTGATATTAGAGTACTCGAAAGGATGGTCGCATGACCGATTGGTAAGATCTGATTAGATTAAAACATAGTCAGTTCGATGAGCAGCATAATCATTCTGAAGAGCATAATCCTATTTTATAGAGTATAATATAGGTTTAATCATATCGGATCGTTCTGATATCTGGGCCATCCCGGGCTAACCCGATCTGGAAGGCACATTTTGCCAACTCCGCCGCTCCGTTTGAACCGCTTCCCATTGCGCCGGTGCTCCAAGACATTCATTTGACAGCGAAGAGAGCTACCTCTTAACGTTCATTCCACTTTCACCATGTCGCATTTCAGGTCGAAGAGGCTGGATCTCAGCGGGTTTATCAATGCCCGCGTGATCCGCGACCACACGAAGCGCAAGGTCTTTGAGCAATATGAGCCTGACCGGTATGGCCACCCTAGAAACCCAGCGGCCTCTAGCTAGGAAGCTTGCCAAAGTAACTCAGAACTAACATGTCCTCTTCACGTTATGTAGTCAAGCTCTCCGCTACATAATCCGCAACACCACCCTCCCCCAGCGTGTCCGTGCCCAGGCTCAGCTGCAGCTTTCTCAGATGCACGCCTACACCCGGCCGACGCAGATCAAGAACAGATGTGTAGCAGGAGGAATCGCCAGGAGTGTGATACGCGATTTCAGAATTGCTAGAGTAAGTGATGCCATTGCCTGGTGATTGTCGATGGTCTGAGCGGATTGGCTGATTCAAACTGTTCGTCACAGTATCAATTCCGTCAGCAAGCGCTTAATGGTGAACTCCCCGGCGTGAAGAAGGCGAGCTGGTAGAGTTCTTCTATCTTGCAAGTTGTATTTTGTTGGCGATTTTGGGACGGCCGGTTTGCACGCAGGCGTTTTATCCTCCTTTCCTTCTTCGAGAGAAATGTACAATAGATGCGATGCTCGATTGAGAAATTTCAGTCAGTGGACATATGATTTGTTAGGGCCATGGTGGTAGATGGTGAAGTTACACCCGTATGATATATCTCTCATTTTGAGGGTGCTGGTGAAGCTAGGTGAATCTGGGTCTGGTGGTATGTAAATTCCCTCGAAGGCAATCAAGACCTCAATGTTTCGTGCTCGGTCAAACACATTCAGAGTGGCTGAGGGAAAGAGAAGTCAGTTCATATTCACCTCAAAGCAAACGACTATCTTTCACTATTACGTCTCGTCGGATACTTGCAGACCTCATCACCTGCCATCTTCTTCAAATCCGACACCACCTCTCTCACCATAGCTTTGGTTCTATTGCTACATCCTCTTAGCTGAAAACTCTCAATGCTTCCCTCTTCGCTTTTTCTTCTAGGAGACACCTTATAGAACTTCTTATCAAAGGTCGTGTTTCCTTCCTTTCTCTCTTAAGCGCTCAACTTCTGAAAAAGCAAGCAACGAGATCCGTGAGGATGTTTGTCTACCGTCCGCAGGATCTGCCTCAGGATCCTATCTTTCCTGCTGACTTGGAGAAACTTGGGTAAGGGACGGAGATGGGTTTGAATCTTTACCAAGTCTAACGCATGGTGTAGGTACTTCATCAACGAAAAAGATCAGATCAGAAAGATTGCCAATCCCGAACAGGAATTCCAGTTCAAGATCAATAGAAATGACCGATGGAACGATTTACAACGAGGGGCAATGAACGGTAAGACTCTTGAAACTCTTCTTCAGCCCGAAGAGTCCGGACAGCTTGACCCACTGACATGACTAGAATGCATTCGCACTGTCGTCTCTTCGCGCCTGCGCAGTCTGGGACTCACTACTATCCGACTTCCTCTCACATCTGGTCCTAAAGATCCTCATGTCCCAATTTGGGTCTCTGCAAACCTGGCTCGCGCAGCCCGCGTCATCGTTGTGTTTGGGGAGCCCATTCAGGATCTTGGTATCTGGGCATATCGTACTGTAGGCACAGAAGGCGTCGACGCAGGTTCAGCTGTGGCTTTTGCGAGAGCAGTCTTGGGACTAAAGTCCGCAGCAGGCTTCAAAGATGCAGACGAAGCTTTACTTCTGGCGAATACAGGTCAGCTGATTTGGCACTGTGGTTCCAGTCGAGCAGTCACCCATCAAACGTGGCTCGCCCTTTCACGGTCCTCGGCTGTGGATGCGCCATTGACGATGACCCGTCGAAACAAGATCCCTTCGAACCAGGACTGGCAGAAACATGTTGCCTGCGTTTTCGACGAGATACTCTCAGCCCGCGGTCGCCTCGTCAGGGAGGACGCAAAGATAGACATCATTGGCTTGTCTGAGGGAGGCCTAGGGGCGATGCGGTATCTCGCAGCTGAGTGTATGCTTTGCCTTTACCCTTCTTTCTCTATGCCAGGGCAGTTGTAGAAACCTGCTGACACAAGCTGATGATAAGGGGACGCATGGAGACCCTACATATCCGCCATCGCATTGCCCAACCCTCTCCATTACACTTATTTTGACCTCGTCAAGGAGAGCCCGGCCGTGCCATCATCGTTCATCTCTTTCATTTCCTCTCGCTGCCGCGCTTACGTGCTCTCCGACAAACCTGTTGGCTTCCCCGTGCCAGGCTTTCAAGAACACGGCTGCAATTGCTACTCGTCTGGTGAGGCGCTGCATACGGAATGCATCATGCCAAAGGCTTGGAGAAATATGCTTGATTGGCTAGCAAAGATGTATGCAAACCCTTCTGACGGCGAAGCACATCTTGAGTTCGAGGAGTTGGACGGTGCCACTTCGGAGACTGTTGCTGGGGACGGGATCAGTTGAATGGTTGATGTCCTTACAGTCCGTATGCCTTTTGACTCTCAATGGCTGTACCCTAAGGCCGGCGAAGAGCATCCTTTCTGCCTAGAATATCCAATGGTGGGCGCAGTTGATTTGTTGAGGCACCAGAAGGGTCCGATCAGATAGTCTCAATTAGTATGCATTGTCAACGAGCATTCCGTACCTGGTGCTCTCAATGATCCAAAATGAGAGAACTCTTTATCCTGGCCTTTTCTGCGTATTCCCATTCTTGAATAGGAGGCTTGTCTCAGAAGGTTCCCTCTTACCTCTTGATCTCATACTCTATAATTCAAGTATTGTTGTCATCCATCTATCCAGCTGAAATAGGTCTTAGCCATCAGGCTCATCTCATTGTTCGTTCTCGGCATACAATTTCAGCAAGACATCTCCGTTGGCAATATGCCAGTTTTGAACTTCAAACAGCTGCCATTGCCAATGGGAAACCCCATTTCTAAACCTGGAATCCCGTAATTTCTGCGGGAAGCACGCAATGAGCATGCCAGCAGTCCAAAACTGCAATATGCATCATAGCGTGGTAATCTCATGAAAACATAAGCACCTAAATTGAACACCCCAGTGTCTAATATATTTTCTTACCACTAGAATGATAGTCTCGACATCTGAGGATTCGCATGGCGCATGTATACGGGACTCTGACCCTCCCAAGCAGGAAATGCGCTACGCTGAATCTGCTTCTCCAGTGAAGAGACTGGATGCGGGTTCTTCCATCCTTCATGAACAAACTGGAATGACCTTGGGTATTGCTGCCTTCTCTGCACGTTTAGGACTCGGTCAATAATTCTAATCCTGCCATACTTCTTGTCTTAGTCCCCTGTTTGGCCCACTTGCCGGCGGGTCGGTCCGGTGGATCGCTTGTTCAAATCAATTCCGGGGGGTTGATTTTATGGTATATATTTAGTGAGACAAGTTTTTTGGTTTCTTAATGGCAGATACTTGATCAGGCCATTCCTCATTTGATGTGAGTGAGTGGGTTGAGTCTGAAAAGATGGCCCAGTAAGCACTCCGCAAATCCGCAAGAAACATGGAAGTGATAGGTGATGCAACCTGTGAGTTACTTATAAGACGACCTTTGTTAACTGCTACCTAGAATACTTCTCTTTGAAGGGGTGAATGCCGATATGAGAAAACACCGATCGATGAAAGGTACAATTTAAGTATTATCATCGAACTTTGGCAGACATCTCCCTGTATGGGGATATATATATCCATGTACTCCGTACAACCGGATACACCCCTGTTGCCTCTGTTTCCTCCAACCTTCTGGTCATATTTTCGATAAAACTGAATCGTTACAATGACGGATCATCCCTGCCGGCGTCAATACAGCCAGTTCTCTACCTTACCTCTCTGAGGTAGGCGGGAGTGTCTGAGACTGGTTTTTAATCCCAAACTATTCCAGGCTAAAGACACTGCGGCACGAGCACTGCACATGCAACTGTGAGCTCACGGGCCAACTGTCCCTGCTGGAAGGGCCTTGTCCTGAACAAGGATGGAGAAGCGAAATCTGAAGCTGTACGCTCTGATCAAATTGTCGTCATCATCAAAGGCTGGTCTCTCGAGATCAACTTCGATCAAAACGACATGGATTGACGTCTGCTACTATTGACACGTCTGTCTTAACTATCTTAAACTTGCTATTTCGTCTTAAAGCGAACCCTGCTGAAGATGAGGTATGCTAACGTTACATTGTCTACTCGCAGGTCAGCTGCTACCCTCTGCCCTCTGCCCCTGAGCGCTGAACCACGAGCCTCTGGATCTGGTGCTGACGGCCAGGGTTGTCTGCAGCCGCAAAAGTACCAAACAAAAGAAGATACGAGGGGCTCAAGAGACGTTTCGAGGTGGCTGCGATTCATCCGTTTAACGCCCCGTCAACTATTCTTACACTAGCCATCTGAAGTTTATAGTGTCGAAACACCAATGGATCCGCTTATACGCGGTCATGATTTGCCCGTCGAGTCAGATGACGATTTGGGGTTGCGTGGCCACGAGGAAGGGAAAGCTAGAGCGGCGTGTTGATCCGAAGCAATCACAATTGCCTCATGTCGAATCAGACTGACACAATTGTTGAACGAACGTGCTGATATCACCTTGACGAGACCTGATGCAATTGGCGAAAATGATCGAATAAGCATGACAATGTACTACGATCTCGATAGTACGCGGACATGTTGCACTATGCACGATGGGCCTTCGTTGATACACTCACTCTCTCAATTTAAGCGACTTGAGGACGAAAGACGGCCAGGCCGTGAGTCAAAGCTTTACGGAGGACGCCGAAAAGAGGGGGAGAGCACAGAATTTTCGAGACTATCGACAGTCTTCCTAAGCACCCAATTATAGAGAGCAATGGCTATCACACCCATCGTGACTCCATTCGTCAAGTCATTCTGATCGAGTAAAAGGAAACGGCCGAGGAGTTTCGATCGAGTAAGAGGGATGAGAAATCCGCAGGGAGATTCCCGATTGAACCAGCGGAGACGCCCGATAGATTGCCTCGCCCGTCAGGCACGCATTGGTGGAAAGTCTTGTGATTGGCTCGGAAGTGCGGCCATTGTTACGAAGTATGAAAATTTTACACGGCCGGTATTTTACGGATCGCTTGCCACTTTGCCTGTGGACTTGCGTTCCGATAACCGGATCCGGTAAGCATGAGGGTATCCAGACAATGCACACTGTCACCATACAGTGTGTATGACAGGCTTCTGGGTAGTATGGAGGGGTAATTGTACTGAAGAGAAGGACTATATTTTGACCGTCAGGTTTGCTGAAACAGGAGCCTGAGCAATAGGCAGGGGCCTGTTTGTTCAAGGCGATAACCGAAGCCAATGCTGCCAATCTTTGAAGCATAGTCTTCTCCGTAATTCCCATCGAGTAATCCGAACTGAATCAGTGGGTATTTCGAAGGATCGTGATCTCGATCGCCATTCTGGCTGTGCGGATGGCCCACGCACCCCGTGGACGGCGTTCTGGGTTACTCAACCGTATCCCCAGGGTCTTCTGGTATATATAAGTGGTGAGTCCTTTCGGGGTCAGCCATGATAATAATAGGAAATTTCTGAGATAGGGCCTTGTGTTCCTTCTTTGTTTACCCGTCTCGAACTTCCCCCGATTTTCTGCCGAGTGGCGGGCCCAGAACAATTTTCTTATCCTTATCAACCACTATCAAAACTTTCTTTATCTTCTTATCCTCCCTTATCAGCACTCGATCAACAAGCAATTTCTCTCCTCTCCCCCGCCAATCTTCCCTAGAGGAAACGGCAGAGTTTCTCTCTCTTTCACTGCTCCGTACCTCTCCTCTCGTTCTCAGTCGTTTCGTCATTCTTTCTCTCTATATCCCTTTTCTTCATACCCCTTCACCATGGAGGCTCCTCCTCAAATGCCTTCAATCTCCGTGGTGGCATCCTCGCGTGCCGTTATCTCCGGCCGTTTGACATCAGCCACGATTGTTAGCTCTCGTACCACTGGCAAGATCACTGCAGTCTTTGACTCGGTCATTCCTGCGTCTGACTTCCCCGCGGGGACTCCATATACCGACTATTCCCCTCATGTCCTCTTGCCTGGTTTGGTCGATGCACATGTCCACCTCAATGAGCCTGGCCGGACCGAGTGGGAGGGCTTCTACACTGGAACGCAGGCCGCCGCCTTTGGTGGTGTCACCACAGTCATTGATATGCCATTGAATGCCATTCCTCCAACAACAACCGTTGCCGGCCTAAAGGAAAAGATTCAGGCCGCCGAGGGCAAGTGCTGGGTGGATGTTGGCTTCTATGGCGGTATCATCCCCGGGAATGCTGGCGAGCTCAAGGCTCTGGTCCAGCAGGGTGTGCGCGGTTTCAAGGGTTTCCTTATCGATAGTGGTGTATGTATCTGTCCCCTCGTGCGTTCTTCGGTGCACACTGACCGCTTTATCCTTTTACAGGTGGAAGAGTTCCCCGCTGTCTCCTCCGAGGACATCAAGTTGGCTATGAAGGAGTTGGCCGACGAACCCACAACCCTCATGTTCCACGCAGAGATGTTACCCCCTATCGCTGCCTCTGTTGGAGACGCTGTCAGTACCTCTGACCCCCCTGCGGCCCCAGCAGGTCCTGTGGAAGTTTACTCCACTTTCCTTGCCTCCCGTCCCTCAGTCTTTGAGACTTGCGCCGTGCAGGAGATCCTATCACTGGCTCACTTGGCCCCTAATCTCCCACTGCACATTGTCCACCTATCAGCTATGGAGGTGATTCCTCTCTTGCGCCAAGCCCGCGCCGATGGTGTCAAAATCACAGCCGAAACGTGCTTCCACTATCTGTCACTCGCCGCTGAGGAGATTCGCGATGGTGACACACGTCATAAGTGCTGCCCTCCCATCCGCTCCAGATTGAATCAGGACGGCCTCTGGGCCGAACTCGAACGTCATGCCGAGGACGGAGTCATCAAGACTGTAGTGTCGGACCACTCTCCCTGCACACCGGACCTGAAACTCCTGCCATCCCATATTCCTGGCCATCATGTCGCCAATGGCGAGGTCGAAAACCCCGGCAGCTTCTTCTCCGCCTGGGGTGGAATCTCATCCGTCGGTCTTGGACTCCCTATCATGTGGACCGAGCTCAGCCGTCGCAAGAACCTGACTTCCGCCCCCGATGACGCCAACACCAAGCGTGCCCTTCAGGATATTGTGCGATTGTGCTGTGCCAACACTGCGGCGCAGGTCGGCCTGCAGAACCAAAAGGGCGACCTCGTCCCGGGCTTTGACGCTGATATCTGTGTCTTTGACGACACTGCCGAATGGGTCGTTAAGCCCAGCACCATGCTTTTCCGCAACAAGTGCTCCCCCTACCAAGGTCGTACCCTTCGAGGCATGGTCCGCGAAACCTGGGTGCGAGGCGAAAAAGTCTTCAGCCGAGACGATGGTTTCGTCGCCAAGATCCCAACGGGTCACCTCCTTCTCGAGAAGCGGGTTTGATTCTTTTCATTTTCCCTGATACCCATTCCCTCGATCGAGACTGTTGACAGTCTGCCAGTCTCAACAAAAGCGATTTCTCCCAACCTGTTGACATGATGAAACGATGCATGATGCGCCCCATTACTGACGAGTTAATTATAATGACTTGAGCAGCAGCATATCAGCTGATTCTGATGCCCCAAGCGACGCTGTAGATTTGAGGTTAGATTTTGATAGACGAATACCATGCATTGATTTATGACTCTGTTTGTCATTTCCGCTCCGGTGTCCAGAGATCTGGAACATCCGGACGAATAAATCCATTTCTTTGATCTTTCAACAGTATGAAACCGTAACTTACAGTCATGCCACATTATCGTGGTTCCTCTGACACTCCTTCTCCTCCCATTTCTCCCTCACCCTCCGCCGCACGCCTCCATTCGCACCCCTCCCCCATATCGTCTCCTGCTCTCCATCAACTCTCTGGATCCCCTCCTTATCCGTCTTGCCGGCTCGACCCCCAACCACATCACTCTCCACTACCTCCTTCCGCTCCTTGATGCGCCTCTCACGCGTCCGCGCCTGGTCAACCTTTTGAAGATAAATTGCATATATCAACACTTCCGCTACACCCACCATCAGCGCGGCAAACAGGGACACCAGAACCCGCACCGGCTCCGACGCGCCCTCGCTCACCCTATTCGCGCTCGGTTTGCCGGGTGGCTGTCCCCGCCACAAGGAGGATACAGAGCTCACCAATATGTCAGGGGTACGGAAGCTTGTCAGCGCCCAGTACACGCTGAACCCGGTGATGAGCACCGAGAGGAAAATGTTCAGTACCAGTGACGGGGTGAGCGGGTCTGTCGTCTCCGTATCGCCGGCGGGTGCTTTAGAGTCGTGAAGGGCGGAGAGAGTCGGCGTGGAGGAGGAGAAGATCGGCGAGGGCCCGCTTTGCCCTGGTGCGGAGGGTGTGAATGTTGTGGCAGTCATGCGGTTGTAGGCGTCTGCTTCGGCGGCAGCGAGGAGGCGGGCCTTTAGAGCGAGGTACTCGGGGCTCTGGCGATCATATTGGTTAATAGTTGCAGAAGGGGGAGGGAGTGGTGGGTAGAGCGTACAGGTTCAGGTTTCTTAGACGGAGGAGGGACGTAGACTCTTGTGCCGCGGAGGAGCGAGTTGAGGCTTCTGTCTGGGTTCGGGTCGGGACTCGTGCTGTTCGCTCCATTGCGGAAGTAGCGTGATAGACGGATCACTTGCTCATGTGAGATTGGCGAGTTGATACTCAGAGAGTCGGGGAGGTCCAGTTCCTTGCGAGAAGATGGGGGAACGGCCTCAAGTGCGGAGATGATATGAGTGGTTGTGTTGAGGAGGACCATGGTGTTTGTGGTGGGTGGGTGGATGTCGAAAGGGTAGATGGGAGTTTCAGTCCATATTTAATCAATAGTCCGTTATAAATACCAATATATTGCGATGGTTGATATGGGATGTTGTCTGGGTACTTTGGAGACACTTGGAAGGATGGAAACTTGGCCGGGCGATAATGACGATGATGGAGCCTTGCCCGATTAGGCAAATGAGCTCCCCCACATCCATCACCTCCAATCGATAATATCACCGGCTTCATCGCCCGCCATCCTCAGATCGGCCCTCCTTCACCATAACCCTCTCTACTCGCATAATATCGTACTCTGGGGCTCGGACTTTGTCTGAGGTCACCCAACTCCACAATGGCAGACAAGAAATCCAGGTAAGATGGAAACGCGAGGGAGAAGAAAAAGTTCATCACCCCTCACATGCCCCCCTCCAGTGCACCGCACCAGCATTCAGAACTGACAACCACTCTACTCCAGCACCGTAACAACACAAACGAACCCGCGCGGAATTCCCGCCGCTCCCTTCATCGATAATGTCAGCGACTACGTCGCCTCGCGCGCAGACGTGGAACCCACGCTACAGCGCTTCCAGGAGATGATCTCCAAATATCAATTCATGGAGCTCAACACCCAGCGTCGAGCGGCGGGCCTCCGAGAAAAGATTCCCGACATCAAGAAGACATTAGACGTCGTACGGTTCTTGAAAAAGCAGAAAGAAGTAGGTCATCGAGTCCAGTCACCGACTAATACCACTTTGCCGTGATTGTATGCTGAAGATGTGTAATGGCAGACAAACTCCTCATCAACCCTCGAAACCAGCTTTGAGTTAAACGATACGCTCTATGCGCGCGCGCAAATCTCCCCAGCCGACACGGAAGAAGTATACCTCTGGCTCGGGGCGAACGTTATGCTTGCGTACCCCATCCCGGAGGCCGAGACGATGCTCTCGGAGAAGCTCTCTGCCGCAGAGCAGAGTCTAGCGAACTGTGATGAGGATCTGGAGTTTCTGAGGGAGCAGATTACCGTGCGTGCAGGAGTACAGTTTCTTTTCCTGTTGAGTTCTGACTGACGTTTGACATAGACCATCGAAGTCGCTACCGCTCGTGTCTACAACTGGGACGTTGTTCAGCGGCGGAAAGAAAAGGCTGAAGGCAAGGGGGATGACGATGAAGAAGCGACCGACAAGCGCAAGTCAGGTGGCTAAATGTTCAAAGCCAGTAATGCAATTCCTCAATTATTATGTCGTGACCAGCGCCTTACATAGCATTCATATCCGACGAGGAGAGGCCTTCCCTTTCCTCCTCCTTATTCTATGTTGACCAATCTTTTGGGATTGGATTGCTGAAGCGCTACCGTGTTCATTTAATACATCAAAAGCCTGACGGTCATGGTCATCGGGCGACCACTACCAGGACGGTAGAATCATGTGGCTCAATCAGCCATGCTACACGGGATCGAGGATATAAATGGACTAGCCATTCTATTCGCGCAAGATTCAATTCATTCTATCATCAATACCCGCTGACCAAGCGACGTAAAGGCTTCACTTCTTCTGATCGCCAGGATGAAGTAGACCCAATCTGAAGGAAGGGGTCGCGTTGGACATGACATCGTAGCATCATATATCAAGCACCGTCCAGAAATAACAGTCATGGCTTCTCGAACTGGGAGATACAACAAGATAGCGGAATGGGTCCACACAGATGATCATGGTAGGTCAAAACGCCAACACCATGATATTAAACGATCAAACCGTATACTCTATGCAGAATGAACACCGAACCAAGAACGAGAGCTGGAGTGCCTTCTAAACATAACTCCCTTACCGAATCATTAAACAACGTAGTGAATCGCAATATTAAGAAAGAAAATGTCATCAAATCGTAAAATAACCCGGAAATGTGGATGTCGCGAGGCAGCAACACCACCGGCTCAGCCGTGTTTAGCGGCCACTCAGTTTCCTTCCCGGTCCAGAATCTCCAGGAACGGAATTGGCAAGCAATCGATCGGGCAGCATATCAGCATCGGAAATCGCCCTATCTCGCAGCCTCCTTGACATCTCCATGTCGGTATCGTCGCCAACAAACGTCCACTCCTCACTGTCTTCGACATCATCATCAGCATCCTGCTCGGCCGTCGTTTTGGCAGAAGGCGTTGGCGAAAAAGGCGTGGACGAAGCGATGGAGCGCTGGCGGGCTAGTGTTTTGGCGTATTCAAGGTCGCGGTAAATGGCCTGGATAGCAGTTGCCACTCCATCCTCCTGTGACCGATTGTCAGCGTATCTGTTGTCACGAGCACTTGATCGCAAGAATGTCACTTACACTACGGATCCTTGCGCCTAGATCTTGGGCTCTGATGATCATTCGCTCGCTATGGGTGGCTTCCCAGAGTGCCCGCGAGAAAACGCTCACGTTAAGCTTCTTCATGCAAATCCCCACGCCCAAATCTTCTACTCTCGACCCAAAAAAGAACTGATCACCGAAGAAAGGCTTGATGATCGTAGGAACGCCAGCACGCAAGCTCGCCCCAGTGGTACCCGCTCCTCCATGATGAACGGCAGCGTCGATGTGTGAGAAGAGCCAGTCATGCGGCGCAGCCTGAATCTGGTGGATCTCTGGCGGCAGTGGTACTTCCGGCTTAGCACTGGCAGGATCGCCGAGCCTATCGGACCATCCTTTGGAGAGAATACAGCGAACATCAGCCTTCCGGACTGACTCAATGACTGTCTTGGTGAGTGCCGAAGGATCAGACACAACTATCGATCCAAACCCGATATAAACTATCTTTTTACCATCTTCGCGGGCACGATGAATGAATTCGCACAGAGCAGTTGGAGGAGTCCAGTCGCTTCCCTCGTTAAGGAACCAGTATCCGGTAATCCGAATCCAGTCGGGGTAGTCCAACGGTGGCGGTACTACCGAGGGAGAGTAGTTATAGAGGAATGGGACTTTGTTCGGTTGCATCTTGTCCAGAGTAGTCGCCTTTAGGCCGAGCTCGTTTTTCCGCCATCTATTCACCTGCCCGGCGATCGCCTTCCAGAAGACATTGTCAAACATCACGTAGGTTATATAGTTGTACGCACCACCCATTCTGTGCTCGGGCACAGCAAAGGCGTGTGGGTAAGCTCTTGTCCGTGACCACGGCATTGTGAAGGCACGAAAGTAAGGGATTCTCAGCGCCTCGGCGATGTGTATACCCGCCATTGCACTGGGTGATTCAATGAGAAGGTCGCTGTCCTGGCAGCTAGCCCATGCCGATGACAAAAGATCGTCAATCCAGCCCCTGAACTTTTGCGACGCCTCTTTGAGAAAGGAATACGTGAACATCCCATTCTCAACGCAAATGCGCATGAGTTCCGCTGGGTCACCCTCCACCGGAGCAAAATCAATGCCATGCTTTCTCACCCATGGCTCGAATTCTGCATGGGTTGCAATCTTTGGCCTATGGCCTTCTGCAAGTAGCCCTTTACATAGGGCTATGTATGGCTGCACATCGCCTCGCGAGCCAATCGTCAGACAGGTGATCCGAAGAGACTCGGCAGGTTTGAAGTTGACGATGGAAGCGCGAGGATCGTCAAAAATCGGATGTAGCTCAGAAGACTCATTCAAGGGCCGCAAGTCATTTTCGCCATAATCATCATATCTGGCCTCTTGAAGCATACGGTGTTCTGTCATCGCTGCCTCGGAGTCATTCTGCTCCTGCTCAGCTAGCAAGCCTGACTCTGCCATAAACTTTACAGCCTCCAGATGTTGATGGAGCGTAACAGCGCAGTCATCCCGAGCATCAGACGTACGGAACTCGAAGAATAACTCCTCATGTCCGCGGATAATAATAACAAGACCGTGATAGCCAAATCTGAAGCCTTTCTCCTTCTCAACGTTCTCAATGTCTCTCAGAGGAAGAATCATCTTTGTACGAGTCCCAGGAATAAGACTGCGGAAACATAGCTTCTTCTGACTGACGTATATCTTGCCATAGAGTGGAAGCACCCGGTGCAAGTATGCAAAGTATGTAGCTTGCAGCTTCTCCGTACGCGGTAGTGCAAAGTGTGCACGGAAACGGTCGCCATAGTTGCAGCCATCCTCCTTGTCTTCTGGATCGACATCTTGATCATCTGGCAAAACATCTTCTGCCTCGCCATAATGTTTTCGACCACCAGTCCACATTCCCGAGACTTTCTCTATATAGCCCATAGATTCACTGGCCAGGAGGTTACTCATTTGCTTTGACCGGGTCCTCAAGTACTCGGCAAGACCTGCTGCACGCTGGAGAGGATATACCCCGGCTTTGACAAGCTCGTTCAGAGAAGGTGCACCCGAGAAGGATTTAGTCGGATCTTGCGTGTATTGGTCTGATTCACCGGTGGAATCCCGAGCCTCACGTCCACTCGTATCTCCATCCATTCGTCTGCCAAGCTCATCGATCTGTTGACCGGTACCAACATTGGCACGCGTGGATAGTGATCGAGCCGTTTCATCAGAATTGCGTCGCCCTCTTCTTTCTCCGCCAGAAGGTCTTCTGTCCAGACCATGAATAGTAGGAGATTGAAAGACATCACTGCGATTCAAGATCTGGCTCGCTGATTCTGCCGCATCCGTCATCGATTGCCAGGCAGCTGAAGACTCAGTCCCTTGCTCGAAAGAATTCAATATTGACTCTGACGAGTCCTGGTGTCGAGTTGCCGGCGATGATTTTATAACATCATGTGCGAGGCTCGTATGACTCGTGCTTGCACTCGCTTTCCGCTGCGTCTCAGCTCTGCTATTACCTAGAACTCTACTTGTCCCACTGGTCAATGACCACCTGTTTCGAGATTTGCGGGTAGGATCAGACCGAGGGGACCGGTCCGGTTGAGGCGAAAGGTGTTGAGAAGAAATTTTTAAAGATTGGTCATTAATAAGGCTTCTAAGGAACTCGAATGCTTCTCGTCCGGAGTTGAAGAATGTGAAGAAATACTGCGAACCATAAGCCTTGTGCAGAAGGAACGTAATCAAGAGACATACCTCATCAATCGCGTACGAATCATCATCCTCAATCACGCGTATTTTGAACGTCTCGGCAAAGTCGACCATAGGACTTTCCTCTATGTCTATAATGCTTTCGATCGGAAAAGATATCTTGACGCTCTCCCCCTCGTTGTGTGTCCGAAAGATCACTTTTTGCAGGGCTTTTACCCATTCCTTCGCACTCATGGAGCTGTCAGCTCTGAAATAGTACGTTCTCTGGTCTGTAGTGACTTGAAAATCTCTAGGCTCCCTCCCTTTCTCTTTTGCTTCGCCCAATGAGGCAGAAATCCCGTATCGAAGATCGACATGACCACTCGGAAAGTAGAGATTTGACGGGTCGGCATAGTAGGAAAGAACATCACCCTTCAAAGAAAACCAGTAGCGGCTATACTTGGGGTTCTTTCGACCACGTTTGTAAAGATACCCAGACTTGATAGCCACTGTAGATTTCTTGGGGAGATAGGCGTAGAAGCAGATGTGTCCCTCGGTGACGTACATGTACCCCTGTAAAAGTATGCTCTGAAGAAGTGAGCAGGCATACTCAACAAGAACTTTTTCTGGTTTGTCAAAGCCGAACATATCCATCAGCCTTGTAGAAAGGGGGGACACGGATGCGCCGCGAGGGCCCTTCTCGCCACTTTCATCGAGAGAAGGTTGGGAGCGTTCGGTAGACGACGCTTTCAAATCAAACTGGGCTTGAGCTTCGACCATACGGCTCAGGATAGGAGCTGCTCGAGGAGTGGCACTGCGTGGCCGCGTAGGAGGTGAAATGTTGGGCATTTCATCGCCCGTTGAAGGATCGGTCTGTGGCTCATGCTTGGAGTTCGACTCGAATGGCCGAAATAATTTATGGTCCGATATTGTCCTTGGATGGCGACGGCCTCTTGTGCCCGACTCCTTCTCTGATTTCCCATCGGTCCGGGAACTGGATCTTTGGCTCGAATCGAGGGGGGAGGACGTATTCGCCGACGCAGACGTTCCTTTCCTGACAGAAGACTCCTTCCTTGGCCGCTGCTCTGATTCTCCATCACTGTCACTTGACTCGTCAAACCGCGCATGAAAATCAGACCTGGAGCCAACAGCGGCGATCATCCCAAATATGGATTGTTGCATGTATTGAAGATGGCCCTCGCGAGAGCCAGATCCTCCAGGAGGTGCGGTAAAGTCGACCTGGGCATCGTGATTGTCTTTCAGTCTATCCGGCAAAGCACTGGGAAGAAGACGGCTTGTGGACAGGGACTGTCTGCTTGCGCTGAGCTTGCGGTCCACCCGTCGCTTTGCATCGTCCAGAAATGGGCGCATTCTCGACGTAGATCAGAACGTAAGTGTTTCTCCGAGACCAAAAAAGGTAAAGAAATGCAGTGGTAAATCGCGGCCGCAGCCTTAAGGTGCGGAGCGACGAGGCTATGATGACTGCGGTTGAAGGAGTGCGTTGTCCACAGATATGGTTGGAGGTAACAAGTCAGATGTCACAACCAGGGCTTTGAGTAAACCTAGTGTTACAATAGACACATAATCCTGTCAATCAGTTCACTGGTCCACAACAAGCAGAATGCCCCATACGCGATGAAGAAAAAGGGAATGAAAGAGAACGAGATAAATGAACGCTCACCGTCTCTATAGTACTCCAAACTGATAAGGGCCTCCTACAAGATTGTTATCAGTGCACCGAAACGCTTGAAGACGGTGTCATTAGGGCGACAGAAGGGAAGGGCTCTGAGTCATGCTGAAGAGAAAGACTAAGGCATGATCTTCCAGATGAAGATCCACAAAGCGAAAGAGTTGCAGTAAATGAACAACGTGCAGTGATTCCAAGCAAGTACGTACTTCCAGAGAGGAAAAAGCCCAACGCCCTAGCTTGACCTCTGGCGTCACTTGTCTGTATCAGCTGTTCATCAGTCCCCGGCCCCACCAATCATGGGGATTGCATGTGATTGAGGCACGGTATTCATCCAATCAGAAGCAGATTGGCATCACTCAACTGGCTTATGTCATCGCCCTCTTGATCTGCCTGTAATTTACATTACCGTCGCATCTCTGAGCTGGACGTGACATGAAGAATAGTAAGATCGCGGGACGATCAAGCAAAATTCCATGTGCGTAAGCCACGTCTAAGATCTAAGATCATATGATATCTAATTGATCTTTCTGTACTAAGTATTTGCCGCTCATCGAGTACCGTTGGGCCTAGTACAAGTAGGAGGCTGATTGCCGGTATCAGTGGCTGTGCAGTATGCTCCAATTTGGCTTGGGAACCTGGAGCAACGGAGTCTGGTCAAGAGCAGCACTGTATTGTGGATATCTTCAAGGCTGTATAGCTTGTTTTTAGAGAAAAAACGGTAGTACTAGAACCTAGACTCGAGCATCCAGGACTTGATCGTTGGTCCAAAGATGATGCTTCTTAGAAATCGAAAGAAATCAGGGCAGGCACCATTGGCCATGATGCGCAATCCCGTCCATTGGACAACTTTTTTCGCTTATGAACAACATGAAAATACAGTTCTCATTTCGACATTTATCACGCCTTCTCCTTCTTCCGTTTCTTCTCGTCTCGCTTTTTGCTTGATTGTGATGTATCGACAGATTGTTTCTTGGACTTCTTCCTGGGCAAGCTAGCCGATTGGGATCCTTCCACTTCTTCGGCATGCTTCCGTTTTCTTTCCTCGCGCTCGGTCTTTGATTCTCTGGGGAGCTTGAGAGTTGGCTTTCCCTCTCCCTCGGACTCTTCCGAACTCGAACCGATCGTCTCTGGTGGACCCTCTCCACTACCGACCGGGCGAAACCGCATCTTCAGATGTTTCGGTTGCTTCCTTGGTGGCTTGATCTGATCCTGTGCTGCTGCCAATACTGCATCGTCGGTCCCTAAGCTTTTAGGGAGGTCGATTAGTTCCTGTACGTGATAGGTAGGCATGGTAGTGGCAGGTGCGCTGTAGTATGTCTGCGTCTTCGAATCGTATAGGAGGAGACTCTTTCCACCCAAGTCGCCCTGGCCAATGTTCTCCGATGGGATACCATATTGCACGCCCTCGTGCTTAAGTACCGGCTCCCCTTGTAAGATCTTCGCCAGCGACACCTCTTTGACTTTGGAGAGAGGGAGGAAGGCGGGCGCAGTGATGTGGAAGAGTTGTTTGCCGCGAAGGTCGGAAAGGAGGGAGGATGTGGTAGAAGATGGCGGTAGTTGCTTCTTCGCAGCTTTGAAGCCTGACGGTGGCTTGTAGGAAGGTCTTGGGTAGAGGGAGTCGTTTGAAGATGAGCTAGTGCTTGTGAGCTTAACAGTTTTCCGAGAACAACGTAAGCGATAGAACCTACATATTGGAAGCCTTGATCTCTGGGGACGAAGGGACACTTTCAGAATCGGAGCTGGCCGAATCTTCCGACTCAGATCCTGAGCTTGACGAATCTTCGGTCTCGCGATCCGATTCCGACTTCTTTGTTGGTTCCGGCGATGTCGATCTGCTGCTTGAACTGCTTTCGCTGTCCGAGGCAGTCTTCTTGATTGACTTGGCTGGCGCCATTGTGCTTCGACAGAGCTGTCTGTCAAAGAAAGCGTTTGAGATTTCGATGCGGTGTGTTCGGGACTTGCAGCCTCGGCCTGCTGGCTGCGCTCAAGGTATATTTGCAAAATGCGAACAAATCAATATAATCTTGTCCCGGGCAGAGGCATATACCTGTGATTAATTAAAGTTTTGGTGAAGAGCTGACTCCGCTAGTCGCGAGGTTATTCGGCCGCGGAATCTGGTGAGCGACAACTTTTTTTTCTCCTCCGCGGAGCACAGACCACCCTCTAAAGTCCGCAATCCGCGATGATATGAGATTTTTGTGGTGCCGCCTTCTCATTGAACATATACTTTTATTTTCAAAATCTTGAGCCAATTGCGCTCAACATTCGTATCTGATGAAAAGAAAAGCTGAGAAGCAGCAGGCGACTGGTACAGACTCAATCTCCTTCCGTTCTCTTGCTCGCTTGCCGATAGCTAACTGAAATTCTGTCTCAGCTCCGGTCAGCGCTTTTGCGGCGCGCAAAGCTCGGCAACAGCAAGCGCAGCTTGTAGAGCCAGAGAAGACCGCGCAGAATGAGCCCGCCGTCGAGCCGCCATCCAAAAGAGCGCGGTGGTCACCTGAGGAAGGTGCCGCGAGGCAGGCCGCTAACGGAAACGATCGGGTACAGACGAGGCGCTCTACGAGGAGGAAGGCAGAGACCTTGAGCTCTGAGCTTGCTGAAAAGCAGCCTCAAAGGTCTGCTGCCGCCGCAAGAGCACAGATTGCAGAGCGGACACCAGCTCCGGAGAAGGGAGATGCTGAGACCTCCGACGCCGCCGAGGAAGAAGAGGAGGATATACTGGAGCGAGAGAATGGCGTAGGAGTCATTGCTGCGGAGGACGATGCTGAAGGGTGAGATAAGAATGTTGTTTCAGAAGAGCACATGCACTAACTCTCTACAGCTATGAATCACCGGCCGATGACGTCCCGCAGGTCCAGAATTTTCCACTCTCAAAGACACGGTTGAACAAGAGCAATATCGTATTTAGTGATGAGCGTACACTCTGTGTTCGTATCAAAGAGAAGATGGTACGAAACGGCATGAGACATGTATATGTGCTGTACTAATGGCGGACTAGACCCTCGTGTTGTTGGGACATTACGACCTTTGGGTCAAGCGAGGTGTGATTAGCCTGATGGGCGCAAAGCTGCATCCTTCGCCACGGCTCTACAGGGTTTACGCGCCGTCTACGCACTCGTTGCCCGTCATCAAGTGTGTAGCTGGGGTCGATGGCGAAGCCGAGATTGAAGTCAAGTCATGTAACAGTGGCATCTATCGACTCAGGCACTTGTCGCCATTGTATCAGCGGATATGGAATGGGAAGAACACAGCAGCGGACAAACTGACATTGAAGAAAGCTTCTGCGTCTACCAAGAGAACTTTCTCAGTGGTAGGTTTTCTCCTTTTCAGTTGATGGGTCTATTAGCCACCTAACTTCTGACAGTTATATACTTCATCCGACGACTCCTGGAATCGTCATCTGAGGCCACTACATCTTGAAAAGCAATGGAGCTCGGCGATTAGATCGCTTTCGCAGCGAGGGGGACGATTGAAAGTCCTGATCTGTGGTCCCAAAGCGTCAGGGAAATCAACCTTTAGCCGCTACCTCTTGAATCATCTTCTCAGTCCAGCGCCGCAAACCGAAAATAACCACCGGAATACTGACGGAGTCGCTTTTCTGGACCTTGATCCTGGACAGCCGGAATTCTCTCCGATGGGACAGGTTTATTTAGCACACCTTCGCTCTCCATTCTTTGGCCCGCCATTCACGCATCCATCGTTGGCTGAATCCCAGGATGGTTCGATCATCCGGAGTCACCACATCGGAGTTACATCTCCAAAGGAAGACCCTGACCATTACGTTTTGGCAGCAATGGATCTTATGGACCGCTATCGAGCCCTACTGGCAAGCTACCCTCAATGTCCACTCATCATCAATTACCCCGGATGGATCTTCGGGCTCGGCCTAGAAGTCGCGACATGGCTAGTGAAATCTTTGGGTCTATCGGATGTCGTCTACATGAGTGAAAAAGGCCCGGCCGAGGTCGTGGAGCCCCTTGGCCATGCTGCCCAGGAAGCTAGAGTTCCTCTGACCACGCTGCCGTCTCAGCCCACCGATTTCGTCAGCAGATCAAGCGCTCAATTACGCTCGATGCAAGTACAGTCCTACTTCCATATGTCCCACCCGAGCGAGATTCATAATCCACAATGGCTGGATACAACCATGTCCCGATCTCGACCGCTCGTTGTCGATTACGCCGGGCCACGGCAAGGCATTCGTGGAATAATGGTAATGGGCTCTCAGATTAGCCCTGACCTTCTCCATGAGGCCCTGGATGGAGCGCTCGTCGGCGTTGTTGCCGTTGAGTCTCCCAATGCAATTATGGGCCAAGCCGACACAGCCGGATTTTCGGGTAGCTCTCAACGGGACGCGACGCAAGGCGCTGAAGATCTGTCAGGTGCCGCTTCAGATGTCGACATGAACGACGTTACGGATGCTTCCCACGGGGACGTCGCTCCTACATCGTCCTCCTCTGTTGAATCAATGATCACACGTACCCCGAACGAAGATTTACCGTATCTCTTCGTCGGCTCCGGGAGCTGCAACCCTCTCGACCCCAAGGCCTCCAACTGCCTGGGTCTGGCTCTCGTCCGCTCCATCGACGTTCCATCACGCAAGCTGGAACTCATCACTCCAATCCCAGGATCCAAACTCCGCGATGCCCTTGAACAAGGCCATGGCATCGTGCTAGTTCGCGGGATGCTAGATAACCCCAGCTGGGCCATCAGCGAAGACTACTACGCCGCGCGGGCAGCGGAAAAGCACCACCAGGAACTTGTCGCCAAAGCACGCAAGGAAACCGACACTCGGGATGGTCGGGACGCAGCGGGTGACGCAGACACGCAAGGCATGGTGTCTGCCTTGCTCAGGGACCGGATACGGCGCGCTAGCAACGTGCCTTGGATGACGGTGATAGAGGATAACAGCCGGCGGCACCGGGAGGCCGCCCAGCGGGAGAAGTCTCTGTGGAAGTTACGCAAGAAAGCATACCCTGGTAGCGAGAGTGAAACCGACTGGTAGTTTTGCTCGTCGCGGAAATACAACAGTTCACATTTACTTGATTTGCTATTGTAACTTACCGCTATAGCAGCGGTGCCTGCCATTTACCCGAAACCACAGAGTAGCGATCTTCATCTCAAGGGGTCCTTTTCATCCCATTGCTGGATCTACGTATCTTGGACAACTAATCGCCCTCGGGGAGGAAAAAAGGGGATCGAAAGAAAGAATGAATACGAACGCCTCCCGCCATAAACAGACCCTGGTCATATATACGGTCACTCGTAAATCACCATCCTGCCCACGCTCAACTGCCCTACCCAAGCAGACAGACGGGAGGCGGCAGGCATTCAGCCACGAAAAGCAAATATCAACTGAGCTACCTAATCGCCCATTGACAAAATTACCTGGGTGACCATGAACATGAACATGTATCTACAATGAGGAGATGACCAGGTGACCGATTGACTCTTGATGCCCAAATCGTGTTCCCGTCGCTACCCCCTGAGATTCCTGCAGGTGGCTGGACGAAAGCGGGTCTGAGGCTGGATTGCCCCCCTTGTGCAGGGTGCATTGCCTTCCTGCAGGTTGCGAAGAACCAACTCGGAACCGGAGACTCGAGATGTCGCAATGCAATGGAATGTGACTGGTCACCTCGGGATCTCCTTTATCAGGAGATCATCTGCGTTGCGGCTGCGGCGGGGGGCGGCGCTATGGGAGATCTAACTACGGTGTCAATGTCAGCCTGATCATTGCCTGAACCTTGAAGGTGTAGAGTATCTAGTAAGGAACATTACTGTGTTGCTAGAGATTATGCTCCGTGTGAATGATATCCAGCTGAGTGTTGCACAATCACTAAGCTGATATAATTAAAGTTCATAGTAGTAGTCATTACCTTACCAACCACTTTTGCTAACAACAATGATGATCATTACTGAATTCTCGTAGGTTCCACGCGTGAGGCTAAAGTAGAAAGCAGAAAGCAGTCTGCAGGAACCGGAAATAGGAAACTGGAACGCCATCCAATCAGTCGTTTAACGTCAGAGACAGAAGAGATTAGAGGTCTCCTCGGCGAGACAATCCGATTGGGAAAGTCGAGGCTGTCGAGCACAGCGCAGGTAAGACTAAATTAAGAAAGTAGCAGGCGCGGTTTGCCACGTGGAGAAATGTCTCGATCGACAAGACAAACGCTCGATTGAGATTGGTCTGTTCATGAGAGGGACTAGATTACTTTATCAAAGGACAGATGGTTTTAGGACGGATGGAGTCGAGTCGTGCCAATTTGCCATCCGTGGACACCGATGTGGAACCCGCGTGATTTAAATGTCGGGCTGAGGTGGATCATGCAGTCTCCGACTCGTGTGCTTGCTTACTTTGTTCAGGATGAAATCTGATCAATTCTGCTGGACTGACTGGTTTGAAGAGAGTAGAGTATGTATCTGATTTCTTCAAGCTATGTAGAAGTACTGGTGGAGCCTATACCAGATGCCTTGATGGCGCTGGTACTTGTGAAACCATGGGCAGGTATCTAGACAAGCATAAGCTCCAACTAGGATCAGAAGAGATCAGAGTATCCGTCAAATTGGATAGTCCGACAACAATAATACATCGTAGAGAGGTACAGTGCAAACTAAATATCATATCCTTCCTTCACTTTAAACGTGAGACATGAACCATCGTCGAATACGACAGACTGATGACGCCTGATAGCTTCTACCTTATCCACAAGCGCCATGCGATAACGACGCAGGAACAGCTTCCTGGAGCTAAAAAGCTTCCTTATCGATGGGAGTTATCAATATGATCCATCACCACATATCCAGGACGCCATCGATAGACAGATAGGAAGAACCAAGTACCTCCGTACTAAGTAAGGGACAAGTAGAGGCCTAAACTAGTTAACAATTACAAGCCATTGAGGAGTGAAAACAAGGAACTTCAAAACAAACATCACTCTGACGTTGACTTCCGTGGCAACGACTAGTTCGAAACTGTCCAGACTATCATTATCATGACAGGGAACCTGGCCGGTCGCAGCACCCAAAACCCTGGCGTCATCCTGGTCAATATCAACGAGTGTTAAGTTTGTTCTGCAAATCTCGGGGAGTAATCTTAGGCTAGTCGTCGTGGAAAAAGCAGGAGATGGGAAATCGTGGAATCCTTCCGTGAGCAGTCGGCTTAATTCCATTGTTATTATTTTGCCGATATCCCTGTACCAGAGTAATCAACTATGCTGACTTGAGATGAGACGGCAGATCGAGAAGAGCATATGGAATACGAGGCAAGCAATTCTCCATATTAATTAATTAACCATGTACCTTAGGCTACACCTGCACTCCACATGCAAATGCAATAGTTATATTTCCATCATTCGAGGAAAAAACAGCCGCATCCCGGCGATTGGGTTGGGGCCCTTAAAGTGTAGGGTAGTATGCTCAAGGCAAGATCTCTCCTCAACAGTCATTTCAGTCGTAGTCAATCCCATCTTTCGTTTTTGAAACTACTTCCTGACAGTGAGACCTCCTCCTTTTCGGGGCAACGAGTGACACTCATCGGTCTCGCCAGTCGCCAGTCCCCAGAATGCCGGGTGCCGAGATGACACTCCTGACACTGCGTAGACCATTTCATTCCGACGGATCAGACATGTCGTTTACGCCTTTACTCTGACCAGCTTAGCTCCGAATGCGCTTATTGACCGACTTTACTAGAGCTTCCTGCGACGGAGCTGGAACAAATCGGAGGCATAGGAATAAATGTCATAGATATCCTGCCGTTTGTCTCACGGCTATTGACAACGTTCCCATGTGGTGGGGGTGACTCTGGCGACTCACAAGCAGGAGGTGACTGTGCTCCGTACTCCGTTAATATACTCTGAAGACTTGACCGTCTCTCTCTCAAGGCCGGGAATGTAGCCTGTTCGGTGATAGAGACGGCAAAGGATCACAAGCAAATGATTGCCTTAATATACTACAGAGTATACTAGAGTGAGCTATTAATCCGGAGGAAGAATATGGTCCGTACCCTGTCCCCGGTAAGCGATAGACTAAATGGAGTATGCTGACTATCTACTTGGAAAAAGAGATCGTGACGAGTAATGGATCAAAGAGGCTAAAGACGGACAGGAGTCGACACGGTGTGTTTCAAATCTACAAGAAACGGCCGTTAGGCTAGAGTAGGTGGCCTAACCTGACTAACTACCATCGACCTCCGACGTCCTCCGTTCTCCATGGGTAAATTTCCTGACTGAGATCTGAGTCGACGACAACTTGACTACCCGATGATCCCTCCCCAGTCATCACATGTGAGACAGCGATAGGAGGTTCAAATTGAAAGTTTGCAAATTGCAAGTTGTGACTTGTGGCTGGCGGCTAAGTATGAACCGTTTGCGCCTTCACAGTACGGACCTCGTAGCGAGCTGCTCTAGTAGGTTTTTGACAATCATCATTCAAACTTTGTATGTACCGATTCTTTGCATAATTCTTTCCGTCATATTACTCGGAGGCTTAAACGGCGTCTTTCCGTGGGGCTGATGCCAGAATAATTGCCTTTTAAGCGTTCTGGCTGGGAACCCAGAACAGAACGATCGAACTTTGTTACTTTCAGACGTATGGTATTTGTCGAGTTTGTGATGACATCCCATAGGCCGTGGAAGTTGGCATTCGTCTAGACCCCGTTTTCGTAGTAAGCATCGACCTGTTGCTTCCGGGAGACTGGGATGCTGCCGATGGGTCGTAGGGCCGGCAATTCTCATGGGAGTTGGTTACTGCGCTCTCAGTGGATGATTCATGATCATCTCAAATAGAAACATGCATTGCTTTTCTTACCTATGCAATGATAAAGTACTTTATTCTTTGATGCATGAAATTTATCTATCGATTCTTCAGTAATATGCAACATGCAGAAGCAATCAAGTCACTCAGGTGACTCAAAATGGTTCCAAATTCCGAGGTAAGCTGCAGGCTGCAGCAGCGGATATTTCTTAGCACTTAGCAATATAATAATATTATTTATATTATCATATTATTACCATCGTTCATCCTACCTGACGGAGCTAGACTAAAGGGCATCCAATTAATGCTGCCCAATTATAATCATAGACAGCCATGTCCATCCAGCGACCAGAAAATAGCGCAAGCAACGACGGATCTGGATTCTGGGACGGATTGACTTCTTCCATTTTTCGTTCTACAACCCTTCGATTGCGTACCCGTCGAGTTGGGTACGCCATGGCCCGATGAAACCCCGACCAGTACTACTTCCATGTTCTAATTGTCTAGAGATGCATATGCTGGATAGTCCATGATAAACAAGAAATAGATAACTATAATCAAGAATAACCCTTGATTGACAACGTTCAAGTACTTACCGACAGACAGTGTAGAGTTGTGTTCGGGCTTTATATGTCCTGTACTCGGTATGCCCCTCCGTTACTTTCCCCGTACATTTACTAGCGGTTACTAGTCTGACAGTACCGGATCCCTCGTCTTTGCCCAAGAAAGTCTACTGGTCATTGGGCCTCTTGCTCTGTTCGGCAATCCTCCACCGGCTCAATGACAATACCATACTATCTAATACCATTCTCTTCTTCCCGTCTCCCTTTCCTTTCCGATAATGGCTGGAAACAGCAAAAGTTTCGGATCGAGTAAATGTTCTAGAAAGACGCTACTTTGCAGACTATTGTGGACTTGGAGGAGACCGGTAAGAGACTATGCTATTTTGGCAGAGGAAAATCATCTGAGGGACAGAAAAAAAAAGAAAGAATAAGTGTTTAAAATTTAGTAGTACAAGTGGGTTGATCCATCAATCGAACTAGGCATTACTACTTAGCATCGCAGCTTATCCATTTCTTTTGCTTCTGCTTCTCCAAGAATAATATTATTTTGTTATTCTTCTTTTATAATAACTATTATTTATTTATTATTATATTATTATCGCCGTCTGTCTCTCTATTATATTCCTTCTAAATACTTCCTACTGCCGTTCTCAGTCGATATCTATCTGTCTACCTCCTCCCACTCTAATGT